ACAAAAAAACTACTTAGACACAGAGTTGGATAATTTTGGCAATGTGCGTAATTGTATATATAACGCACATGCCGATTTAAATTTTAATTAACAACAAATTATTAACCAGCAAACAATAAATCTAATTACTAAGCAGTTCGCAGAGAAAGATGGGGCTAATTCAAACGCCCAACCGAATATACTAATATACCATTACATTAAGCTCGCGTAAGAAAACGGGGAGGAGGGCGGGTCAAATTCGATCTGTAATGATCTTGTCGAATCGAAGAACAGAATGAATTAACAGCACATTCTGCTTTTGATATATTATACAGACCCTCATCGCGTTATCTACATGTCATCAGAATTCCAGGGAAATTACTCATGCGTCAAACTAAGTATTTGATACTTTAGTCTCAAGTGCAGGAAGCAACAAATTCTTTATTGGTGTGCCAATAATTCTAGATCTCGTACAAAAACCAAATCAGACACAGAGTTTGAATAATTTTGGTAACGTGCGTGATATAACGCACATGCCGCTTTATTAATATCTATTTAACAACAAATTAATTATTAATCAACAAACAATAAATTCAATTACTAAACAGTATTTTAATTCATAACAATTTTTTTTACTATTATTGATTTTTTTCAAAACCGGCTTTTGCTGGCGTCAACAATTGTAGAAAATTATATAGAAATTATCATTTGTATATATGACGTTATATAATTACAGAACACCAGGAATTATTTGTAAATTTGACCGTGATTAGAAAATAGGAACATCAAAGAAACTTCGCATTTCCCTTTGCTTTGTTAATTTATATGAAGCCATTCGAAACGTTCGTGAAGGCATATAAGTTCATGACGAGTATACAAAAATAAAATTTTACCAAATATTCACCGATTCGAATCTAAAAACCAATTCCTCTTGAGCACCACGACTAAAGTACTCTCTTTACAAGCGTTTGCAGATCACCTAAGATTTCACGCTCCAGGTGTAAGAGTCTTTTTTTTTATTTATAGCTGCATCTATAGTTCATGCATTACTCGCTATGTACAGTATATTACCATGACATTCATTCCCCCATCGTGTCATCATTGTGTGCTAATTTACGCTTTATCCATGCATCTATCTGGCCTTTCAGAACCATACACTGTGTTCTTACTTGTGATGATGTTTGTTTCGTTATATACGATGTTTATATGCACGCTTAGTTTAGTTATTGATTAATAATATACAGCCAATAAGGACTGATAAGTTTGATTGACATTTTAAGTAATTACTATGATTAGAAGTTAGGACCGCATGCAAACCAGAGGAAGAGAGCGCTTACTGAGAAAGGACTGTTTAACGATTGCTAACCTGGGTGAATAAGTTTACTAACATTTATGTTTTGAAAGACTGGATATTGTCAAAGAAGTAAGTTAATGTTTATTTTATTACTGTTAAACGTAGTATGTGTAAATTAGGTATTATTATATGCATGGTACATTGATCTTTATATAGTATATTACATAGCTTTATTTTGTTTATTAACTTTAGATCGAAATATTGCAATCGTATTATATTTGAAAACAAACAAACAAACAATTCGATGATCGAATTGTTTGTTTGTTTGTTTTCAAATATAATACGATTGCAATATTCGGTCTCTGTATCTATGGTTTATCGACATCGCGAACCAATGTTCATGATAGCAACTATGTCATGCCAACGACCCCTATGGCGATGGTATTGTCTTATTTTATACCCGGCTACCTGCATATAAACCCACGACGTAGCAAATCAGCAGCAACGGATTCTACTGAACAACGATCTCGAAGACCATGCAGCTAATATATAATTCTTTTACAGCACATGATGCGCATATGCATGTATACTGTAGCACATCCAAAACATATATATTCCGAAGAAGATGATTAGCACTTTTGAAACCAAACGTATATAACTATATAGCTATAAGGCAGGAATGGTTTCGTGATATTTCGAACTTATTAACAATGGTAATAGAACGAATAGGGCGAGATTTGGGAATTAATCAAACTATTTTTAACCAATCAAATTGCGAGAAACATCATTGATATCAAAATAAATATAATAAATGGCAAAATGGAGTATGATTCTGCCATTAATAGCACGACTTAATTCGTTCTATTACTTATTAATTATATGGCTTTAACTTGCGTCACGGAAAAGTACTAAAACAAAATTTAACCTCGATAAATGATTAATCGCACTCCTCTTAACCAATGAAATTGCAGTATTAGCGGTGCAAGTTCGTTGATGCCTTTGTAAGTCATTAGCGTGTCTCTGTACTGTAGATGTTCCTTGACTTGAAGCCAACTGATCGCCGGCAGTGCTTAACTTGATTGCATTGGTTGTAATTCTGCAAGCAAAATTTTGTACTGTTTCAAGTTTTTATACAATTGTTGCCGATGTATTTGACCACACCGTAGAGCAATAACACAATTTGCTCATCACTAAGGCATTGACAATCGTCTAGAGGGTTTCGCTATCGAAGCTGTCCTTTACCCTATTTATTTGATACAGTTTTGCCATTGAAGATGATATGACGTGTCGTATTTGATGATCATAACTTAAATAACTATCCATGCATGAATTGCCCAAGTTCTTTGGCGTAGGGGGGGGGGGTGTGATCTCCTTTCCTAGGAATGAGATAACTAGTCCTTCAATGAGGTTTCCGATTAACTGTCGAGTGCCTATTAGCATTAGTTTTGTCAGGGTTAATTAGCAGTTTGTTTATTAAGCACCATGTTGCAACCCTCTCACGTTCCTCTTCTATGTTGCATTTTCCATCAATTATGCCCGTGGTTGAAAACGACATGAATATTTTCCAATAGTCTACAAATTATTCTAACTTAGCTGTTTTTGGTGCTGTACGTTGGAAGGTCGTTTATATAGATGCAGAATAGCAGAGGCGACAATATTGCCCCTTGTGGGACTCCACGAGTGATCAAAAGAGTTTCGGATACTGAAGTGCCAATGCCTCCGTCAAAGAGGTAGCTTCTAAACCAATTTAAGGCCTTAGATATTCTATAAGTGATTCGCAACTGTTTGTGATCCTAGTAGGTGAAGTGATCAATTGCTTCAAGTTCATTTCGCACATGGAGTTTTCCAATGCTGTGGTTTCAGCGGTAACCTTTGTGATGTTGCAATTGAGGTCTCCCAAAAATAAATGTAGGTCTGTTCCGCATGGCAGCTTGCGTGTAACTTGCTTTTAGGTTGTTTTCTAAGCATATAATTAATACAATAACGAAATATGCCAAACTGTTACCGCAGCACAGATTGTGCAAAACGCTATTAGATCGGTTAACCTTTAAGGACTTTTAACAAGTACAATCGTTTCGAAGCTTTATTGACGATATGTGACAAGTATGAATACTCTATATTTACTATGTATGTGCGACTGGTTAAATTTTGTTCACTGATCTTTCCTGGTTTATTTTGTCCTCATTAATGTCATAATGCTGTCTCCAAGAACATTTCAGAAATTTCTCAAAAAATTTTAAAAACCACTTTTGGAATTAACATGCAGAAAGGTCTTCGCTTGAGATTTCTGCAGCAATTTTCCTCCTGATAAGAACTTCTAGTACAGCAGATTTCCCAGCGCTCTTTAAAAAGAATTGAAAGTTAGATGTAGCCAAATGTCCCTATTTTGACAGAGAGCATTGGGACATTTTACAGAAAACAAACCTCCTCGCACAAATCACTGGCATCTCTGCCTTTACGACTGCCCTGCGCCTTACGAAAATTCTAAAGACCGATTTAACTAAAGCGTCTTCAACAATTCCGACGGTGAGTCGATTAGGCGCCGAATTTGAAAATAATTAGTGCGGCGCTCATTTGGGGGCGGCGCTCTTTAAGAAAAATTTATCGCAAATGCGGCCTCATTTGGGGGCGGCGCTCAATCGAATAAATACGGTATTTGTCAGAAAGAATGCCGGCCGGCATCGATGCCAACAGCACAACATGCATGTGGTTGTTTCCCGAACTTGCCTGGAATTCGGACATCCAAAAGAAACTCTATAGCAAACTTTTGTCTTCAATTGGCCCTGATGAGGAGGTATCAGCCAGCAAGATTCCTTCGTATCTCAAAGCCGCCGTGAAGGAGTCGTAACGCCTTTACCCGGTCGCTGGATATGTGGTTCCTCGTGTATTTCATAACGATATCGAAGTTCTCGGATATTTTCCATGTGCTTCAGGTGCATGTCAATAAAAAATACGCAATGCTCGACTGGAACATGCGTATTTTGAAAACAGTATATAGAGCTGCAAAACTTTAATGTCTTCCACAAAACCAAGATTGATGATTCTAAAATTAAATAGATTCCGGTATACTAGATCCCATTTCCATTAACTGTGACTAGATGAAGCGATACGTGATCATGATAAAGACATGTCATACTTATTGCATTTTGTGTGTACTGGTATTCTGTGGTACATTAGAGAATATTTAAAAAACATGTTCATTTAAAAAAAATAACGAACCAGGAACAAGACATACAATTTAAACTATACCAATAAATATTAACAAGCCATGCCATATCTGTTCTATACAATATATAGAACATCTAAGTTTGTGTGCTATCAATATACTGTGGTACATATACCTCAATTTGTTATGCGTGTCAATTCTTGTACAGCCAGTCGTCCTTGTAAAACGATCTGGATGACATAGATCCTTCCTAAGCTCGCCGCGCATTAAAGCTCTCTTCTTTCATCAAGGATTCATGTTTAAACATGTGTCGTATTTTGGTCACATAACAAAGGCAAACTGTGCATGCAAAATCGTGGCTTATTAAAAAATGACAGCCTGCAGTGAAGCTTGGATCTTCAATGCAGCAATCAATGAACTCAGATTGTATAATAAAAGTGTTAGAGACTTTATGTTCGTGTTTTGTTTACGCACTTGCCAACCACTGAACTCGAAATCTCAATCGCGAAATTTCTCGTTCATTGTATGGTCAGCGCGTGCGTTTATTCGTGAACGAAACACTCACAACAGTCTCCAACCCTTAAATAACGTTTCCATTTTTACTACAATTATTATTACTAACTAAATATTATATTTTCTTTCTACTCTATCGCTTATATTACGGCGGAATAGTTAGCGATTTCCCTGTCCACTTGTCAACTTCCAAATATGGTTTGTAACTTGAGCGTGAAGAGTATATTGAAACCGAGTGTAATGACAACGCTATTGGTTATTTATCTTTAAAGAATATTTTTACATAAAAATCCACCAATATGATTGCAAGTTGTAAAGGGCTTACACTGCTGAATCCTCCCATAATCCTCCACTGCTGAGTGTCAGTCTGAAAGTCTGACCTTAAAATCTGGCCAAATAAAATATTTAGCGTATATCTCATTGACCCAGATTTCTGTTTATATATACACATCGCGGTAAAGAATTCGTTTGAAACGTCAACTATTTGGTGGAATAACTCGGAAGCTTATAAACAATGGTGTTCCTAGCGCGTTCATACCAAGGACGTCTCTTCTTTAACTTACCGTGGTCTTTGAAAGCGATTGCGCGTACTTCGACCAGAGTTGTAGCATCACACAAAGAAGTGTTGCCATTCTCGGCCATTCCTGGCCCAAAAGGAACAATTCGAAATCTGTTGGACTACGGGATGTCCAAAGGGACGTTCTTTGAAGTCTTGGAGAAGCGCTTTGATAAATACGGTCCGATTTACAGCGAAAAACTGCTGGACACTCGTATAGTGAGCATTTCCGATGTCGACGCCACGACGAACGTCTTGCGCACAGGAAAGAAATTTCAGATGCGACCCGGCTTCGAGGCAGTTGCCGAGATGATGGAGGAGACAGGCTTTGGTGTTGGGCTCGCCTCAAACGACTATGAAATATGGTATCCTGATAGATCACTGCTCTCGCCGAAGATGCTGCGTCCCAAAGACGTGAATGAGAGATATTCCTTGTTGAATACTATAGCGAACGAGTTCACAGAGCGAGCGGCACGTTGTATTGGACCAGACGGAGTGGTGGACAACATAGAAGAAGAACTGGACTTTTGGACCGTAGAGTCGTTCGCCGCGTTCTTGTTCAATCACCGTCTTGGTTTCTACGACGACCCCCCGGATCCTGAAGCAGTCGTGTTCGTGAATTCTGCTCGTATTATGCTTAATATGATCGGAAAGATGCTGCACGGTGCTCCTTTTCATAAGTACTTCAAGACCTCTACCTATTCCGCGTTGAAGAAAAGCATAACTGACGTAAAGACCAGTGGCTTGAACATTTTAAATAGAGTTTTAGCAACAAAGAAGGAGACAGTCAATGGTCACAAACAATCTTTGTTTGAATTTCTTTCTGCCAACGATAAATCACCAGAAAGAATGGCGTCGATGCTTGTTGGTTTAATGTCGGCTGGCATCGATGCCACCAGAACAATATGCATGTGGTTGTTTTACGATCTTGCCCGGAATTCGGACATCCAAGAGAGACTCTACAGCGAACTTTTGTCTTCAATTGGCCCTGATGGGGAGGTATCAGCCAGCACGATTCCTTCATATCTCAGAGCCGCCGTGAAGGAGTCGCTTCGCCTTTACCCGGTCGGAGGATATGTGGTACCTCGTGTATTTCATAACGATATTGATGTTCTTGGATACAATATTCCAGCAGGTATATACATGTGCTTTGGGGGCATTTACTGCATGCGTATTCTTGGGTTTCATTTGACGTCATAATTCCAGTGGGGCATTACAGTACAAAGACCAAAGTGGCACAGTGCTGACACAAATTGTTTATTTTACATAAACATTTAATCTCTAATCAGTCTTGTCTCCTAATATAAAGCTCCCATCCCCGTAATAATATTAATAAATATGTAAGTTCTTCACACGAAAGACAAGCTCTTTGGTAAGATCTGATGGTTTTCTTCAGGACCCTGTTAAAATAATTTCATAGCAAAAGTAAGCGAGCGCTCGCTCGAGTGTCATCTTGGTCTATATATGATGACGTCATATTGAGGTGAAAAGCACGTCTCTGCATCGTTATAGATTTACATGAATTGGGTTATCAAACATGCTAGATATTTGCCACAAATATAAAAGTGGCACGAATGACCAAAGTCGCCGGAAAAGTCGCCCACACACGAGAGCAATTGCCTTAGGCCAATGGCCACGAATGACTTTTTGCTAAGGACATAGCTCTAGTGTGCGCCGGCCTTAAACGATTCCAGTGAACGCACGCGTAGGCTATTGCGTACTTATATTAACGAAAGATTGATTTTGGTAGGTGTGAGGATTTATTGTTACCAATTTCTGCATTCAATCGATGAGCGTTACTATGGAGCGGACGCGAAACAGTTTGTACCTGAGCGATGGATGCGTGATGATGCAGGAAAGAAAAGAGAGTTCAACTCGTTCACGACGTTGCCATTCGGTTATGGTGTAAGAATGTGCTTAGGTCGGAGAATGGCCGAGGCATTGATTTATACGGTAACAAGCAAGCTGCTGCTTCGCTACCGTTTAGAGTACGCCGGAGAATGCGAGCTGAAACGAAGTCTAGTGGGAGTGACCATGAGTCCGGATCAGCCTGTTTTGCTTAAGCTCATTCCTCGCGAAAAAGAGATTTAATAAACAATTATTGAATTCGGTTTTTGTGATATGCAGAGTTATTAAGGTCGAGGTAAGCGTTATCAGCCTCGCCTTCGGCTGGGCTTACCTTGATCTTGATAACTCTGCATATCACAAAAACCGAATTCAATAATTGTTTTAATATACATTTGAAGAAGAGTAAACATAGTATTAACAAACGAAAAACCTTATTCAATAGAAACATCCAAAAATACATCAGTTATTATTACATAAATTAATTCAAATGAATACCACTTCTTAACCACCGCAGGCTCACTTGCAGATAACTCAGTTAACTGTCAACTATTAGCCAATCAAATTGCGTTTACTACTAAAATGTATAATAATTAACAATTATTGGATGAGATCGAGAATTATCAAGCTGAAGTTTGCGTTATTTGCCGAAGCGAAGCTGAGGCGGATAACGCAAATTGAGGCTTAATTATTCTCGATATCATGCGAAAACCGAATTCAATAATTGTTTTATTAGGTATTTTCTTTTTAGAGAGGTAGCCTGCGCCATTATTGACAACAAACTATAGCGGCAAAAAATTACGTCACCTACGGATAATTTCTAATGTCGTGTAGGTGGCAAAACATTGAGAATTATCTGTAGGTTTTTAGCCAATCACAATCGAGATTGCATTATTAATGGATAATAATAAGTGTTATTCGTAACGTTCCTCGTTAACAGGAGAAGGGAAATTATTAGCATGATTTGGATCATCGTTGATTGTGACGTTTGCACGTTGCACTGACACTTACTGATCTAAACTTTAGAAGGAAACGGACAATGTAGACACATGTCTATTTTGACTGTTATTATTTCCATATTTTTAAATAAATAACATCATAAAAAGTTACGATTAGCTCTGCTCTTTACATGGAGCCCGATAGGCAGGCCGTCCTCGGGATATTTTACAGGGGGGGGTGTACGGTCATCTAAACCGACTGATCGACAAACTTGTACCGACTACACTCTGGATGAAACTTTGTCAAGTTTATATTGTATCAGTCTATAGCGTCAAAAATATTTTTATCTACCGACTAAAATAGCAATTTTACCGACTGAACCTCAGAATCAACTTTCTGGAGGGTGTGTATCCCCCTAACCCCCCTCCGTAGCTCCGATAAGGGACACTAAAGCGACAAGAAACGGAGAGAACGAACGGTTGCTGGCAGCGACCGCTTGTCTGTTGTTGTCTGTTGAAAGAGTTTGAACGTGTCATATTGCGCTGGGATTCAACACGTGGCGATAGTACTTCGTTTATATCGGACGGTAGAGGTAAAATTCTTCCTTTTCCTTGGTTGAAATCGGTTGAAACTAGTTTATTCATGTATGTATTGTATTGTCCTGTGCTGTTTTAATGGCAGAAAATAGGATATTCTGTAATCTATTAATATTGCGGTTTGCGGTTGTTGTTGGCAAAAAATCAGCATATTTCACGTGTAGTCGGAGAATTTGGTAGGCTGCTAGAGCCAGAGGTCGATACGCCGGGCGTTTTTTTGGCATTGTGCGTAATTGTACAATGCACATGCCAGCACATTTTGCTCTGATATATTATACAGACCCTCATCGCGTTACCTACTTGTCATCAGAATTCCAGGGAAATTATACTCATGCGTCAAACTAAGTATTTAATCTACTTTAGTCTCAAGTGCAGGAAGCAACAAATTATTTATTGGTGTGCCAATAATTCTAGATCTTGTACAAAAACCAGCAACTCAGACACAGAGTTTGAATATAATAATTTTGGTAATTAAAAACAAATTAATTATTAATCAACAAACAATAAATTCAATTACTAAGCAGTATTCTAATTCATAATAATTTTACTATTATTGATTTTTTCAAAACCGGCTTTTGCTGGCGTCAACAATTGTAGAAACTTATAGAAATTATCATTTGTATATATGACGTTTTAATTACAGAACACAAGGAATTATTTGTAAATTTGACTGTGATTAAAAAATAGGAACTTCAAAGAAACTTCGCATTTCCCTTTACTTCGTTAATTTATATGAAACCATTCAAAACGTTCCTGAAAGCATAATTATAGCCGGTTCATGACGAGCATACTAAAATAAAATTTTACCAAATATTAAGGGATTCGAATCTGAAAATAAATTCCTCTTGAGCACCCTGACTATAGTACTCTCTTTACAAGCGTTTGCAGATCACCTAAGATTTCGCGCTTCAGTTATAAGAGATTATATAGAGCTGCATCTATATAGTTCATGCATTAGCTATGTATGATTACCATGACATTAGCACTTTTGAAACCAAACGTATTATTAACTCGCATTGCGCATGCGTGCGCAAGCGAGTTCTTAAAATGGGAAGCGTTCTTATTAATATTTTTATCGTCGAGAATTTCGGGACCCGCAAGGTGCGATAAGGTGCGCTGACCTGCAAGCCACGAGCTACGCAGGCGTGGTTGTTAAGCTAACGTGCATGCTGCACTGCTGAGTGCATTCGTTCATGACGTTCATCGTTTTCTTGTGGACAAAAGACGATAAAAATTCAAGATATTTCGAAATGTGGCTTCCAAGTGCCTCTTACATACAACGCTCACCTTACATGCATACAACTGCACACGCCGAGCACAGTAGCCCTACACTAAAAGATGCCGAGCGTTTTCGAAACGGGGTGTTTTGTTGCTCTCATGCTTTTCAACTTCATATCGCTATGAATTCTCTGATCAAACTGAATACAATCTCAAATCAATCTCACGAGTTCTCACTATCAATTGAAAACAATACAACGACGTTGTCAATGAACTGTGCCATGACGTGCTACGAATATCTGAACATAGCTATACTCTAGCTCGACTCAAGCAATGCGAGTTTAATGCCTAACGGGCATCTTGTATAACTATAAGGCACGAATGGTGTCGTGATATTTCGAACTTATTAATAATGGTAATAGAACGAATAGGAGTACTATTAATAGTGGTAATTGCACTTCGTGTGGTGCAATTTGGTGTGAAATCAAACGCGTGATTACAAAATCGCATTTGTAATCACAAGTTTGATTTCACACCAAATTTGCACGACACGAAATACAATTTCCAATTTATTATAATCATTTTGAAATCATACAAAAAATTAAACAAATTCAAAACGATTTATTGGTGTAAAATGTGAGTAATTTTCATCTATTTTCGTCCAGAAATTTTGCGGGGCATTTAAAAATTCGAAATAATAAAATATTGTGCTATTTTCAAATATTTGCCATTTTCATATATTTTAAATGATATAAATCACCCATTCAGCCTTGTCAGCTGTGTAACTTATGTGTGGGATCTATCATGTTCTTAATCAAGTTTATACACATGATATCTCTACGATTATCTAGGCTTTTAATACCACACTGAGCCAGTGCTTCTTCGTACATTCTTTCGGGGTAAATTATTCTAAGCGCTCGATCTCCTTCGAATCCTCTCGATGTCCGGACATTGTTCACAAGTTAGACTCCCGTGCTAAACTTGGGCACCGTTACTCAAGCACAGATTCGGTGCAAAACGCTTTTAGATCGGTTAACCTTTAAGGACTTTTAACAAATACAATCGTTTCGCAGCTTTATTGACGATGTGCTTAAATCGTCGTCAATCCATAAACCAACAGTTTATAGCTTGTTACCCTTTCAAGGAATATTTCTTCCAGCTTTAAATAGAGGATTATTGTTTTTGTCGACGAAAGTCAATTATCATTTGTTTACACTTTTTCAAATTTAGTTGCATTCTCTCATTTTTTGCATATACATTTACTTCGTGCATTTGTTCTTGAATATAACCTATATTTGCACCGGAGACATGCGTGTGAACATTCATACCCTCGTACATCGTGCTATCATCCATAAAAGATATTGGGTCGTCTTCAACTACCACGTATTCTTCTTGTTCTCGCTCATATGTTAGCCGTAGTTGAATCACCTCTTTCATTATTTCCGGAAGTTTATTGATATGTATAACGAAGGCCACTTGCCCTATTTTCTTTCCTTGCGACATTCTATTCTTTGCTTCCCTATTTGACAACTGTCCTTGTTTCAGCTCCCCATTTCAGCTAAAAGGTCATCCGCGATCCGCTTCGGCGAATATAAACAAACCTCCCTCTTCAACTGACTTGGCTATTATTCCTTCTCTATATGATGGAAACATGCATCTTCACAAACGAAAACTTTCTTGTCACCTCCGGGCTGACCATGCAGGCCAACCCAAGCGGTTTAAAGGATGATCCAGCTTTCTTTCTAATACAATTTAGTTCATCAAAACTCTGAAATCAAATAAAGAATTGGCAAATTTTGGCTTGGGCTAGCAGAGCCCGATATTACACGTCCGCACGCGATGACGGCACGCTTTTAAAATTCCAACATCTAATATTATAATACATATTCTTTTCCGGGCAACAAAACATTCCGTCGAAGATGATAGTTCACCATCTTTGCACAATATTACTTTTTTCTGTCTGCGTACGCTCTACTATATATAATTCACGCATGCAGGACTCAGAGTTGCAAAAAGAGTTCAACCTTCCTCCGGTAGGATTTCAAGTTTTGAAAACCTTCCTCAAGTGGCAACCAGAATAATGAAGTATTTGGTTTTTAGATACATGCATGTCATCAATTAGAGTATTCAACTTTGAACCTTCCTCATAAACCTCATTCAAAGCAAACCTTCCTCCGGGTGGTACCCGCGTACCCGCAGCTTTTTTGCAACTCTGGCAGGACTTGCTCGCAATCGCTGTTAGATATTCAGACAGCACATCGTATTTTAAGAAGTATAGGATTTCAAAAATGTAAAAAAAAATTTGTTTACATACGGATAAGACTTTTATTAAAATTCGTGGAATAACTCGGCAGCTTATAAACAATGGCGCTTCTAGCTCGCTTTTTTCAAGAACGTCCGTTCTTTAGCTCACCGCGGTCTTTGTCTTTGAAAGCGATTGCGCGTACTTCGACCAGCGTTGTAGCATTAGCACCCAAAGAAGTGTTGCCATTCTCGGCCATTCCTGGCCCAAAAGGAACCATTAGAAATCTGTTGGACTACGGGATGAGCAGAGGGACGTTCTTTGAAGTCTTGGAGAAGCGCTTTGATAAATACGGCCCGATTTACAGCGAAAAACTGCTGGACACTCGTATAGTGAGCATTTCCGATGTCGACGCCACGACGAACGTCTTGCGAAGAGAAAAAAACTTTCAGATGCGACCCGGCTTCGAGGCAGTTGCCGATATCGTTGAAGAGACAGGCAGTAGTCTTGGGCTCGCCTCAAACGACTATGAAATATGGTATCCTGATAGATCACTGCTCTCGCCAAAGATGTTGCGTCCCAAAGACGTGAGTGAGAGATATTCCTTGTTGAATACTATAGCGAACGAGTTCGCAGAGCGAGCGGCACGTCGTATTGGATCAGACGGAGTGGTGAACAACATAGAAGAAGAACTGAACTTTTGGACCGTAGAGTCGCTTGCTGCGTTCTTGTTCAATCAACGCCTTGGTTTCTACGACGACCCGCCGGATCCTGAAGCAGTCGCGTTCGTGAATTCTGCTCGTATTATGCTTGATATGACAGGAAAGATGCTGCACGGTGCTCCTTTTTATAAGTACTTCAAGACCTCTACCTATTCCATGTTGAAGGAAAGCGTTATTGAAGTAAACACCAGAGGTTTGAACATATTAAATAGAGTTTTAGCAACAAAGCAGGAGAAAGTCAAGACAGTCAGTGGTCACAAACAATCGTTGTTTGAATTTCTCTCTGCCAACGATAAATCACCAGAAAGAATGGCGTCGATGCTTGTTGGTTTGATGTCAGCCGGCATCGATTCCACCAGCGCAACATGCCTGTGGTTGTTTTACGAACTTGCCCGGAATCCGGACATCCAAGAGAAACTCTACAGCGAACTTTTGTCTTCAATTGGCCCTGATAGGGAGGTATCAGCCAGCAAGATTCCTTCGTATCTCAAAGCCGTCGTAAAGGAGTCACAACGCCTTTACCCCGTCGCTGGATATGTGGTTCCCCGTGTATTTCATAACGATATCGACGTTCTCGGATACAAAATTCCAGCAGGTATGTGCTTTAGGTGTGTCAAACAAAAATACGCAATCCTTGACTGGAATGTGTATTTCGAAAACATTATATATATATATATAATTTATTATATTATATAGATTCCGGTATACTAGATGAAGGGATAAGTGATCATGATATTATATACATTTGTAGAAAGATTGACATACCTATAATACAGTTTTAGGGAAAGGCCTAAAATCATAGAGACAAGGCGAAAAAAAATTTGACTGGTATATACCCTCTCAATGCATGAATGTAAATTTGGAAATATTTCAAAGTGAAACTACACAAATGATGTCGATAGAACCTAGAAAGCACAGTTAATAGGTAATACATGGTTTGGAGACGAAATAAAAGTACAATACAACTCAGGCATTTGTCTTGCTAAGCTCCTCAACCTTGACTTGAAAAATATGTTAATTATAAGATTGCTATTGGTTTATCTGTGCAAAATACAATAGACATGTGATGAGAAAGGAACAATTTTTTGCATAAACTTACCTCAACATAGTTGATGAGTTATATTGTAGTTTTATGTGGTCTCCAAACAATGTATATTCTATTAACTGTAACGCGAGTATTAAGGTGAAAATTAATGATTAATATTTTAAAACGCAAAAGGTATATGTGCCTTGCGATATGGAGTCTAAAATGCTTTTAATTTCTGCATGCATGCAGTTAGAAGAAAAACCTTAATATATACATACCTTTATGATAGTTAAACTTGTATACCTTCATGACAGTTAAAAGATTTGCATTATAGTACAAAGTGGCACAGTGCTGACACAGATTGTTTATTTTACATAAGCTCTTAATCTCTAATCAGTCTTGTATGCATGTCTTGATATAATTATGTGAGTTCTTAACACAAAAAACAGGCTCTTTGGTAATATTTGATGGTTTTCTTCACAACAAGACATTTTTATTTGTATTAATATAAATATTCAACAAAATATGTCTTGCACAAAAGATTTGAAGCTTGCACACGGTAAAAACGAATCGTCCGAATTAATAACCTTGTGTATAGTTTAAGCCTCAAAATGACCATTTTACACCTGTCAGATGTGTATGATGAGCTGTCAAAAGATTGCAGAATGCGTACTCGAGTGTCATCTTGGTCTGATGTGAGGTGAAAAGTAGGTCTCTGAAGCGTTAGATTTACATGAATTGTGCAGAAATTAGGACTTGGGTTTTAGCTTCAGCATATGGCTTACTTGTACATGCATCTCTGTTTATAGAGCAATATATAAAACGTACATTTTTGAAAACAAATTTATGTTCTAGTTTCATAATAACTGGAGTTAATGTATCTTGTTCTAAATATAATGTACATATAAACAAATGAATGCGTGAACAGATCAGTTATCAAAACTGTATACTCAAACTTTAGCGATTCCAGTAAACGCACGCGTAGGCCAATTGCGTTTTATGTTAACGAAAGATTGATTGTTGTAGGTGTGAAGATTTATTCTTACGAATTTCTGCATTCAATCGATGAGCGTTACTATGGAGCGGACGCGAAACAGTTTGTACCTGAGCGGTGGATGCGTGATGATGCAGGAAAGAAAAGGGAGTTCAACCCGTTTACGATGTTGCCATTCGGCTTTGGCGTAAGAATGTGCATAGGTCGGAGAATGGCCGAGGCATTGATCTATACGGTAACAAGCAAGCTGCTGCTTCGCTACCGTTTGGAGTACGCCGGAGAATGCGAGCTGAAACGAAGTCTAGTGGGAACGTTCATGAGTCCAGATCAGCCTGTTTTGCTTAAGCTCATTCCTCGCGAAAAAGAGATTTAATAAGTGTTAAGTATTATTCGCAACACTCCTCCTTAATAGAAGGGCGACATATTGATACTGTCATATTTTTTCATTTGAAAAACTCTATAAATTAAGAAACTGACAAGAGCACAAACATCTTTTTTACTCAACATTCTTTGAATATATTTGACATACCCTCAACAATAACCTTTACTAACATCCACATTATTAGTAAAGCGTTTGTTAAATGATTGCTATCCAACTGTCTGCAGACTACACCTCAACATATAAACTGCTAAGTTAATGAGATATACTCGAAAAAGAACCCTATATTTCAAACTGATAATTGTGGTTTTAGTAATCTTCATATCACGTGGAAACCGAATTTAATTAACACTTATTTACTGCGAACGAAGGAAACATGTTTTGTGGACCCGAGACCTGTCGATATTTCACGAGGCGAAGCCGAATGAAATATCGATGGTCGAGGGTCCACAAAACATAATGTTTTCTGAGTTTTCGGTAAATAAGTTTTTTATTATATACCACTTGTCAAAGAAAAACCAAACTACAAGGTAAACAACGAAATATCTATTCATAAAAGACATAATTTCAAATGGATAAAAGTTGTTATTTCCCATGAGATAACACGTTATCTCACTCTGCAGGGGGTCGCGCTGGCGACATCAAAGTTTCGTCACTCTCGCGTGATTCGCTCTCGACCAATGAAACGCTACGAAAACAAAACTTTGACAAGTGGTATATAATAATAATTGTTTTATTATTTATTTAAAAGAATGAACAACACTTTGTTCGCTCGAATGTGTCGATTTCACATTCCCGCTCTCTTGGCCTGGACCTCGATGTATTTGCCATTGGTGTGACGTCAAACGTGGGATATACGGCTATATTTTACCTCAAATTCAAATTGCCCAATCAGAAAACATTATTTGTACCATGTGACGCGAATATTTTTCGCGGTATCGCATCCCAGTGACATTAAATTTATCTCATGCGACGTCTCGCGAGAACTACACGCACCCACTGAAAATAATGGCGGGAATAGTGTTGTTGTTTGTTTGAAATCAAGAAATTAACGATTCTGCCAAGAAAATTAACCGTATTCTGGACGAAAGACATACAAACCCCCCCCCCAAAGAAAGTTGACTGATGCTGAAATACGTATTACTTTTTTCGTCTTCTTCGAGTACTTTCACTGATTTACAGAAATAATTCTCCGAACCTTTGTGTTTGACTATTCTACAAGCCGGCTCACAATACTTTTTCGATATATTGATATATAACATATCATATATATCATATTGATATATAATTTCGATATATGATATATCATTTATAGACCCTCCGCTCGGGGATTCGGCAAAATAATATAAATGATAAAAATCGCACGTTAGACGTATAGCGTGCATGAAAAAAGTCGTATCACATGTTATGACGACACAAGTTGCACATGACGATTTCACACATAGCTATTAGCCAATCAGAAACCTCGAACTCTTTTAAATAATAATAATTATATATATATATATATATATATATATATATATATATATATATATATATATGTATATATATATATATATATATATATATATATATATATATATATACAGTCGTTATCAAAAAGGTTGTCATATTGAAATATATATAAATACGTAAATATCAGTCACGTGATTTGACTGCATACGTTAATTATATGGGAAATACGTGAAAATCTTTATTAAAAATTTCATAAATATAATAGTAAGGTTAACAATATTGATAATAATAAAGAAACAAGACAAAAATGAGCGAAATAAACAATGTTTATTGCTCACGTGATTGATATTTATATATTTGTATATATATTTATAGGGACAACCTTTTTGATAACGACTGTATATATATATATATATATATATATATATATATATATATATATATATATATATATATAACGGGAAAACGGAATGCAATATTTATTTTATTATTCACCTTAACTAGAACTAAAATAGTGATCAAAATGTAGGGATAATTATTTTAATTTTGCTTTTGCTGGCGTTAACAATAGACCTTATGCATAATGACGTATAACACGCCGTGTTACGCCTGCAAGGAATTTTGGTTTTAGTAGTCACGGCGAAAAATTCAAACTTTAAAATTTCTCGCCGTGACTACTAATTAACACCAGAATTCCCTAGCTGCAGGTCATGGCCTGTTAAATCATTATGCATAAGATCTATATTGTAGAAACTTATAGAAATTATCATTTGTATATATGACGTCATAATTACAGAACACCGGGAATTATTTGTAAATTTGACTATGATTTGACGTAGCTAACAATTACAAATATCAGGAATTATTTGTAGGTGACTAACCATTATAAAAAAGGAAATTGTATATATATAGTCATATAGTGAATAAATTTAATTCTTATATACTGTTTTGCTCTCCATAACCTTCTCAATTATTATTTTTACTGTTTTTAGCTAGAATAAATCAACCAAAAGAAGGTCTGTAATATAGTGATTGTATTGTAGTTATTTTTTTGTCCATTTCCATGTATAGCAAAAGTCATGTTCGTTCACAAGTGACCAGTGGCGACGGACCAGTATACATATATAGGCGTACGGGCGCAACTTCGTTTGGGGGGGGGGGGGGCAAAAAATCGCCCGAATTACAATGTGCCCGAATTATAACTTTTACCAGATTTGTAACAATAAACTTGGATTGCTTAAAAAGCGGTCGATGTGCTTTCAAGAAAGTGTGACAAAAATGGCGAAATAGAATACAAATATGTGATACATATTACAAAATTTGGTTTTAAAAATTTGAGCTATGTAACTCTTTTTCAGTTTGCCCGAATTTTTGGCTGAACTTTGCCCGAATTCGTCCCCTGTCTCGTACGCCTATGCCAGTATACCATATTGATTAGAAAATAGGAACATCAAAGAAACTTCGCATTTCCCTTTACTTCGTTAATTTATATGAAACCATTCGAAACGTTCGTGAAAGCATATAGGTTCATCACGAGTATACTAAAATAAAATTTTACCAAATATTCAGCGATTGGAATCTGAAAATAAATTTCCCTTGAGCAACCCGACTATAGTGCTCCTTTTACAAGCGTTCGCAGATCACCTCAGCCATCGCGGGATCCGGGTATAAGAGATTACAGCTATATCCATAGTCCATGTTATGCATGCACATTACCATGACATTCATTCTAACCCCCATCGTGCCATCATTGTGTGCTATCAGGCCTTTCTAACTGGCCTTTCACAACCATACACTGCACTGCGTTCTTGTTTTTGATGTTCATGATAGCAACTATGTTATGGCAACGACCCCTAGGGCGATGGTATTGTCTTATTTTATGCCCGGCTACCTGCATATTAACCTATGACGGAGCAAATTAGCAGCAAAACAACGGAAAACATCGCGGAGAAAATGAACCGCTTGAGTATTCTCACAGCGCTTTTCAAATACTTATTGATCTTAAGATTTCAACCCGACCTCGTTTCGACCCAATCGGTGCAAGACAGCCTGCAATCAATTAACATAACTCGCTCGGATAATTTGGATTCTAGCGATCAATTGAGCTTGACCGTTGTAAATGCAACCTTTTGCCAAGACCAGAATGCGATCGATATCGGATTGTCCGCGGATTGTGATGTTGTTTCGCTGGAAACGGATGATTCTGGCAGGGATTTTTGTAACGTTAAATGTGAATGCAATAATGAGACTGGTAGTTTCATCGTGCACGAGAGGCGATGCCGTGATGAGAGAAAATTTAGGCAAGGTAAGAACAGAAGCGTCAAATTTGTCCGCCGTACCGAAGCCGTTCTACAGGCCTCACTATCATACGGTTAGCCTGGATTCGCTTATCACACATACGTTCTGCAGGTACATTAAGATAGAACCAGGCAGATCTTAACTATATATACTTCGACATAACATCCATGTTTAACATTTTCACCTTTATAAATCTCACTGCTTCTTCACAGCTTGTTAATAAATTTTCACCCAGTTGTTGACGTTCCAATCAACTTGTCATGGGGGGATTGTCCTCACAACTTAAAAACAACTCGTATTTGTTTATGAAGTGTATTTGCACTTAAATAATTTATACGAATTGAAGTTTGAGATATAGTCGAGTCTTCTGTGAAGTTGTTGGATGATGTTGATGTTCGTATTTCTTCGACTTAATCCAGCTAATTGCTTTTTAACTTTACTAAAGTTGTTGCCTGATGTCGACTTGCAATTCATACAGCTAATATATAATTCTTTTACAGCACATGTATGTGCATGCATAATATATATACTGTAGCATATCCAAAACATATATATTCCGAAGAAGAAGCTACATTAGCACTTTTGAAACCAAACGTATTATATATAAACTATAAGGCAGGAATGGTGACGTGATATTTCGACCTTATTTATACCAATTATACGTTAATCATGCATATCTTGCATTTTAACATCCATGCATGAAATGTTACACTTTCAAGATTGACAACTGTATAGCTAGAAAATAATAATAGTGTCAGTATATCTAAGATTAAATGAATGTTAATTCGTTCTTAAAGTGGTTATAAGAATATTCAACTCTAAAAATGTGTTTTTTCTTCGATTTCAATTCTACTCTACATGCATAAGTACGTCAAATAAAATGGGTCTGAACTGCTAAAAAAGACATATTGTGATCTAACCTGCTAAAAAAGACCGATTTCAAACCGTTAAGTTATCCACTAATAAACGAACACATAATTGCCATATTGGCATAATTTTATACAACCAGAAATATTGATGCTGATATGTTCGCCCACGTAACCCAAACAAGAAGCACCCTGTTGTGCTAATCTCTGTGTGAACAAGCACTAAAACAGTTGATCCGGTCAACATTATAGTAATTCATTGGTTTTTGCTGGTGTAAAATTAACCAACCTCTGTGACCTCGAACTCGAAGGGCGTACATGCAATCTTACCTAATTCTATATGCTGACAATGCAGGGGCTGGTTTTGGGGGCTAACATGCACGATTATTTCTCTATATACTTAGGGTGTTTTCCACTGTCGCGTCTTTTGTACGTGCGTATGCGCACGTAAAAGTTTAAAATCATTTCAATGATACTTATGAAATCAACGATTGAATATAGCTGCATAGGGTTTGACTCTGTTGATGATTTGGTGTGTTTTCCTGGCACAAAATTAATTATAGAACAATTTAGAAGGTTTTAACGAATATGCGATATATGCATGCATGTAGTTTTCACCTCGCCTAGCCGGGATAACTCGCTCCATGCATGGATATTATAATCAATGATGTTCTGTTCTGCGAGATGATCGCTTTAACGATATACCTGCGTGTACACCTGCACCTGTACAAAGGTTGTATGCCAGGCAGTCAGCTGCCAGACGTCGACAGTTCGCCATCTTTCCGCTAAGCTTAGAGCTGGGTATAGAAATTCAACACTGCATGTAACAGAGGTCCCAAAAATCAGGGAATTGAAATCGCACCTAAGATTTGTATGAGCCGCATATTGCAATCAGTATATTAGGCTAAATTTCCCTTGAAAATTTTATAAAATGCAATAGATTTCAATGCAAAAGTTTAGCAGTCCAAAGGCACTCGCCGCTACTCGGCGCTCCTTATTCAGTATTCCGACGGGTCACTGATCTATGTATAATTAAACCAAAGTATGTTTTAAAACACGAATGGCCGTTAAATTCCTTGAACTCGGGACTTCACTGGATGCCTGCAAATCCTGGTTTATTCATATCGATGATATCCTCTGATTTGCATGAACGAGTCGATTCTTTAACAAAATATATCTTTCAAGGTTGTAGTCTAGTATTTGGCTCGTGGTCGTGGAACAACAGCTGGGTGTGGAATTCTCAAAACGATCGTCTCTTAACGTTATACTACGAAGATGGTTTTGGTTTTGGAGGAGGATTTAACGTCAGCACGGCGGAGTACAGGTGCGTGAAATCAACAGCTTGAACACGATGCATCCTTTGTTTATGCACTATATTTCAGTGGTGAACTAAGCCGTCTTTCAAAGGAATGAAAGGATGGAAATGTGAATGAAAAAGAAATGCTTGGCACTATTCCTCATTCCTTTCATAAACTAAGTCTTTGGCAAATTAATTTGATTCTTAGTCAAGTAAGAATTTGATTGGCTTTGTTTGATTTGATTTCTAAACCAGTCAGAAGTTTTGTGGCAATTCAACGGACGTACCATCCCCTATCAAACTAAATTCTAGGAATAACTAAACAGAAATATTCGAATGAAAAGTTTGATTGGGAAGTTTGATTGCGAAAATTAAGATTCTGGAATTCTTTGTCTAACCGACGAATCGTGCAAAACAGCTCAGATTTACTGCTGTGAAACTTTATAATGCGTTTATTTGGCGCCATACATTGCCAATATATACATGGGGGTCAGTTATGCATGAAGGCTCTTATTTACTTATCGCAGCGACAAACTGGCGAGGACTGCGAGTGTTTTTAACCAAAAACTGCATGCGAGTTTATTTTTATGCTGAGTGAGACAAAGCATGTAGTATACTGTAGACTAATATAACGCTATTGCAATGTTATAATTAAATAATCTCGCCCATGCATGCAGACCGTGGTAGCTATATATGATTTTTTTGTTTTACAACACATTAACAGCCTCGTTCCCAGGCGCTTTAAATAAAATAAATATAGGAACACTGCAGGCTTTTACATAGATCAGTGGCTAAGCAGAGCGAGCGCGCAAGGAATTTTGGGGAGGACGCGACGGAGAAATGGAGCTTCCTTTCCCGCGTCCTTCCCAAAACTCCTTGCGCGCTTGCTCAGCTTAGCCACTGATCAATGTAAAAGCCTGTAGTGTTCCTATATTTATTCTATTTAAAGCGCCTGGGAACGAGGCTGACACATTAATGTAATTTTTAATATTTGACAGCGAGTGCGGATACACAAGTTTATCAACGTACAACGACGCGGGAGGATGGGATGTTTTTACAATTCCGTCCAACGAATCGTTTATTTCTTTCTATGAATTAAGGGGATATTGGCATTTTTATTGGGTAAGCAAATCTTTTGTACGAATGACAGAAAACAGTGTTGGAATTAAACACAAACAAAACATGCAGTACTTAACATTTAGAAAGGTTTTTGTAAGTATTGGTAATTTATAAGGTCTTAGATTTAATTCTAAAACTTTTTAACCCGAACACTAGAACTTTCCGCAACAATTCCGGCTTATTGATAAGATTCAAGTTTTAGAGATGTTTTAGCAACTACACCGTGCGTGACAGTTCCGTGTAGCCTTACATTACGATCGCCCAGCAACATCTCAAAATTTGACTTTTTTCGTGAAAAATCATTAAAGATTCAGTGATCAACTTCAATAAATCTCTTATCTCCACTCTTTTAAAGCTACTTGAAAACCTCTCGGACAACAAGAAATTGGAATTTGAAGGAAAATTTATAAAAATAGATATAACTTGTGAAAATTCGAATGAAATAAATGGAATAGTGGATGTCAACCTGATATCCTCCTGTATCGTTTTCAAAGTCACTGGAAATATCACACGTGAGTAAATAATGAACTCTATGTTTGATATTTTTAAGCTGTTCTCTCTCGATGTTTAAGCAAGGATCATCCCTTATCGTATCAGTGCCATATTACAGGAAGAAACCTAATTTAAGCAAACAAGTATTCATATATATGTATGTTAACAATGTTCGATTATCAAAATTTACTGCCCTAGACGAATACAAAATGAACTCAACAAGTACTGATGTGTACCCTAGTACTACACTTATTCCTGTATCAACAACCACAAATATTCCTATTCAATCCACAACTGAAAGGATGGAACCCTCAGTAACCACTGCAGGACTATACACAACGAGTTCCAATGATAGAATTTACTTCGCTGTTACAACCTCGAAGACTGATTTGGTTTATACAAGCAGCTCTGTGAGTGAAAGCAGTTCAGTGAGTGAAAGCAGTTCAGCGAGTGGAAGCAGTCCAGTGAGTGAAAGCAGTTTAATGAGTGAAAGCAGTTCAGTGAGTGAAAGCAGTCCAGTGAGTGAAAGCAGTTCAGTGAGTGAAAGTAGTTCAGTAAGTAAAAGCAGTTCAGTGTTGGAGGGCAGTACAGTGCGCAAGAGCAGTTCAGTGCTGGAGACAACTTCAGTGAATATAAATAAACCAGTCACCAGTCTATCGGATGAAAGTATATCAGGTATCGAAAGCACCTCGGTAACTACAAGTAGCTCAGATGTCCAAGACAATCCACAAATTCAAAGCAGTTCGGTCATAGAAAGCACTCCAGCTATCAGAAACAGTCCAGTACTGGGTAGTACCTCAGTTATAAACAATCCGATTACCAAAAGAAGCACAATTGTTCAAAGCAGCCAAGTTATTAAAAGCAGTCCAGCCACTACTTCAGCGGCACAGAGCACCCAAGGAGTAAATCCAACGAACAAAGGCAATCAAATTGGCCTAATTCTTGGGATCGTGGTCGCCTGCAGCGCAGCGGTTGTCACAATTACAGCCGTCATAGTACTTACTGCGACGTCTTTACATAAAAGTCACGTGAAACGCACGCACCTTATTCAAGATGACGTATCCAGCGTTAGTATAGCCATGAAATCATTCGATAAAAATGCACCTACGCATATTTAATTAACTTCGATATAGATATACAGTATATGCTGTTGAACTTTATCTATACTTTCATAATTCATATCTCAAGAGCAATATAGAAATGGTGACGAATTTGGCTTGAAATTTGTTTCAAAGATGGCGACCATGCAGTTATCGTTCCAGTTCACATAGAGTTCACTGGTATAATCATATGACACTAAAACAACACAAGAATATAATTATGGGTTTTTCTGCGCGAGCTTTTATGAAAAATCTGTTACAGTAAATTAACATTCGCGTACTGTCTTCAAGAATCAGTATAGAGTTATTCAATGTACCACCAGTAAGACTAATAAGTTTGGTTGCGAAAATTAATGTTAAAAACTAAAAAGTGTAAAAAATAATGCTTAAAATAAAATATTGTGAAATTTAGCAAATTCTGTATAAACCTTTTCGTAAAGCGGTAACGGTTTACTAATTTATACACAATTTGCCGATTCAATTCGCGAACCATTTTGCTCTGTGAAATCATTCAATTCCTCCAACAAATGCTTTCAAGACGCTGCATGCGTCGTTGCGCGATTAAAGCGATTATTTCTGGCCGAAGATCCACGAACATTGAATGCAAGCTTTTGTATACGTCCATGTCGATCCTGACGAAAATCGTCCAGCACGAGTGGAAAGAGGTCTCGCCGAATCTGAACGTCTGTATATGCGATAGAGTGTTAGCAAAACCATACATGATACGGCAAGCACTGCCTGTGTATATGTGAGAACGGGAATTCGCTTTGCAACAAAGCACTATCTCTCGCATCATTATTAGACCCCCTATCGTTCTCAGCCCAACCCCGTAACATTTATTCAAATGAGGTTTTATTGAAAACCGCACAAATGAATGCGGAATAACAGTATACGAGCCACATAACTTAAACAATTTACAAATTGCTAGGACGCTTTAAGTTTAATACTTCGAATTTAGTACAGCTAGTATAAAGGTTTCCGCGGTCGAGAATTGCAAAGACAAGACTATACTTCCAAACCTTGCCAAGGTACGTGAAAGCTGAAACTAAATAGGTTTGCATAGACTGTAATGCAGATGCATAAACTTCGAGGGAAAAAATACATAACAATGTCAACGGTAACTGCATGAATGATTGAGTTATAATCATCTATCTAAACTACAGAATATCACGTTTATAACATATGTTAACATTTGTTCACAGTTACAGGTTTGTTTCAATTAAGACTATGTATGGTATGTAAAATACGAGAGCTCATGACTTAATACTATTAGTATTAATGATTTCATACGATTATATTAATTTGCTAACAATTTAGTCAATATATACTAACCGCATATGCACAAAAGTTCGACTCAGATACAATTATAGAGACTCATTAGCTGTAACAGTGTATGTAAAAAACTTGATAATCTACAGTTGTCTGTAATTTCACGAGTTCATTAAACCATATTATATCTTATATAACGTACAATGACGATTGACGTATGAAGTTATATTGATAATGTGGCTTGTATTTTATATTAATATAAAACAGATGTATATGGAAACCTATATGCAATATGCATGTAAAGAAACGATAATTATCTTAGTACGCATGTAATGTGCAACATTTCAAGGCAAAACGAGCATGTCTATTGTTTCAAATTCATCAAGAACATCTGAAACTATAGCATTAGAAATGTTTTGATTTTGTTAAAATTTGGATTGCTTTGATTTTTTTTTCGTTCCGTGTTGTGTGTGTTTCGTGTCACTAAAACGTGTAAAAACAATAAATACAGTTAGATTGATTTATCGCCATCAGCCACCCAAAAAGGCGATTTATCAGAGCTTCCTAACGCCATCTTGTTTGATAAAGGACTAAAAAGGAAAGCAAGGATATTCGATGGAAAATTATGGAGATTTTGGAGTCCTATAGTCAGGAGCACATGATGAATTTTATCAATACTTTCCCACTAGGTCAATAATGCTTGCAAGAAGATGTAGCCGTTCCACACTTTTTCGATAATACGCCATTTTGTTATTTTTTGACAATACGTCATACATAATTACGTCATACTTTCTACCAGTCCACTGCCCAATATAGGAAAAAATAAGGCTTCGCTCGCTATAGGTCCGTATAGCACAATACACTCAGACGACGTTCGTTTCAACAAAACCATAAATTATTAGAATTGCTTGTTTGTCGTAAAATTTTACCCTTGTTTAATCGACGTGAATTTGAAGCCAAAAAGTTAGATATAAGAATATGTCAAGCACTATTAATGACTCGCCTTCTTGTTTATAGATCATTGCTAAGCGATGGACACGATTAAGTTCACCTGTACGAAATGTGCCTATGTTTACGATCCTCAGAGCAACATGGACGAAGGAATACCATTCGACGAGCTTCCGGGAGATTGGCTCTGCCCAAAATGTTTCACTGATAAATCAGACTATGTCCCAATGACGAAGACAAAGCCGGCAGGGGAAAGAGGAATGGCCGTCCACTCAAAATAACTTGCTCTGGTACCGTTCCAAAACATACATTTCAATGCACATAAGATACATTTCGAATGTATATTATCCCCTTTTCGTATAGTACATATATGCAATGTTGATGCAATTTATAGCAAAAACATCATATAGTTTGATTTGCACTATAACGGTAGACTAAAATGACAGTGTCTCTGGGCCATAATTTGGCCCTGTAACCTTAGTAAATGAAATTCTGCCCGAATTGAACCTTCATTTGAAATCGCTTTTTTTATGATTTTCGAACGTCGACGTTTGCGTTCCATTAAATTAATTCGATCGGCCGTGCTAATAGGAAAGCGCTCAGTGATCAAGAGCATTTGTAGCTAATATTTAAGACGTTTAATAAATCATTATTCATGTGAACATTAATTACATATTAAACAATTGCTTCGATGCAATCGTCGTCAATCAAGTCTAGAAACCTTAGTCTGTGATCAGTTGTTTTGGTCACGTTACTGCAAACTAGTTCGCGCCTGCGCGGTGAGCAATTCTCCGGCAATATCAAATTTTGGCCTCTTCTCACACACCTCGAAGATTACCGAATTACCAGACGATAGATATATATATAGGTACGAATATAGTACTATTCGTGTATACATACAGTAAGAACAATATATTTCAAAGGAAATCAGTCGGGCACAATAATAGATTTTCTATGAATATCAACAATGATCAAAAATAATTATTGACCTGAGGTACATATACACAGAAATAATCGAAAAAATAGCGAACTAAAAATTCTTGCGATAGAAACGAAGGATAAAAAATCTTGGAAAATAAAATTTAGTTACTTTTAGTGTACTATTGTTATAAAAAGCATCCTTTTCCATGTGAAGTTAATATATGTAGTATGGATTGATTCGGTAATGATTCACAGATGTTCAAACACATGGAGAACACTTGAAGTGTATATATCATTTCATTTTGAACTGGCTAATCTAGGACAATAATGTATGCGAGTACCTGGTTATTTCATAACTTCACTTAATCATTTCAACGGTGAAAATTTTGTGGGAACCAACAGTTTGGAACTCATCGACGATAAAAACAACTTGCAATCACGAACTAAAAAAGAGAAATCATCAATCAAAATACATCCATATGTTCTGATGCATACGTACATCTGAAATACACACTATTTCCCAACATTTCGAACCGGTCTTTATTGTGGGACTCAATCGGGTTTTGTCTGTTTGTTAATTACCAATCTCGCCGATCTACATATATACCAAAAACGATATACATCTGACGTGCATAATCAGTTGACTAGTTCATTCAATTATATTCCATAATACAGTACGACGCGCTTGGCAAACCTTTCGTGTGTAATGGAATTTTATGGAAATTTGTAATATGGTGCAATTACTTGTGTTACTGCTGGAACGCAATAAAGGCCCTGTTGCACAATGCAATTTTCCCTGACACTTGCAATGCAATTCTTCGTTTCAAGAGATCAGTGGCGTAGCCAGCACGGGGGGGCATATTCATATATTCATGTTAACAGAGTGTAAAGACAATTGATTTGAAAAGAAATTAAACCTGCGTATAACGAATATATATGAATATGGCCCCCCCCCAATTATCGTTCTGGCGTAGCCAGAACTAGTGAAGTTCTACTAAATTAGTGAAGAGTTTTCGAAACGTTTCACAGACGTTTCGTGGTTGGCAAACTTACATCTCTCGAAGAGGGTCCTGAAAGGGGGGGTCCCAAATTTCATTTCCCATATCGTAGCCCCATTACGACGTTTATAAGAAATCCCAGCCTTTAAAAGGGTCAAATCCCATTTCCACTAAACCCCATTTTCCCAGCGTAAAAATAGCGCAATCCCATTTTCAAATTTCACCCCATTCAGGGCCCTCCTCAAACGGTACAATTGCATTAGAGGTTGCAAGAAAAATCAGTTGCATCATGTAACAGGGCCTTAACTGACGGGAAGATTTCAGCAATACTCAGAAAAGACTTATTCGCGACAATGCCTTCGATTGTGGGGCCTATAAAGAAAGACATTGAAAATAAATATCTGCTTACTGGTTTCACTCCACATTTCATCCTTTTCCGCTGTCTCTCTGATCTTCATACGTTCATCTGGAGTACGATAATGCCACAGGTGATAAACTAAAGAGAAATAAAATTGGTGAGCAATAGCCCGATTTAGCATGTACTAATACTGTGCTTAGAACAATTTGAAACTACCTAACACAAACAATAGTGTAAGGGACTATAAGAACAAAACCACGCAATTCGTTGTAAAAAAGTAGATGGCGGCCACTGATTACCCACACAGCACAGCAGCCCAGGAAGCATGCGAAAATTATGTATGCATGTTTATATACTAGATATATTTATATAGCTTTGCATTATTTGCAATATTGTACATATATACTAACTATGAATAAAAGCTTTTCATTTTAGACCGAAACAATTCACTGAATTATTGGGCAAGTTCAATTCCATACCTCGATTTAATTCTCCAAATTCGCTGTACCATATACCAATCAGTTGGGAGTATTTATTTCGATCTTCAACACCTTGCTGGAACCGGTGTGAGAACTGGGCCAATTTACTAGGAAGTACAGTATGCTGTCGCATTTCGTACACACCTAGGAGAGATTAGTGTCATAAATAAAGCATCGACTGCAGGAACTGTTTGGAACTAAATTAGCATTGGCGATTGAACAAGCCTTGCTCCATACAAATAAAAAACTAAATAATAAAAGACCATTGCCATTGGGTTACATAGTTTTTAGGCTTTGCCAAATGCATATATATCCAAACATTTTCTTGCATATTGCAATATATTTTTTTGTAAATTATTGGCATTACACATTACCTTGTTCTAGAATTGGTTTTTCAACAACATTATACCAGGAAAATGGATACAAGATGGCATTATCCTGGAAGATGTAATATAACAGATTTACTGTAACCATAACATAGATCAAAAACAAGGTGTCACCATGCCCATAGGTTATAGAATACATCCTTTTTTGTTTAAATTCCTGTATGACCTCTCTCAATAAGCTATTGGTTTATATGCAGCTTAATTATCTTCTCAATACATTTGACTAGGCTGGAAACAGTGAAAGAACCCATGCAGACATTCACAGTTTTGTCACCGGGTAAATACCTTCGTGGAAGACATTTCCTAACTGATAACCTATTTATTCCTATTAGCATGTTTGTTTGACCAAGTCACCTGTTTCTCAATCATTGACAATGCTTTAGTAATGTAACTTGACAACCAATTTTCATCACTTGCCAAAGCTGCTCTGACAGCTGTTCTATGACCATGATTGTCTAGAGAATTGTTATGTCAATTAGGTATTACCATTTCACGGTTATTTCATGGAACACTTAGAGCGAAGATACACATCTTACCATACTGCCATATATGATTTACTTCATTTAGGCCTCCATATTCTGATACCCAATAACCTAACAGCTTTGAATGCGCTGTCCTCAAATGAATATGCTCATTTGTAAGTTGAATAAACTGATCTGAAATGCAACAGTACTCAGTGTAAGTCTGTTGTAATGTATGTCCAAAATATATAGCATGCACATGTTCACATTAGTTTTGCACCAAATTCATTGTCAGTTTCGGTACACTGCTAAAAGTGCTATAGCTCTAACATAAACACTGTGCCTGATTATGGCCCATTGCAATAATATGTAGCTTTAAAAATGTAAGACCTAGTTGATTTCAAAATTTCATCTCACAACTGCAGTCTTAATATCTTCAGACAGAATTCAAGCTATTTGCAACCAACATTGGAACTGTTTACACACTTTTCCTCCCAAGTTAAATATACTTTTGCCTGATTTTGATAACACATTGACCGACTGTCACTGACAAGTCGACAATCCTGGGTGCTTGGCAAACTCAGACGTTGTAATAGAGGGGTCATATTTCAAGCCTAATCGAGGTCTTGAGTTTCTGAGCCAATGCGCTGAATAATGCATCTTTTTATATACAAATATTAAATATACTATTCCAAAACTATCAAGTGTTCACAAATTTAGTTATTTACTCCACATTTTAGGCCAAACCCAGCGTACCTGTAACAAAACACGTGTACAATTTATTGAAATTTAAAATACTTACTGAAGTGTTTTGGCTTAATCGTGTAAGTTCTGTACTCATAAAACCTTTGAGTAGCTTTGGTAGTGGAACTAAAAGCTCGTTTTGCGGAGACATTCAGCCATACCGCACTAAGCAAACGTGAATTCTGCATTCTGCTAATCTGCTTTGCCTTTCGCGCAGCTCGTAAAATTTTGAAACTTGAGCAAAAAGAACGAGAATAAATCATGCCTAATTTCAATACGTCGAGGGCATACGAAGTTTTTCCGAGTGCCATACAATCTACAATGACCACTTTATGAATTAATAGTCTAAATATTGTAAATTTAAATTATCATTTAATATTTTGGATTTAAAAGTTTCAGCAAGGTAAGTTAGGACTTAGGAAGAGAGATTTTAGTCTATATTCTGGTCTATCGGGATAAATTAATACGAAATTTGTCTCATTTTGTATACTTCAGTTCTCGGAGATGTACCGAGAGTTCCAAAATTTTGAAAAAGGTGCAAAATGTTACAAATATAAAAAAAGAATATTCTAAAATGTAATAAAATAGTTGCAAATTACTTCCAAAATGTCTCAAAAAAGAAAACATAATGTTCAATTTATTGACGAATTTCAAATAATGGAAACACAATTTCGCCAATTTTCCTTTCTTGCAAGTTTGCACAATGTCTTCCGAAATAGAGCGCAACCCTGGCGTAGATTTAGACATATCATGGGTGCGAAAAAGTTGTGTCAACTTGCCTGCCGTAAATAGACGTGCGGAAACCTTAAAGACCCGTCGATCTATTAAGAAGCAATGGCAAGCGGCTTGGCTTTTGAGAGCAGTATCATGCCTTGATCTTACAACTCTTTCTGGTGACGACACTAGTGGCAACGTGGCCAGGCTGTGCTTCAAAGCGCAAAGCCCGGTCAGGCAGGACCTGTTGAAAGGCATGGGTTTTGATAAGGAAATCACGGTTGGAGCAGTTTGCGTGTATTCAACACGGGTACCAGATGCAATCAAGTCCTTGAAAGATGCAGGGTCTAATATACCTGTGGCCTCTGTTGCAGCAGGTTTCCCAGCTGGTAGGTGGTACGTGGGGTACTAGAGGGTGCCAAAATTAGTGGGGGAGGTGGGCAACTGTTAAATGCGCATGTGATGTTCTACAGGTAGATTACAAGATCATACAAGTAGATTAAAACACCAATCACCAATATGGAATGAAACCCTCAGTGGTGCATTAGAAAAGGTTTTCTAAACTGATATGAGTACTGCATTTGCCATATGCCTTCAGATATTAATTGAAACACCACAGCTATAATATTTCACACATTTCTTCTTTAGGCCTGACACCACTTAAACAACGTATAGATGAAATTCTTATGGCAGTATCATATGGTGCTAAGGAGATAGACATTGTTATATCACGTGCTTATGTTCTTGATGGTGATTGGCAAGCTCTATATGATGAGGTGAAGGCTTGCCGCAAAGCATGTGGAGATGCACATCTTAAGACCATTATTGCTACTGGGGAACTTGGTTCATTGGTCAATGTTTACCGTGCTAGCCTGGTTTGTATGATGGCAGGGTCAGACTTTATCAAGACATCAACAGGAAAGGAAAGTGTAAATGCTACATTCTCTGTTGCCCTTGTTATGGTCAGAGCAATACGAGACTATTTTCAGGTATATACAAGACTATTTTCACAAATGGATAGCAATATAGTTATTATTAATATAACCTGATTAATATATTGTTGGACAATTTATTCCCTATTTTCGTATAGCAAACTGGCTACAAAGTTGGTTTCAAGCCGGCAGGGGGAATTCGTAGTGCAAAAGAAGCCTTGACTTGGCTAGCACTAATGAAAGAAGAGTTGGGAGATGAATGGACCCAACCGAACCTTTTCAGAATTGGAGCAAGTTCTCTTCTGCTTGACATTGAAAGACAACTATTCCATTTTGTTACAGGAAGGTATGCAATGATTTGACTTTTCGTTTTGGCTGTTCAAACACCTGTTTCTTAGAAGCTTTATTGTGCTTGTAAAAAATTATAAAATTTATATGCATTGATACAACTCATCCCAACCTAAAACAAATCTATTACTCCAGCTAGCCTACGAATGCTAGAAACATAGCTCTTGTTATCACTTTGAACTGAGTTTGAAGTGTTGTGATTCCAATTAAGAATACATGTGGTGCTTCATTTTGAAATCAACAGTGAGTTGCCCATGATTTTCTACATTATTTCTTTCTTTATTCTATAGATATGCTGCTGCACATGAACTGCCTATGTCTTAAAGAACATTGAAACAATGTACCAGTTAATGTCACAAATTATTGATGTAAAATAATTTCTTACCACTAAAATTCACTCATAAAATTTCATAAACTTTGTACAGTATGTGTGGTTGATTCTCAATATTGAGTTAGTACTTACTACAATATTATATATTCATCATTTGACTTATCTTATTTATCACTTATCAGTATCATCAATCACCTAGAAAATCAACAACTTCCTCCAGTTCTCGTTGTTTTGCTTCTTTATGAGCCCAGCGATCCTCTGCCACCTTTGGAGTTACATTCCATTTCTCATGATAGATTACACTTTTGCATGCTGGACATTTTTTATCTATAATATATTATTAGAAAATATATATTGTTTTGTATGCTTTTGCCATAAAAGAATGAAAGCATCTCAGAAATTAACCTTTAAAAGGTGGCGTTTTCATATATTTGTCCAGACATCCAAAATGGTAGATGTGCGAACAATATACTCTCTCTAGATGATTAGGGTCTGTAGGGTCTTTTACCACTGCCTAAAAAATTATACACTGTGTATATATCATAAATACCCAAATTTGAAAGGAAAAAAGGCAAAATTATACGAATGAAGCCAATAACCAAAAATATACTAGATTAAATGAGCCTTGTGTCAACCACCTCTTCTATAATATCCAGTGATATTAATTAATTTCCTGAAATATAATTAACAGTAACATGTACTTCAATTTTCTATACAACAAACCTCAGGATTGTCAGGTAAAGTTTTGAGCTTGCACAATGGGCATGTTTCTCTTGGATACTTTCTGATGCAATCATTGACTAAGAATTCGAAAACTGGCTGGAGTGATGGTTTTGGTTCAAATGGTGCAGCCTTGGGATTTTTCTTTAGAGGTTTACTGACACACCTCCTAGCTATTTCTTCAGCCTGTGATAGAAAAACTTTTCTCAAGTATGATGGAAAATTTGAACCTGTTTCTTCTATCCTGAAATGAGAATTAATGGCAAAAATGCTGTCATGAAAGTTTTAGATTTTTCAACATTTTGCAAAGCTAATACAGTATATGTATTTATCTGGTGTTATATTACCAGTCAACAGGCAGTGACATGTTAATATGAGTATGTGGCACTTTTGTACTAATTTCCACTACAGTGTACAATTATCATACAGTTTGCAATGCACAAACTACAATAATTAAAGCAGAAATCTGACCCACCTAACTGCCTCAGCTGGATATTTATCTGGAACTGTTATAACGAATTCCATATTAAATCTATAAAATTTATCAACCAGCTTAATAAAAACCATGCAATTTAGCCAACAGACCAAAACACATCAAGATTATGTCCATAGCTGTAAACATACCTGTCTTGATTTATATTTACAGTAATTATTCCACTTTTTGTTTTCATTTTATATTTGTCTATGTCTGAATTGATTATATTATTTTTTATATAGTTAAGTTCATCAGAGCAAATACAAAATGGATTATCATCCAAGAACTTCTTTATGAATGTTATTACTGGAACAATCTGTAATTAAAATATGAAAACTCAAGTTCATTTGGGTGAGGTTTATCTCAAGCTAGCTAATGATTGACAATACTTAAGAGTGCAGAAGAAAAGTGCATGAAGTGTAATAAAGACAAAAGCTTCGTTGTTCCCAAATATACATCTCTCAAAAGTAGAATTACATTGCAAGTTGTAAGAAAAATCGCACCGTGTAACGGGGGCTTTAATGTGAATGAAGAAATCTTTCCTTGTTCATGTACATATATTGTACATTGCATGATAAAATTAATCTCTTTGAAAACCTCCTAAAATATATACCTGTTGTTGTCCAATGTACTTCTTCATTTCTTGATCACAGATATTGACTAACTTATTTAAGAGTTTTTCAGAAAGTGTTTTACTTTTTAATTCGACCAAAATCCCACTTTTTGGATAATCTTTGGAAAACTGCAGATGAACAGTCATTTGTTTATATTTTGTTTTTCTGTAATAAACAGAGTGTCAGTAATTAGTGTGCAGCAAACTTGCCTGCTAACTGATAGATTGCTAACTAATTTTAAAACTAGCACCACCCCTCCACATTAGTCAGCAAAATTTGTCTGTATTGGTGACATCTACTTATATACCTTTTGAATAATACACAGCATTCATCTGGAGGGAAAATTTTAATAAAGCACAGAACTAGTGAAGACATTTTTCATACATTCATAATGTGTCCTATATATAATGTGTCCTATAACTGTTTTATAAATACAAACTGATAATCAATAATATTTAAAAATATCAACACAAAATATAGGTCAGAGATCATATTTTAATACACTTTAACACTTACTTCACTTTGACTTGAACGAGTGCGAAATGACAAGCTATAATCTCAGTTCCTTCAACGAGGTCGGTCAATTTTTCTTTAACACTTTTAAGTTCATCTTCCACGAACTTCAAATCATAATTGTTGTCCATCTTCCATGCATTTAATACTACGGAATAATATTATCAAAAATCAAAATACAAACACACGTTTAATAATTTCATGGTGTAAGAAATTAAGAATAGGTGCGCAAGCGTACATTCACAACAATGACTTTGGAATAAAGTAAAAAATCACCAGACTTTTGCGTCTTGTGTGTTCTTGTAAGATGATATTATTTTGAGTTTATCTAATTAATTTCGTTTTACATTTCGTCAAATCGTCTGCTGGTAAAGCATAAATTTGCCAATTTGTATACTTTTGTAGTGCAATATTTTAAACTTTTGTTAGGCTGTAATTTGCAACAGTTCGCCCTCGGATGTTGCAATTTCACTAATTTTAGTACGCTTTTCTAATTTAAATTTAGCACCAGAATATACTTGCTAGAATGAATTCAGGGTGATTCGATAACCTGGATTACCATACTGCACTGGTATACCCATAGGCAGCCCAGACTTTGACTTGCGCGTGTGATACTCGCGCGCGTGTCGCGCTTACGTTGTTTACTTCGTCTATATATTATGACAAGGTAGGAAAGAGTTTATCAAAATATGACAGATATACCTTCGTAAATGTATAATTATCTAAAAAAATACTTGAAGAAACGCCACAAAAACTACAACCTAATAATTACCGATGATTAAACTACATTATCCTGCAGTTTTCATGTTTTTAAACAACATCTAAAGCCTTCAAATTAGCGAAATAAAATAGGAATTCATACGGAATTTTGAGAAAACTATCCGAGGGTCACTCCGCCTAAGGAAACGTCATCTTTTTTGAGATATTAACTAAACGCTCATTGGCTTACCTGCAGGACCACAAATGAGAACCAATGAGCGTTTAGGTAATATCTCAAAAAAGATGACGTTTCCTTAGGCGGAGTGACCCTCGGATAGTTTCTCAAAGTTCCGTATGAATTCCTATTTTATTTCGCTAATTTGAAGGCTTTAGATGTTGTTTAAAAACATGGAAACTGCAGGATAATGTAGTTTAATCATCGGTAATTATTAGGTTGTAGTTTTTGTGGCGTTTCTTCAAGCAATTTTTTAGATAATTATACATTTACGAAGGTATATCTGTCATATTTTGATAAACTCTTTCCTACCTTGTCATAATATATAGACGAAGTAAACAACGTAAGCGCGACACGCGCGCGAGTATCACACGCGCAAGTCAAAGTCTGGGCTGCCTATGGTATACCCAACAATGGTGAAGTCTTCGTTCAAACTATCTCATGGAGTATTAATGAATAAACCAAGTCCACAATTAGTAGAAAATCTCGAGTTGTTTTCAATGTCAGATATTTTGAAATATGAATTTGAAAACTCGCAGAAAAAGCCAGGTGATTTATCCAGACTTTTGATCGACAGTTCTCGGGCTGTCAGAAGGCACTAACGAGAATGCAGAGTGCAGACTACAGAGTTGACTGTCTGAATGTCTTTGTTGCTGTTTTACTGCTGTAAGGTTGATCAAAATGCAGATAATACAGTAAATGTTTAATTTCTATGAATGAACTCTGCTATTGTTTAATACATTGCAATATACTATATAATTCTGGAATATACTTGGCTATAGGGCTAATTTTGCTACTCTTGTAGCCCGCATTGCATCCCTAATGTCCCTAAGTTACTGAACCTCAAAATTGCCCGGCTATCCTATCAGGCATTATCAGGCATTAGAGCCTAGTCGACTCAGCATAAAGCGCGGTCAATTCTCACGAAAAACTCTTTTCAAAAAATAAACATCTTTTCAAAGATGGTAAGTTCGAATCCTCATCAATCCGGATTCAAAAAGCGCTTTTACCCTTGTTTCTTTTCATTCAAATAGAAGAATGGATTAATACTAAGTATTGAAATGTTTTCTTTTGCCCAAAGGTGAACATTCCGAAGACCCGTAAAACGATCTGCAAGGGTAAATGCAAAAGGCATACAACACACAAAGTGACACAATACAAAGCTGGAAAGGCTAGCCTTCATGTACAAGGTTAAAGGATGTTTTGAAACTTTAGCTACACTTTTTTAGCTCGAAGCAATAATGACGAGTATCTTTATGCCACAATTTACTGAATTATTACTGTTCAGTCAGTGAAATGATAAAATCACTTTGATTTTAATTGGTTGAATTAGACTACCTTATTACTATATTCAAGGAAAACGACGTTATGATAAGAAACAGCAAGGTTTCGGTGGACAAACTAAACCTATATTTCACAAAAAGGTGCGTTTTTGTACAGGTTCATTGTTTCCAGCTGAACATCCTACCTTGGCCATCTTATTTTATAAACTCACCTTTTGTTTTGCACCATTCTGTTTCCTTTACAATTCCATTCCAGTGATTGTTGGTAGTTTTTCTTTCCAAAAAGCTGCTTTTTGTCATTTATGCAATGGTCAAGAAACTTATTTCAGATCTTTGCAAACTTAGGCTAAGACCACAAAGAAGATTGTGCTGAGAATGGAATGCACAGAGTGCAAGCATCGGAAACAAGTACCTATCAAGAGATGTAAGCATTTTGAACTGGGTGGTGATAAAAAGAGAAAGGTATGCCTACTGCATGTATTTTTAAAGGCACCTATAGGTTATGACTTGGTGTTGTGTGATGTAATTAACAAGAAGGTCTATTTCAAACTGTTCTAGCTTTCTAAAGTTCTGTATCATTTTTTTTTCAGGGACAAATGATCCAGTTCTAACTTCATTAAAATTCAATAAATGGTTATTGACATTGAATTGTTTGTGATTTTTTTTACATTATAACCTGGGGTTCCTGAATTTTCGGTGCACTGCACAGTTGGGGTGGTATACGTTCATTGGAGATTCATCAAGATTACTATTATAAGTTGATAACATTCACTTTCTATTCTATAAAAAAAGGAATTTGAATAGATAAGCTATAAACAGACACAGGATTTATAACGGAAGCAGAGGTGGAATAGCCAAGTACAATATACATCAAGAATAACCTTACCTTGCAGTCCTTGCTGTTTCTAACTTCCTTAGCTAGTGGGCAACACTTGGTTGAGTAATAATTACATTCTATCCAAAACTACATATTCGTCCTTCAGGTTAATGTGAGAATACATGAGGTTTGAGCCAAAACTCTTTAAAATACAATTTATTAAATTGTCTTAACATGTAACTTACATGATTGTTCTTCAATTCTATATATATATTAGATATATATGCAATTTGATATATGACGAATTAATTTGATTCAACTGGATTTCAACTAAGATTACACACATACTTATTTAAATTAAACATTTTAAATAAACACTTTAGAGCAGCATTTTCATTCAACACAAAGGTTGGCTGCAAAAATGACTGTATTTTTTTAATGATTGGCAAGTCCATCCACAATTAAAACCTAACTTACTAACCACATTAAATTGTGAAGATGGAAAGCAATATTACTAACACCCTCACTTCAATAATTACCTAACCACAACACAATAAGTTTATTTTTTAACTAGTAAGTGTCCAAGCAGCTTTTTTGATAATTGGGTATACCTATCTACTTGATGATCTTTCCACGTGATCTGCAGAAAGTCGCTTGAATGCTTGCCTGTGAATATCAAAATTTTCAAAAACAACAGAAGTGATAAACATCACAACAAGGAAAATTATTCATAAAAATTTGAATATATTTTCTAAAAAGACCCTCACCCAATAGCTTTGGCAACAGGTTCAGTTGAGTATTCTGACATAAATGTGTGACAAGCAAAACGGTGCTCACTCGGATGCTTGGTCACAAAACCGAAATACCTAAATGAGAAATAAATACATATAAAAAATTTTATGTGCAGTGATAGAGGGAAACATTATAGGTATATAGAATTTACCTTGGTGAATTTGGATAACAGCCACAAAATGTCACATCTCTCAATTTGAAAAAAAACTTGGGATTTGAAACCTATGGATAATAAAAATAAATAATATATGACTTGTACATATTAGCAAAATTAGTATATAATTGGTATATAAAATATTTATAATATTAGTATATAATTGGCAAATTGCCTTTCCACCAGAATTGTCAGGTAAAAAAGTCCACTTATTCTGTGTTCACTGCCAACTAATGTATGTTTTCTGGTAATTTACATATAATTATAAATTTCTTGTTGATACCTTTTGTTCATTGTTAAAAAATCGTCCAACTAAAGACTTTGTTTGCCGTTTCTAACGAAAAGAACAGTGAAATGATTGATAAGACAAGCAAGTTGTACAAGTTATGCAAGTTGAGTTAATTTTGAAGAGTCAAGTTGAATTTTTTGAAGATCTTACCTCGCTTTCCTGAGCATGATCAATCAATTGTATTCCCCGATAATCAATCTCAAGAGTGCAGGGTGGTATTTCAGATAGTTTACTATTATTCCTGAGCCTTAGTACATTCGCAATTGCTTGACATAGTACTGTATTTCCTTTGAATTCACGCACTTGCACAGAGCCCAAAAATCTAGAAAAATTAATTAGCACACATTGGTTGCCAATTGACCTATTTGCTGACAAATATATACATGCAGATGGAGTGTTCCTAACAATTATCTACCACAATAATGAATAGATTATAACCTGGAAAAGTAAAATAGAATTTACCTTAAAAAGAACTGTACTCCACTATCTGAAAGTTCTAAGATTGGGAAATAGGAGATGGTATATTAATATATTAAATAAATCAATGAATTTAAAATCGTTGGACCATACTGCTTACATAAAAGAGCATCACTTACCAAACTTAGTTCCAGTGTGTGAAAGAACATCTGACACATATCGATTAGGAAAAATTCCGCTTTCACCAGTGTGCAGATTGCGTCCTTCGCACCACAAGTCCTCGTGAATTTTTTTTACACAAACAGCATCTCCCACATTGAGTGACAATTCGCCATGATGCCTGGGGAGAAACTTGTATACCGCAAAATGTGTCTGCAATTCAGCCGCAGAGATGGGTACAGGTACAGGAACAGGTGTTTGTTGTTGGGCTGAGAAATGAGGCAAACTCCTTCTAAACCCTGGCTCATGTCCTATGGTATTGTATCCGTTGCCTTTGGGAACCAAGTGACCTTTAGAAGACAAATTTGGTGTACGACTACCTTGCCTTGAAAATTCATACATTTCTTGAGAATTTGATCCCTGCTTTGGAGAGACAAGTGATGTACTACTCTGGGTTTTGGTCAAGGTCCGTCTTGGAGGGCTATGGCTTGAAATATCCTGTTGAGTTGTTTTTGGCATTCCATTTTTCTGCGGAATTTTGTCTCCGTTTGATTTGATCTTAGTCACGTGTGGATGCTCAACGGGCCATGTTTCGATACTTTTGGCAGACATTTGTAGAACAATGATGTTGCAGCCATAAACGACTATCGTTCGTCTCCTTTCATTTACACCTAATAAGGCTTCAGATATATCAGCAATGTCAACGTGTCAACCAGTTTTACGTTACTATAACTGGTAAATTCAAAACGCATGTACGTATTTGTACCAATTTCAAATATCTGAATAGGAACTACCGCTATGTATGTTAAAGACAAAAGGCAGATGAATTGCGGAACCCAAAAAATACATAAAATTCTTGACTGACACAAAGCTTTCTTTCAATGCATCAAACGCCAAAATCACCAAAACCCGTCTTTCCCTGCATCATATTTCAAATTATAGCCAGTATCAATCTTGTATAGTCAAAATAATTTCCTTGCTGTTTATATTATTGCAAGATAATTTGATGTTTATAAGTTATAACACGATTTCCTCTCGGTTTACACAGTCTGGCAGTGTAAGTGAACGTTGTAGTATTTTAAAACAGATGGATTAGCGATTACACATAATGATGTTCCCAATTATGAAATTTATATATCGTTGCTAACCAGATGTCGTCTTTGTTTTGCAAGCCATTTATAAATGTCTCTTTACTTGTTCTTTTGACCCGAAGTGGTCACGTGTGTCACTGGATAATACCCAGTAATAATACCTGGTTAGTTGTGTTGCGACACCGGTGGCAACACAGTTGTGGAAAACAAGAAATGTAGAAATATCTTTTGAACGAAACGATTGTGCCCCCTCTCTCCGATTCCTCTCGATCTTAAAATCCCCTAACCTTGAAATTCTGGTTGTTTATCATTGACACAAAAATCCCAGAATACGAATGGATAGTTGTATTTGGTCGGCCAAGACGGAAATTTTCCTGAATGAACGGGTCTTTTTGTTTGAAAAGAGTGTCCTCTTTTAACGATTAGAACGTTTCAAGGCGTCAACGACAATGTTTCCACATTTACAATTTCCCACGGATTTTTACTATAGTTCTGGGGTCGGTTGTTCGAAAAGCGTTTAGCTTAAACGGTGGATAATATTCTCATGCATCTTGTGACGGACTGAACCTACATATTTTGCATTAAATATGCACTTCCATTGAAAATTAAACTATTTACATCAAAATATTTCAGTTCAGTTGTTCAAAAAATAGATAATTTTGTTTTCCATTTTGAACTTTATAAGTTTGCCCGAACTTATTATCGCAGCATTTAGAAAATCAACTCAATTTCTTAAAAAATCTGGCTGCATTTCTTAAGATTTTGCGTCATACAGAATAGACACAGAAGCAAAAACATCTTTATCTGCCTATCTCCATCTCTTTTTCGCGGAGAAGGTTATAGGCCGTAAAATAAAGCCTGCATGATATTCAGTCCTAATAAGGACATATATATATTCAGAAGCTTTATATATATAAGACATATATGTCTCCCCATATGAAATATCTCACACGGTTTTAATCGCTTGAAAATGTTTTGCGGATACGTAATAATGTACCTGAACAAAGACCGAGTTATTTGTCCTTCAAGTCCTACTAAAAACCATATTGACGCAATTAGCTGTAACTAGTTCTTCACCGAAAATTTGCTTCGACGGTGTGAATTAGCGTTGAACTATAGTTAAGACACAGCATGCATAACTCACAGTAGCTACAAAAGTATATCAGTGAAAAAGGTTCCATTATAACTTAATTTCTTAAACATATTAAATTAAATCTAATACATATTAACATAATATATTAATTCTCCATCTTCACTATTTATTACTGATTAGTTGAAATTTTGTGCATTCATTGGTGTAACATCCGTGCTCTACTATTTCTATGTCCGACAGGTCTGACTAAGTTAAGACGAGATCAACCTCATACTAAATGTCACTCAATTGTGCTCACAGATTCCACGTGTGTATAATTTGAAGCGATGGGATTTGACTCTGAAATTAAAGAAAAAATATATTAATTTATGCACGACTTATTTGAAAAAGAAACGCGGAATTAAAATCCTCTGATGCATCATGCATGCCACGGTACAAAAGTCATCATGGTTCATTCAATATTTGATGCTCAAAATATATCATCAGTCAAACGGAACATACCATGTGTAACAGGACCAGCCTGCTTTATATTTCTCCATCTGGAAACTGCTGTAAAAATACTTCAGGATGATGTTTTTGAATATTCTTCAACAGCGTCTTCTTTTCTTTCAACGACATTGTTAAGTCGTCCAAGATTTGGTTAATTAGTTGTTCTAATTGCTGATTGGTGCATTGTTCTTTTTGTTGATTGTAATCAAACACCGATACTCTAAGACATGACGAGATGGCAGGAAGATCAGTGCGGCCTTGCTCGAATGCTTCAAGAGCTTCTTGAAGGTATTTCAGCACATCTTCTGGAATATGAAAGAGGTTTGCGTGCGTTTCCATCATGAAGTTCACAAGAAAGTATCTTGCAACCTGGGAATGAAAATAAAATATAATATAAATTAAAAGGTTAAAAATTGTTATAATACCATAATTAATATAATATCAGGTTTTATGTTGATCATACCTTATCCAATTGTTCGCATTCCGGCAGGATTGCATCCATAAAAACGGCACAAACCCCTTCTCTTGAATCAACGCCTTCCATAGGTTGGATATTATTATCCACCGACAGGCACATGAACTGTAGTAACTTCTGCAAGTGCTGTGATTTGTTCATGGGCAATAAAACCACCAATAACTGTAATGCTTTCAGACATTCTGTGTACTTACAACTTTGCAACAACCGTGAAACCTCGCATATAACCTCCGCAACGTTCGCTGGAAACAACGTCTCGACGATAGATCGATAGTAATCAATCAAAGTCTTAAAAATTCCCAGAATGCTGTCATTCCATGAATTTCGGAACCCGATTTCGGTTCTTCTCGGAAGCGGGAATTTCGTTTGCAAGTCAAAGCATTCAATGGTAGCCTTCAGCCATGTTTTTTCCTGATCGTTGTCGCAAAGTTCTAGAGTTTGGTCCAAGTGTTCTCTTCCCATCTTGTTCGCTTGCTCAATTTCCAAATTGGCATTTACGATGTAATCGTCTTCGTGGTCGGCATAATTCTCAAACGATTCAAGAAGATTTTCGAGCATAGGGATATCAACGAGCTGTAGCAGACGAATCGCCGAAATCTCACGCCTTAAAATGTCAACTTCTCTTATCGAGATTTCTTTCTTCAACGGGAGCAAAGCTTTGTCTCTGTTAAAAGAATAAGAAAACTAAAAGTCAAAATTGCACAATAATAAAGATGTTGCATGTCTTAATTAGCAAAGAAAATTTAGCATACTGCTTAATTTGGATAATTTCTACTAAATTTAAACTTGGAAGACAATTAAATTCTCCCGTGGGTGTGTGCACGTACGAAATATGCTACGTAAATAAGGCTATGTACACAGGAATTGTGTTTACTCGCACGCTTTTCAAAAACGCTTTTCAGTGTCTCTTTTACCGTTTTGTCACACCTTTTACTACAGTCTAAGAAAAATGTTTATCGCGAATAAACGTAATCCAAATCCTAGACAAAGACACCAAGTCCACATCTCCTCTGTGACAAAAAGGACCTTTCCAATAAACAACGCCATTTATGACCTCATTAATTAAAATTTTGGAACGGTTGAAACTTTATGAAAGACCAGTTCACAACAAAGAGAACTTGTGGTCTTTGTTCAAACATACAGAACTATCTTTAAATTTCAAACTCCAAAATAGCACGCATACATAAGAACCAAGAAGGTTACCGAAGGCCTTTGAAAATTGGGAAGAAATTTTCCCCAATGAAGAACATGCACACTTTCTGTATTTGTTTCTCCGCAGGTTCAGAGGCGTTTGTTTATACATTCAGAGGCGTTAGTTTCATTAAATGACTAAATGACAAGAATTTTTTGAGCATCACAAATTTAACTTAAAAAAAGGATGTATGACATAATTATAGCTACTATATATAGCTACTAACTTAATTCCTGTTAGGATAACCACGGATAACAGCTTGATATGTCTTTTATAATTACTGTATATTTATATTCGGGATATCCGCGTGTATTCATTGTTAGTACGTTGTCTATATAGACCCTATAGCTATATCATATTGTATCAAGCAGCAGGAATTAGAGATGTCAGTATTAGAAAATGAGTTTGGGAATTTGAAAGGTTTTTACATCGAAAAGACGTCTTAATTGAGCAGATGTCAAAAGAGAAATAGCTGCATGTACAATTGACAGAATGCAATGTATGCTTTAAAAAAGCGAACTGACGTCTTTTAAAGGACAGGCATAAAAAAGGAAGTTATTTTCTTCGCTGTGTTAAAATTTCACGTCATTACGACATTAGGAGTTTTTCTTGCCATCTTTTTTCAGTCAATCATTCTTAATGCCCGCAATGCATTCTGGTAAAATGTACATGCCGCCATCTTTTTCGTTACGGTCAATTTTGCGAACGCGTGGGAATGCCACCGACAAATATTTTGGCTATAATTATAAAGGATGCGATTGACCATAATTATAGTATTTACACGTGTAAAATGTACAAATTGTTCCCGGTTTATTTCTTACACAACGATGTTGACCACGTGATGTTTGTGGAGAAGGAAAACGGCATTTTTCAATCATGTTTACAATCATGTTTTTATCAACCAGGAACAACTTGAGCGTCTTCACTTGTGTACCCTTTTTCGACCTAGCCATTATTCCGCACAGGAAGAGAAATTATTTTGAAAAAGAAATTATCTTGCGTGCTTAGCTACACACCTCCATATTTTCAAATTCCTACAGCACATAAAGAGCTTTCAAAAACTGTCACCGATCGTCCCACACCACTAGCTACAAACTTTCTAACGTAACGCTGATGCTGCAAATTATATTTAATTTAGATACAATTAGCTAACGTGGTTTGAGACATTGAGTTTAAACTTGGGCGCTACATATACACAAGTACAGGAACTTCATTATTCCGTTTAAGCATGTTCCTAAAAGTTTCACTTGCGTCATAGGTGCTTGAATCATGATCGAAAGCATACAGTATGAATTAATTGTATAGTGAAAAAATGTCCTAAATTTATCTTTTATAATACAAATCACCTATTTGACAAAACTAATGGTTGGACACTCAGTGCATAGACACTGTACTACCTCTGCCTCTGGGTTATCTTTGAGATTTATTGCTCGAGAAAAATCCGACAAAGTTCGATGAAATTTCCTTCTTGTAAAGCCGAAATTTTATTAGCAACAAACTATTGTGTCAAGTGGAGTATTGTATAACATTCCTGTTAGATTAGCGGTTCTTGTTATGTTTTTGTACTTATTTCAACATAGAGGAAACATACGAAATTATGTCGAGTGCCAATTGGCTAGCCCTTCCTTTTTGCAGGTAAATCCTTTCCGTTGCCATAGGCAATATTACACCACCCTCTGAGGCTATATGCGAGGAATTAATAATATATTTAATGAAAGCATTTTTTGTAGACTTTTCGAGCCGTTTGGACAGAAACCATGGCAGCATATCAGTGTAGGTTTAAGTTATTAACAAGAAAAATTCACCATTGAATAAACATTTTCTGACATCATGCATTTCCTATGTAAATATTCCCTGGTGCACTAATTAAATTCGACATAACCGCAAAAAACCCACAAACAATATATTATTAGCTTGAACTTTTAATCAAATTTTGATTGAAATGCTTAACACTCAATCAAAACTTACTTTAGAAAAAAATACTTTGCAAAGTTTGCCTGCCTACTCATTTGAAATGTTGCATGATGGGGACAGTTCGGTAAAAAATTTCCTCAGAAGTAATTTTAGGCAAAACACACCACAACAATCAGTTTAACACAGCTGATTCCTATTCACATGGGAAACAGGGGATACAGTCTCGTCTTAGCATGTTTTCTATGGTTCCGCTGTGGTTTGCATGACCCCATTCCATCATAATAAGGCGGCATGGTGTCAGACCATATGTCAGACACTTGGAGAAGGTGCCAAAATGGATGAAAATTACATAATATATAAGAGATATATGTATGTACATATAACTTCAGAACAATAAATTACATAAAATAAAATAAATATGAATAAAATTAAGATCATAAAGCAGCTACTCAGGATTTCACTTTGAAACATGATCTTCAGAAAGTACACTTGAGGATTGTGTTCCAACATGAAATTTTATGACTTCTGAGGTCATGTTAAGCTTGGCACAATGATTGAGTGCTGAATGGGACTAAATATATTTACATAATATGCCAATATACAAAATATATATAAAATATATAATATATATATAAAATATATATAAGATATATATAAATATTAACCATTTATTTACATATACATACATCATTTTGGTGTAATATTATAAGGCAAAATATTACAGTGTCAGTCAACTAGTCTATTAAACATCGAGCCCCAATATTCCCAGTGAATATATATTTTTTACTGGCTTAATTAAACTCCCATCCCAATATCTCCAATCCCGCTGTTTTCCAGCGATCAGGAAGCAGAAATGATGCAAAATTATTTTGCAATATTGAAGCAGCCCTAATATCTCTGTTCCAGCTGATCTCTTAAGTCTTCCCTTTTGTATTTTTCAATATGAGGAGCAACAATGCATCATTGTGCCTATTTTCAAGTGTGAATGAAATAATGCAACTTCTGCATGACCCTGTTGGCTTGTTCCCCTAGCCTTTAATCAATGGTGGATATGAGCAAGAAAATATCACTTGTGCTTATTCTTGTATGCTAGCCTTATATTTTGTGGGAAATGAGAATATTTCATTGCATGACATTCATCTTAACATGACAGGAAAAAATTGAGGGTCACCAGCTGCCAGTATTTTACTACAATGTCAAACATTAAGGCTCACAGAACTAAAAAGGTGGCAGCTAATGGAAATATTTAAAGCCTTCATCTTAAAAACAGTGCTATATATAACTCCTACATCTCTCATGATCTGCTCTACTGAATCCACAATTTGAAACAAAACTTCCATCAACAACGCAATAACTCATATCTTATTGAATCAAGTGGTTCATGAGTTCATCTCGATGGTATTGCACAAAATGTTTGGCTTAGTATATCCTATATGTACAACAAAGTTCCCAATTCAAAATCATATGGGAAAGGAAAGAGTCGAAAAATCGTGATGTTTCTTTTAAAACTATAAAGTGAATAATTGCTACCAAATATTCCCACAGTGGATAACTCTAAACAAAGACTTTGTGGGGTGCAAAAAACACAAAAAAAAACAATAAAGGAGACACTGTCCATAAAGAAGGTTCGATAAAATACCGCGCACGAAAGCTAGACGCTGCAATAGATTATAGAACAACTTTAAGAGTCAAAAACATTTCTGTGAATCTATAGGCAAACACACCTGTCACATGAATGTAAATACGGCTACAGCGTGGCTGTATAAACATAACATTGATGTTATGGCGAAATATGCCAACGATATATTGCCATTTAATACTGTGGACATGACTAAAACTTAAACAGATATAGATTTTATATATAAAACTCGCTGTATACGAACCTTCTAAAATCCTGTCGAACTTGCGGGCCAGTTTTACTGTACGCGACGTCCACGAATCGGTACAATTTTGATCCATCGTCGAAATCGACTCGCTGATTATCTTCGACCGATTCTAGGATTCGCTTTTGTACAAAAATCTGGCAGAGATTTCTCAGTTGTGCTCGCGACACAGTGTGCCTCAAATCAGGATGGCCTTTCACGAAGTCTTGCAGAACTGTGACCGCTTCTGAACCTTGAAAACAGTCCTCATACGACTTCATCTTCCAACGGCGTCGTTTGACGACAACGTTGCCTCTCAAATGATTCACCATATCGTTCCATATTGCCGTTGCTTTGAATTTTTCCCTTCGCAATGTCGCTCGGTATTCCTGGCTTGAATCGAGATGCGTATCCATTTTGGTAACTTAACTAGCTTCTTTATTTCCCTAGTCTTCTAGGGACGTCTGTTAGACCTTTCAGGCTTTCACTGGCGGCAGCTGTAGCAATTTCAGTTTAAATATTATTGTAATGACCCAATGGTAATGAGGCGTCCTCCAATTTATGCACTTGACAACAAGCGCCTTTTGACCTTTGTGCTCTTTGTTATGAAAATTCAAATCCGTGACGTAGTGACGTCGGCGTTGCGCTCAACCCAAAAATATAATATTATATTTGTTGAGAGTTGAGACCGCACTCGAGGCTTCTTAATGTAATAATACACTTCTTAAAGGACGCAATAATCCTTTGTATTCTCAAAAGAAAATGGGTAAGGTTGAAAATGGGCATTTCATAAATCATAAGCATAAAAAACCAAAAACTTTGCAAGTTGGTGAGTTTCGAAATTGAAACTTGTCGCGTGAGTAACAATTATCACCGAATGTAGTCGAAAAAAACGAGTTAAATATTTAGCAAAATCAATTCGCGGGTTTGTCCAATTCCCGAAGTCCTAGGCTAGGCCGGTATGTTCGTGGCAGCGCATGCTAAGATGTTTTGATAGCTGGTTCTAGAAAAAACAAACAAGAGACGGCTCACATTACGTGAGCCAATATTATATAAGAATTCATTCGGAATTAGTCATACTTCTTATATTGCTAAAAATAAACTTCCTTTACTTCCTTTTATTTTATTGTTTATATATAAATTTCCGTTTCAGTAAAGTTTCAGTAAAGTTTCAGTATAATTTCGGTTTCAATAAAGTTTTAGACTATTTTAAAATATACTTGATTAGATTTTGTAGGCATGTTAACCTCTAACTTATATGGTTATTTTTCAAAGTACTTGGGGGTAATTATAGGGTTTATTATATTCATTTTGAAATCAATGGTGTTTAATTCCCAAATCGCACTATTTTTGAGCATTAATCACATCATTTATAAGCCAATAAGATTGAAGCTCTGCACCACAATAACCAGTCAGATTTAGTATTTCAGTGCAACCATCCAATGAAATTACAGGGGAAAATGGCACAAAATTTTATTCATTTTGAATTTTTAAATTTCCCGCAAAATTTCTTGACAAAATAGATGAAAACTACTCACATTTTACACTGTCACTGTTCACAGTTCTTTCAGCCAATAAATCGTTTTGAATTTGTTTAAATTTTTGTATGATTTTAAAATAAATATAATAAAGTGAAAATTGCACTTCGTGTCGTGCAATTTTGGTCTGAAATCAAACGCGTGATTGCACTCCACAACACTCCACTCAGTGCAATTACCATTATAAAGCAATATTAAGCCGGTCTAGCTCCGAAACTCGAAAGTCTCCAAAATTAATTAAGTCTATGATAGATCGTCAGAAACATTCACAAATACGGCTGAATAATATAAAGTTATCATGTGCTTCAATTCAATTTTACAAAAAGTAAAAGTAAGCTGCGCATTGTCACGAAAGTGAAAATTAATTGCAACTATAAGCAGACTGAATCATGAATTGCAGTTTCAGTAAAGCAAAAGTCTCAAGGCTCCCCAAACGTTAAGTGATTAAAAATATTAGAAAACTATATACCGCAAGCATACAGGTTTCAATGTTATAATCTCGGGTTATTGATAAAATTCAGGGTGAGGATATCTATGATATTTGAGATAAAACATACGAACTATTATTACTCACGGTGTCTATGAACTCACGGAAATTAGGAAATATTTACATTTTCTAAAAACGAAATGTTGATGACACATGGAAGGCGGGTGATTTCGCGATAACATTAACTCAGTATTCGGGTAACCTAACAAAATTGTGGCCAAAATTTCATCGTGCCTAAACTTAATCGCTTCCATTCTGTTGCTACCAATCAGAATTCATTTGCATCGTAGGAATTTCGTCAAGAAAAGCCTTTTTCCAATTACATACAAAAGAGTCGTCAGTATGACCATTCCATGCACGTGCGTGGGTTATGTGATGGGCGTATCAAAGAATTCTTACCGATCATAGGAGAAAATTAGATACACATTTTCTGATGGATTATTCAGTTACTGTAGCTGTAGTGAATTGATGTGGGAGAACTCCTATATAACATAAGTATTTCTATGACGTACTCCTATATAACATAAGTATTTCTATGACGTATACAACAAAGTAGTAGTAGGTGGGGAAAGGTATTCATTCAAGGAGTAGTAGGTGGGGAAAGGTGTTCATTCAAGGAGTAGCAGGTGGGGAAAGGTATTCATTCAAGGAGTTTGTAAAATGTGTAGAAATTCTAAAACAATAGTTTCTACTAAATATAACTTCTCTATAGCTAGAGAAAATAAATTCGTCAAAAGTGTATTAGTTCATTTAGTTGGTCGTTATAAGCCGATTTTCACAGACTCGAGCGAAACGAATTTATTCTTTCGTCTGTAACCAGATGGTTTCAATTAAATGATGTAAAATGAATGTAAAATCACATTCGTTTCTATGCCGGTAAACATTTGGCTGGGATCTCGACAAATATATATATTGGTCAGTGGCGTAGCAAGCCCAACAATTTAGTCATGCTATGCTAATATTTTGGTGTTCATTGACTGTGAAAACAATGAATTTCTAAAGAAATGAATAATGATCCAAATCGTCAGGCTGGTACGCCACTCTTTTAATTTTAGTCAAATTGCAATTTGACTACATATTGCAGAAGTAATTATTATATAATCTATCTTTATTCAACCTCGTTTCCTTTTCCATAACGTTTTTTACTTGTTTTGGCAACAATTCATGAAGCCGGTGATTCGGGTCGATCAAATGCTTAATCATCGGTATAGATGCTTTGTCTCTGCGTTCTTCCGGGGATTCCAGTAATCCCTATGCCTGTATTGTGTGGTACATGGTGTCGGGAGATGTTTAAATTTAGCTAAAAGCTTCTATACATGCATGTATATATTTAGTCTGCATGGTGAAATTAAAAAATACCGTCTGGATTAAAGTCAAGAGAACTATATAAGCTAGCCTTAATTTATTACGAAAATCCAATTTGAAAAGCAAAACCGATATTCACGTAAACTTCCAAATCATGTGAATTCAATGCTGAACTAAGACTAAGTACTTATAAAGAATGCGTCTAAACTAATGCTCTTTCCTCAAGTGGTTATATATGTTGGGTGGTTGCGAAATTGTTATGAAACACATTTCGGAATTTGGTCACGTCCTATTTGCACCATGCTGATATTTAACAAAAGGTAAATTAAGACCTTGTTTACACTAAATATATATATATATATATATATATATATATATATATATATATATATATATATATATATATTTCATAAATTCGCATTGTCACGACATCAAAATTAGCCATGTCAAAGCGAGTTCTACCCCCCAAATTATGTTACCATTAGGCAATACTGCTTCTGGGATCAGAGATACCGTAAAACAACTTAAATTGATGCCGTGACCATGTATTCGGTACAGTATAAACCGCCGGGGTCTAAATTGAGGGTGTTTTGAAGCACCACTTTATAACATAATTGCCGGAAGTGTACACTTGAATTCACCACGTTTGCTATCGTCTATATGCATGCGATTTGAAAAGTCACACTATAGACATTTGAAGGACAGTAAAGGCCCGTTCAAACTCCAACTGTGACTTTGTCGTACCCTATTCACTTCTGAAATTGTAGTTTGTTATTGGTAAAGCAGTACCGCATTGGCTTTGGTTGATTTGCTGCCATATACTTTTCAAGTCAACAGACTATAAAATTTGTAAATTAAACGAGACTTACCTGGAAGTTGAAGTTTGATTAGGATTCTATCAGTCTACCACAGAGCAGAGATTACATGAGAGAGCACGCATGCGCTGCGCTGATCATATTTCAAAACTGAGTACCCCAATACCTGTATCGTGCAAGAAGACTTTGCAGGGAGGTATATAGGGTGGGCATGTAATCTCTGCTCTGTGGTAGACTGATAGAATCCTAATCAAACTTCAACTTCCAGGTAAGTCTCGTTTAATTTACAAATTCTATCAGTCTTACCACCGCAGAGATTCCATGAGATTTTAAAGCATTGGGGTGCGAAGTTGCACTAAACCCAAAAAACAGTAATCACAGTTTGAACACAACTGTTAACTTTAATTTCAAAATTACACTACAAAACTAGTACAGCCATTTAATTGGTAACATCGCTTAATATGGCTTTACCAAAACTGTCATCCTCACAGTCTTCATTACTTTTGCCAACATGTTTGTTGTAGAATTTTTTGAAAGTGCAGTCTGTTGTCCAGCTAGCAGCTTTCATAATGTTGGCAATCGGGACATTGCACTGATTTGCTTTGCTTGTGGAAGCCGCTCGAGTGCTGTGAGGTCGATATATTGCTGTGTCAATACCAGCACACTTCATAACATGTTTTATCCATCGTCCGATAGTGTCTTTTGAGACCTTCTTATGTGGACGAACAAAACTAATGAACAACTGCGATTCTTGTGACCTCAATATCTTTGTTCGGTCAAGGTACTCCTCTAACGTTGAATAAACACATAACCGGTGGTCCTCAAGGAATTTTGGTATGATAAGGACCGGTTGTTTTCTGCCTGGAGCAGATTGCTTTACCAATTCCTTTATAACAAATTGATAGGCGGATGAGTTCTTTGTTAGGGAATCCAAGTTCATGAGATGTAAAGTCTGACAACGTTGCCCTGTAACTAAGGCGCATAGCATTATTAATTTGTATGTCAGGTCACGTAGTTTAATGCTGTGAAGCTCAGGAAAAGTTTGTAAATAACGTAAAACTTTATTAGTATCCCAAGTGTCTTGGTAACGAGGTAAGGAAGGTCTTGTTTGGAATACCCCTTTTACCAGCCTCTGAACCAGAGGATGATTCCCAATTGTAATGTTTCCTTCAATTGTTATCAACCCAGACAGGGCACATCTGGCAGTATTAATCCCAGAGTAGCCTAAGCCATCCTTATATAAATTGGATAAGAAATCCAAAACATAATTCACAGGTGGGTGAAAGGGATCAATTGATTGTTCACTACTAAAGGTTTGCCATTTATTCCAGTATGTATGATATTGTTTCTGAGTGCCCTGTCTCCAGGAGTTGAGGATAAGTTCCTGAGCCGGGTGTGAAATTCCTTTACTCTCCAAGGCTGACCGGATAATCGACATGCCATTAGTTGAAGCTTTCTTTCCAGTGGGTGTAGGATTCTACAATGATGCCTTTTCTGAGAAATTTCTCTATTTGTAGAGAAATATTGGTGTCCTCAACCGAAGAACACCTCGGTCCAGATGGAACTTTTAACTGAACTGGTTGAATAAAAAAGTCAATTTTATAACCAGTTATAGCTGTCAAGATAGTACTATCAGAAGTTAGTCTATACCAGGCATCTATGTAATTCTTAACATTGCCTGCCATGAAGGTGCTGTATTCAACACAATCACCTTCATCAAATAACAAGGGAATGCTAATATCCCTATCATAGGCACTACTTACACTGGAGGAAGTAGTATCTACTTCTGTTTTCCTTTCTTGTTCCCCATTGACTGACTGTTGTATCTTTGTTTGGAAGCTGCAGTCTTGTCTGTAAACCGAGGGCGGTCCCATTGCTGCCAATGGTTCCTCCCCCGGCGTTGGGATAAAAAATGCCCACGTGGTACAGTTTTTTCCCTGTCAAATCCTTTTGCTGTGGTTGAATGTTTGAGTTGTTTGGAGGCCTTGTTGCTCTCCTTAACTGTTTTGAGGCGTTCAATTAAGTCTTCCCCAAAAAGTTCACCCTCGACAGGGTGCTTATTGTTGCAGAGAGTTTTATAGTCTTTGTCAAGGTCAGCCTTGAACAGGTCTCGACGGCACATATTCAATGTATGGTTGGCTCCTGGCATAAGCACCATCGCGTTTGATAATCCCTCCCATAGTGTGGCTTTTTCAGGCATGTCAGACGAGCCCTCAATTGCTTCACCTACAGCACCTGCAAGTGTTGCCACAGGGGTTAAGCCTTTTATCAACATCTCTTGCATTTTTTGCAAGCGAGCATCCATGGCTCTGGTTGATTTTTGGCTAATGTCCCAGATTTCCTGGTTGACTTTCGTTACTTTTAACAATTTGTAATTTTCTGGTCGGTGAATTTTTTCCTTTCTAGAGGTGGCCGTCGTTTCATTTAAGCCATGAGCAAGAATGCTGTTTAGTACCGACTCGATTTTCCCTGGCAATGCAGCTCCAGTTTGTTCGTTTTCCGTAACTTCGAGTATAAGGGAATCCACGATACCCCCCTCGGTCTCTGAACTGTGACTTAGTTTTTGTTTTTTCGCGACGGGCGCGGTAATAGACAGATCGTCAGTGTGACTATTGTTTTCACCATCGGAATCGCTTCTCAACAGGTCAACCTCGGCTCCAGAAAGCTCTTGGTCGTAAGCCGCTTTCAGTTCACGAACGATGGGGACCACCCCCGCAACGTCGCTGACAATAGACGTTAATTTGTCTATCTTCGCATTAATTCTGCTTTCGAAATCGTCTACTGCGGTTTGACCTTTTTCCGAAGCGTCCAACTCTGCACTGCGAGGTCGTTTCTCGCTCGCTTTTTTCCCTCGACCACTGGTCTCGATCGAGGTTTTTTCTTTTCCACTTGTACCTGGCTTCGGCATCGCCGAACCAGAAAATTCATTACTGGACGAGCACTGGTTCGAAATCACGCTGGTTTCACTTGCAGCTAAATACAGGAATCGCACATCTACTATAGTGCATATTACATAAAGTTTTCCACCCAAGAAAATAATACCGCTGTTCGTTCTATACAGTGGGTCTTGAATATAAATTTATTAAAGGTAAGTGTGACTAATACAGGTTGAAAATGTCTTTTTAAGTAATTTTTGTAGGGATAAAAAGTGCGTGTGTTCTGCGGCTATTCAAAGGTCATTGTTTTCCCTGAAGGCCCTGTTACACGGTGCAATTTTTTATTTTTCTTGCAACTTGCAATGCAATTCTACTTTTAACAGATGTAAATTAGTGAAGAGCCTTCAAAATGTAAGTGTAAGAAATGGCATGGAGTGTAATAAAGATAAAAGTTTGGTAGTTACCAAATTTACATCTCTCAAAAGAAGAATTGCATTGCAAGTTGCACCGTGTAACAGGGCCTTAACCCAGTGAAACTACTTTCCTGAGAAATCTGTGAGATCTGTCACTATTCAGGAATGTCTACTTTTTAGTCTTTTCTTTTGTGTTAAACATACTGTAAGCACAAACACCTATAAGATGCAGAAACATATTAGGCTATTATAAAATTTCATACAATGGTAAAAACCTGTATAGGCTAGTGTTTACAATAATGCACTTTACAGTACCTGAGGCTGAGGATTAGGTATGTAAGTGTTCACACAATTGACAGTACCACTCATCTGTTTCCTCTTCCACCTTCACACAGGTCCTTCATTGTCAAATATATAAATGTTTCATGAATGGGTACTTGAACATGTTTTGTCATAATTTTGAATGGGAACTTATAAAATATGTTGATTATGTTATACAGTGCAACTCTCTAAAGAAAGAAAATTCATCCTACCAGTGGTGCCAGCTTTCACAATCATCACACATTATCATGTTCTGATAATTAGAGGTATTGCAAGTGTTACATTTCCATTCTTCTTTAAGAGCAGTGACTATAATGAATATACTAATTCAAAACTAGTACTCAACACTTGGTGATAATCTTTCTTTGAAAAATTTGCTTACATGAGTCAATAATCTTTTTCCATGCAGTATTTGTACAATGCTTCTTCATTAGTGTGATATCACTGCCAAGTGCTTCTTCAGGTGGATGTTCACCATCAAGATTAATGTCTTTTACTTGAAGCATATACACTTTGTTGCCTGGACTGTTCACTTTTATAATTGTGGCCTCTGGCACACCAAACCACCTTAACATGGAGTCAATGTCTGAAAACAGAAATATTTCCACTTATATAATGATTGCACATACAAATACACTACAAAAAAGACTTGGCAATTATATAGATTCTTTTACCCAGTTATTAGATAATTTAAATAAGTTTCCTAATTTTCTGGCATTTAAATGCAGTGTGCATCACAACACACCTTTGGCCTCAAAGCCTCCCTTTCCCGTATTCTTAACTATTCCCAGTTCGTGTGAAATAACACATGTCACATCGCATTCTATTACTAATACTAGTACTGTAATTAATTCATTTACCTTCCTTGTTCGAAAATAATTTATCGATTACTGCCCTAGTTGGTTTACTGAAACGGATATTTTTTGGAAGCTTTCTCTTCTTCTTTGTTGAATGGAAACGAAGCTGAGTTTCAATATTTTTGTTTCCTGGAAATTGGCGGGTAACTTCAAGATATTTTAGAGGCTTGTGCTTATTCATTGAACTGAAAAGGTGGGATGCTGAATTTAGTTGCTTTTCAAGTTCTTGCAATGAAGATTTGTTGTCACAAGTCAACACACTATCAGCTAAAACAATCAGTTTTTGCCTTAATCTCAGCCTGAGTGCTTGGATGTCTTTCGGTGGGCCAGCGTCCTGTTTAAGATGTTCTGCTACTAATTTGACTTCCGTATCTTTATACTTGCTCTCATCGTTGCGTCTGATGTCTGGAATTAGTCCACAATCGTCGCCATTCTCCGTAGTCTGCTTTAGTAGTAAAAAACGCTGAAGAAGATGTGCGTGCTTACAAATCGTACTTTGGATTAGGCTGTCAGGACAGTTGCATACATATTGGTGTATACAAATATTGCATTCTGGGCATTTAATCTGACAAGTGGTGCCTGCACAATTGGTTGCTTGTTTTGAAACAATATAAATGTTTTCTCCGTTCTGTCCACGAACTTTCCATCGTAAGTCATCAAGTACCTCAACAGCTTCGGTTGTCATGGCCCTGCTTTTGTTGTGGCGATCCTGGATTAGACGTTGCTTGTGGCAACTCTTCCCCTTGGTTAGTTTGATTACCCTTTCAAAGTATTTGTCTCTGACATACTTGAGAAGGTTTACTAAACATTTGTCAACTCTTTTGTTTACTTTACCCTTAAGGTAGTTGTATTTAAATACGCGGTGGAATGCCTCTACCAGCATGTTTGTATTTATGCCCATACCGAGTCGAAAGCAGTATGCCCATATCTCTGTTCTGTCGAACCACTCCCTTTTAAAGTACTCGTAGAATTCGGGACTAAGCGATGGTAGTTGCTCAAGCAGTTGATGTAAATAGTCCTGAAAATTAAGTTTATCCGTTTCCTGAAGTACGGTCCTTAGCATCTTATAAATTTCAGCAGCAGTGACGGTATCGTGAACTTTGGCTCTCAATTCCTCTTGCCATGCCTTGTCAACATGCCAAGTACAGACAAGTTTTAGAGGATTACCTCCCATTATGGCAACCCATGCATTATAAAATTGGTTTGCCAAATCAGACATAACCCAGCGAGGCGTCAAGATACCACAATTCTGCTTCAACAAACCGAAGAAAATGCACATATGCGTAACGTCTTCGTGATTGGACAAACACCAAGCTATTGGAAACCCTTCACCTTGCTCATCCATTACCATGACTGTTGTTAGAGGGAAATCATACCCCGTGGTTCCATGCGTTGCGTCAATGCATACTCCTTTTACAGCGAACTTTGTTGCCATCAATTTTTGAAAAGGTGTTTGTAATACTATCATAAAATCTTCTTTGAGTAAGTCAACATCTTCAGGTGAATCTTCGCCTTGAAATTTGCAAAAAAGAACAGGGTTGTTCTCGCTTGCTGCCCATTCTCCCAGCCATGCCCTGACACTTTCCTGATCATTTGTATGTTTTTGGACTTGACTTAATCCAAATGACTTAACAATATTGCTTACGTCCTTCTTGTCTGTTAAATGATATCTTGTGAATTCGTTTGTTCCATTCATTGCACTTTCTCGTATATCCTCCAGTATCTTGTCTCTCGATACCCCTTCTTTTAGAAGAGCTGCTATTTGTTGCCTTTTTGCTGTTGGTAACCACGTGTGTTGCAGCTGTTTATCATGTCCGTAATGCGTGTGGCAAACTTCAGCGGATACTTTCCCTTCTTCTGTCACGACAGCTTTGATGGTTGACGTGCAGTTATTTTGTAATTTGCAGGTTCCTTTAAGTAAAATATTACTTTACTGCGTGTAAATTACCTATGTAAATTCACTTCGAGAACGTAGTAAATTTTAATATTTTCTGTGAGTTCTACATGCTATCTGGGATATATATGTATATATATATATGTATATATATATATATATATAGAAAATATATATATATATATATATATATATATATATATCGGGAGCAATATATATATATATATATATATATATATATATATATATATATATATATATATCGGGAGCACAAGAAGTAAAATATTTGTATAATAGGTACTAATATTTATGATGTCATACCTTGAGATTTTGTTCGTCGTTTCTCTGTTGTTTTCGATTTATAGTGCCCACCACGATTGCATTGGTAATATTGTACACTTCCACTATTTTTGCTACCAGTTGCCTTGACAAACGAGCAACACCCCTTTTCTTCCAATGACTGTTTCCAATCTTCAAATTCTAGAATAGAAATAGTTGAGCGATTAAACTAATTTACAGTTATTGTTTTGCGGCCCTGACATTAAAAATGTATATTGCTTGCTTTTTTAATTGTATGCAATCTGCAAATAATGGATTACCTACTTTCCTAGTGTTTTTATGCTACAAAATTGTGAATTAATTTGATTTTTATTATGCTCTTACCGTTGACGTTATCTAGTGTAATAGATTCATTTATGAAAATAACGTTGTGTTGTTGTGAAAGATGCGTTCTCAGGTCACAAATCCTGTGACATTTAAATCCACAGCTGTTACATTCGGTTTTGCCATTAAGGTCAGCTGTCGCAGTTGGATGTCGAGATTGCATATGTCGTCGGAACGAAAAGTTGGTGGTGAAACTTGAGTGACAATAGCCGCACTGAAATTTCTTTTCTCCTTTAGTTGATTTGGGTTGAAATTCCGATTCTTGTTCAGCCTTGCAACTTCGAAGTGAAGACGAGGAGTTGTAGTCGTGGTCCTTGTCATCTGGGGATGCATTACAGTCTTCACAAATTTCTTCCGTTTTAGGTTGGAGTTTCGGTTCTGTTTTTTGCTTCGCACTTTTCTGAACTGAAGAGCAGTTGTGTTTGTCATTGTTATCTACGTGCATTTTTTGTACAATGTTTTCAGATCCTGTACATGCATTTGACTTCCAATATGTCTCTTTCTCTTTACCACTAGCGGCATTTAATGTGGATTCATCTTGAAGGGGAATGATGTAGGAAGTGTTCACAGAGTTTTCTACAATCCATGATGCTATTACAAGACGGAGGTATTTGTTGTATCTGGAAGGAGTTTGAAGGAATACAGTTGCGGGGTCCTGGTTGTGTCTTGTTGACAAATGGCTGAAATATAAAGGGTTATGGCATGCAATTGCAGCCATGACCATGACAACCACACCACATATGCTACCGCATGTTTGAAGCGGATAAAGCTTTGCGCAAGATCCACTGCAAAAATGGGTGCCAGAGGCAGTAGAAGACGGATCGTGACAAACAAGAATGGTGTAATTAGCAACGTCATCTGTTGGTAAGATAGCCTTTATGTACAGGTTCGCTTTCTCCAGAAGACTTTTAGGATAATTCCATGCCAGTGAATCTCCATATATTATTTTTTTTTCAACAGTGTCTATGTGGCAGATTGTCCAGTGACAACCAGGCGTGCGATCAGTTCCAAAATATGTGTCACCTGTATGAGAAAGACCAACATTGATGGAGAATAAAACTTTGCTCGGTAAATTATCACGGCAACGAAATCTCCGAAATTGCTTTGGGTCTGTCTTTAAAACACCATTCAAGAATATACAGTAAGTTTCAGCTACTGAGTCGGTTAGTTCTTTCATAAGCCACGTTATATGGTCATCTGACAGCCAACGATTGGCACAAATCATTGATAACTCAGTTGGTGTTATCCCATGCGGACGAATGGCTTCGTCATACTTATTTGAATATAGCATCTTTTGGAAATTCGTTATAGTCGTGGCTGGAGGATGTTCAGTGACACCTCGTGGTTTTGAATAATCCTGGGAGAACCAGACGATTTCTCGTTCAACAGCGGCCTTTATGTTTTTTATCTCATGAATCTTTAGCATGTTTTGAATAGAGCTGAAGCTAAATTTCCCAGATGGTGTTTCAGCATGACAAGTTTGACCATTACGTTTAACCATTTCTTCTTTCCATTCCTTAAGTTGCCCCTCGGGTGGTATTGAATTCAATGTGAAGGGGTCTGTGTCATCGTCTGGTGAAACTACTCCGTTAACCGTTGTTGCTGTTCTCATTTTTTTCACTTTGGGAAGATAATACTCGAAAGCATCGCCTCTTGTTAAGCCGCTGATGTTTGCGCTTACCAGACGTCTAGAATTGTGTCTTAAAGAACGTACCTGCAGAGCATTAAAATCCTAAGAGCCTATTCATAATAGGCACCCTTGATAGGAGTTTTTAAATTTAACTTGTGTTCTGTAAATTACAATAAAATTCTTTGTAAAGACGTTTTTCCGTGTGTTGGTTACTATATTAATCTGGGTCACTTTTCCTTTTTTGAAAAATTGAAATACGGATAGTAAACATTGTCTGGGGTATTGTATATGGGTATGGGTAGTAAACATTTTATGTGCGAGCAGTTTCAAATAAATATGATTAAAACGATGGAATTTTGCTAGTTCGGAATGACTTTTCCTATCGTAAATATAGCATGCAATACTGTTGTTTTATTGTTTTCGTTTGTGTATGCATTGCATTGCGTTGTATTGTTCAACTTAAATTATTTTAATGTATGCTAAACACAAAATATCCCACTTCTTTAAATTGCACGCACGATATTATGGTTGATTCCGGGGTGCATGGTAGAGCCTCCACCAAATGTAGAGAACGTTACTAACGCCCATCTCTTTTGAACACCCCCTCCACCCCCACCTAGGCTACGAAACTACGTGTGTAGCCAGTGACCAGAAAATAGGAGTAAAAAGACATTTAATTCATGTAAATATGTTATTCGTATGTATCATGTAAACATACTGCTTACCTCGAATTGTCTGTTTGCCATTACACAAAATAGTTTGAAAAAGTCGCTAAAGATTAAATATTATTTTCGCGCACTAATTTAAATTTCGCGGAAAAAAATAATTATTGTAACCAGCGGTATTATTTTCTTGGGTGGAAAACTTTATGTAATATGCATTATAGTAGATGTGCGATTCCTGTATTTAGCTGCAAGTTCGAGTCGTCCATTATTTTTACAGCGGGATATTTCCTCTATCCAGAAAATATTTCGCAAATAACCCAGTCAGGAGTAATTCACAATTACCTTAAATATCTGGATTGGTATTGATTGAAGCTCGATGTGTCCGGAAAAAGCAGATATTTGAAGAAAAATTTTGTTTGAAGCGATCAGCTAACCAAAAAGGTGTCCAGCGAAGCGTGTTAATGATCAGCGCAGCGCATGCGTGCTCTCTCATGGAATCTCTGCGGTGGTAAGACTGATAGAACATCCATCAGAAGTGAATTGGATCCACCAAAATTGAATCGTGTGAACAGGCCTTTAAAGTCCTTACAGACGAGCAAGTTTTCTATGACAGTTTTTATGTGACAAGTTTTTTAATTGTTCGTCTGTACAGCCAACTTTGACAATTTTTTCTATGAAAAATTGTCAATGTAAAAATTTTGGTCGTGTGCATGTATAAGTTGTCAAAGTAATGTGACCACTTCTGTGCGGATGGCCAACGGACTATTGTATTTTGCAATGACAGCTAGCATAAGCGCTGTACGTTTGACTGATTTGGCGATAAAAAATGGTTAGAATTGCTCAGATCAAAAGAGAATCAACTTTGAGTAGCGATATCGCTCAGCTTATAAGCGATTTTGTTCAGTTGTGAGAAAACCTTGCCGATTCTTTTTGCTTCATTGTTAAACTAAATCGCTCCTGATAATCAACTACCGTCACGCATTGCGCGCTTGGGCAAAGGTCTATTTATCAAAAAAATGGGGGGGGGATATGTATGTTTTGGAGGAACCTATATAAAGTCGTAGGACAAAACAATTATGACAAAACAATTATGTTAAGTTACTTAAGTACACTTGTAATTTTCATAGAAAAAGTATTCAAAGTACACAAGCGAACAAAATAAGTTCATAAATCCGACTTGCTGTTTTAGTCTATAAAGATTTTAGCCATATATACAATCCTTCAGAGTTCGCCATTGGGCCTTTAATGAATTTATTTTGTTGAATAGGATATTCCCTCTTTATGAAAACATTCTTAATACCATTGTACTCATGCAAAAACATTCGACATTAGAGGTTGAAAATGTGGGGGAAAGGTTCATTCACGACGTGATGCTTTTGAGTATATTCATACTATTTTTGCCTAAATTGTATGGCAATCTTTGTTTGACAAATGAAAATTCTTTCACCGCCCACCTCACCGCCCTCGTGACCATCTGCGTATGACTAACTGAAATCTTGTTAACCATTGAGCTATATGTCCGGTACTTTAATACTTATATATATTTACTTCAAAAACACAGGCTTCGTATTTTTGATTAATTACCAACATGCATGCGTAGGGATATTTGGCAAAAGGCTTTCATATACTTGAAACACCTATACGTTATAACCAATCGTACGATTTCGCATATCTTAAATTTTCGGCAATAGTATAGACGTTCATTCATTTGCTTACATTTGTCTATTAATTTACGGAGTTCGTCAAATATTTTAGGAAACTTCACTCCTCGAAAAACTCTTCATACTTCATGTTTACTAACCGATCAGGATGCCTTAAGAAACAAATTCAAATTTGATTGGTCGATAAAATGCCCAATAAGAATTTGATATACTCTGTAAATCAACACAAAACAAATGAATTGCTGAATATTTCTCGGAACGCTTCTATTGTCGCCGTAATTTAATATTTCTTTTGCAATTTCAGGCGATAGTGGCATTGTCAATGTATATATAGTTTTGTATTTATTATGACGCAATTTTTACGTAATTTCGTTTTAATTTCACGAAATTGGCAAGAACTCAAGCGGAAGATTGCATTTCAGGCGATGGCGGCATTGTCAATCGGAATCGTATAGTTTGGTTTTTAAATAGTATGACGCACTATTTACATAAGCACTGGTTATTTTGATAGGGCGGTGTTTTATCTTTTCGAAATTGGCAAGAATTCAAAGAAACTTACGTTATTTGCAAGCTTTCGTTTTGAGCAAGTTCCGCACCCTTTCCTTAGCGTGGTCTTTTACCAAAACATTTTTTTCTTTCATTTTGAAAAATATTAAAATCTTTTAATGCCATGCTTATTGCTAGCCAAGTTACTTTGAGTGACACAAGACTTGTATGAATCTTCAATTACCACATAGTTACCCAGACCAGACACACTAATTCTTCCCTTCTTTATATATTTTTTTGAGAAAAAAAAATTCAGGATCGAATAGGAAGACATTTAAATTTCCATCCCTTGAAATTTTAAAAACAGAATAAATCGTGATTTTTTTTGTATAAGACTACCTTATAACCGCAAAGCTTATTTTACAGTCGGGCATTTTAAATTATATAATTTCCAAATCCAAAAATTATTTCTATTTTCAGTGTTGTCGAAAATTTTTCAAGTGGACATAAAATTTCTTCATCCGTTCTAAAAGGTTTGCACCCGGAATCTAAAAAATTAGCCAGGATCCTATATGAGGCGCCATATTTGTAAAAATATTATGCATATTTTTCGTACTGTGTTTTCCATTGTTTATATGACTGAAAAAAATTATGATTTACCTTATTATTTGCAAATAAGCACGTAATTGTTTTTAAACAATCATTATCGCATAAAACGTTATATATTTGTGATAATTGTTTCCACAAAAATGCTTATTTATAAATAATCATCTCTACAAAGTTGCTTATTTATAAATAATCATTTCTGCAAAATTGCTTATTTATTAATAATCATTTCTGCAAAATTGCTTATTTATAAATGATCATTTCTACAAAGTTGCTTATTTATAAATGATCATTTCCGCAAAGTTGCTTATTTAAAAATAATGATTTCTACAAAGTTGCTTATTTATAAATAATCACTTCTACAAAGTTGCTTACTTATAAAAAATGATTTCTCAAAGTTGCTTATTTAAAAATAATCATTCATTATTTCAGAAGCAGCTTTGCTTTTATGCGCAATTTCAGTGCGCATTGCGCAATGAGAAACCCAAAGTCCTGACTTCCGGCCAGTTGCTCTCCGTTCACCGACATCGTGTTATTCGTGTATATAATAATTCATAAACAAAACATTTGATACAAATACGCGGACCTTTGTTACGTGCATGAAATATGTGCATGCATGGTTTTTGCAATTCATTAAATATTTGAAGTTCTGTTCGCATGCAAAATACATCTGAAATCAAAAAAGGCAAGTCATGATATTATATATATGATAGTATATAGTTGCAATTCTCACTTCCCTGACAATGTCAATAGCACTAGACTGACTAGTGCGATGGCAATAATCTCATTCAGGGCGCATTCAGCCGAACTATTCAAACTGTTTCTTGCTTCATGGAACTGAATTTGAACTTATAGATTCTTTATTTCCCTTGAATTTAACAAGACGCTAAAAAAATAAACCTGTCATGTGATTGTCTGATAATGCCGGTCAATATATAATAAAGAACCTTAGTTTAACCATGAATTTCACAGGAAGGTAGGAATTTAATGTTACCGAGTTGAAATCGTCTAAATGAAAACGAAATGACACGGAGTATATACGTGCATAACATACTTTTTTGCATGCCTAGATGTAATAATGATGGAACAAGATGTAATAATGTTTATGGACGATACCACTTAATGAAGTGATTGATGTATCATCCCATACTTTGGGAAGTCCAATTGGAATCTCACAGGAATGGGTGGATAAGATTAAATCAATTTACTAGAGATGAGATGATGGAACTGAGCTAAGGAAAATGTAAGGAAATGATTATTGATTTCCAAAGGAATAAAACAGATAAACTACAGATTAATATTGCCGGTTGTCAAGTATTTCGAGTGATCTCTTATAAATTGCTTGGTTTATGGATCGATAACGATTTTAAATGGACGACCAACAAAAAATATATCGTAAAAAGGCAACAAAGCGATTACATTTTTTAAAAATTTTAAGAAGGTATATGGAGCACCCATTGACGATCTTTTGTTGTTCTTCTATTGTAAAGTTATTCGATCTGTCCTTGAATACGAAATGCAGATACGGAGTGGTGGACTTACCAAGATGCAAATACACAATATAGAAAGAGTTCAGAGAAGGGCTCTTAATATTATATACCCTGAACATACTGGACATAGCCCAAATAGCTAGTTTAGTTGCAATTTGCAGTTACAGTTCTGAACTGCAACTACCTGAACTTTTCTGAGTTCTGGCCAATTTCGCAAATTAATTAAAAAGCATCCCTAACAAAAGCTAGCTTAAACAAGTCTGGTTTACATAAATGCAACATGCTTCCCAATCCCGGTCATGCGTTAGGGCAACCTTTCTTCTAAGTAATTTTGTAATAATCGGCCATTACGATGTTTCGATGCAGTGTACGGGACTCGTGAATCGTGATAGTAAAATTGACAATGCGGCTATGGGACTGTTTTAAGAACGTCGTCGATGAAATCAGAAAAGGGCCCATGTCCCAGCCCGATGATAATGAAAAACTGACACCAAGCCGATTAAATCCAATTTTAATGTACAGAGAATAATTTGAGCCTATATCATAAGATGTCGGCAACACCACCCAGTAATGTACAAGGTAAATATATAATCTAAAATTTGGGCGGCTTTGTGCCACGACTTTCTCGGAATTGAAATATATATATTTTACACACAGATTGTACACTTCAACACTTCGGTATAATGTATTCCGGATAAATTTCGGTCGCCATTTGGTGGGTTTCAGTACAACGCGTTACGAAGCAGTATATGGTCGAACATTCGCCTGAATCTCGACCAAGGTTGAAGGCCATTACAAATGACGACAAGAATTTATGTGTTTTTTCACTCTGACAACAACTTGTTGACCACCGTTTGTGGCAAGTGCTTACTCCACACATATACTTCCACAAGTGATCTGGCGGCGAACAAAGGGCTGGAACTATAGCCACAGAAACATTATGCTGATTTCAATCCAGTGAGCATGCCATTCACTTGTTTTCCTCAGGTTCGTTTGGGGATCTATTCAAAAAGTTCAGTGTTCAGAGTTCATTATTACGTTCAGCGGTATGTTGAACACAATTCTCGAAGGCAATTTAAAACAAAAATAACCATGCAACCGAGGAGATTTCGGATCGGAAAACTAGACGACTATTCTTAGAAATTTTTCGCGTTTCTAGGAACAAGGCTGTTCCATTTACTGTTCTAAAACAATGTTTAATTTATCATATATGCCTGCGGAAATGCATTTCTATATTTGTTTCGAAATAACATCATATTTACACAGTAATTTTTTCGTAAATAGAATATCTCGGTACGCGCCGATCGTGGATGAAAATCGCCCGTGTAGCCGCGGCTTCAAGCATGGCAGCTATTGCTATTTCACTTGATGAAAATACAGTATCTATCTTTTTTGTTGTTACTTCGAAAAAGATTGAAAAGTTACATAGCTACAACTGGTTGCTCCTTTTCCAAACTGTGATATCGTGCTTACTTCATCATATATATAATGTATTGTATGAAAGCAATGGAGATTTCTGCCATTTTGGTTTAATGCAATATGTTTGTTCTTAGTTAAGGGCCTAATATATAAAATTTGAAATAAATCCCATGGACATGAGTCAAAGTAAGTTTTGACTTTGATTTTGAAACGGTTAATCCATCAACGGTGTAGTAAACGAAGCAAAAATTAATCGAAGACGGACAGTTCATTTCTTTCAGTGAAAATACTTCATTGACAAATCTATTGTATCATTTGCCAGCGTAAATACATATTAATATTTCATAACTGCTACATTTGAAAGTGACAACGGTATGCCGCAAGTGATGTCAACCGCCTACGAAGACAAACCAACAACCAAGCAGTGTCATCTCTACCGAACGATGAACATTCGCATATAAATACGTGATTCAAGCTCCGAAACGAAACTCGGGTGTTGGCGACGAGCATTGGATGAAAGTTTGTACCCACCCAACGAAACACGATTCCCGGAATTAGATTAAAACGGTTACCGTTCCATGCGAAACAACGAATATATACTTTTTTCGTTGAACTCCTGAAGTGAGCACTAACTACAACCTATCACTCCAGATATACCCGGAGCTCAGATACACAAACGCCATTTTTCCACAAGAAACACACATTCAACCTTATCACATGTACACACTGGGAACGAAAGTAGCTCTCATACCTCTGTCTCCTTTTTGTCATTTACACCCACATTCGAGGGGGCCTCCTCCGTAATCCCCCCGCTTTCGGAAGGGCCCTCCTTCGCTTTCGTTTTACTACACGCTTGTTTCTCTAATTCCATTTCTTTAATTCGTCTGCTCCACATTTGATAATTATTTTCGATATTCTCCATAATTTCACAGTGGATTTCCTTCGAAGCACGCCTTCGTTTTCTAAAAATGTCAAACAATCAATAATTAACATTTTGTTTTACCACAACTTACTGAAAGGAGTGTTGCATGTATTTAACAAATAGATTACAATGAAACGTTGTCTGTTCAGTTATAGATACACGGTATGACGTCATATGTGATAAGAACAAAAAAAGTGGCCACGAGCCGCCGGGGCGAGTGAATCTATTTGTTTTATATAATAAAACTGAAAAAAATCCAAAATTAAACCGGTAAAAAGAAAATTGCTGTGACGTCATTCCGTGCGTCTGTCCTCTTATAGATCATGGCTCTCGACCAATGAAATTGCTTGAATTCTTTACGTCATTATATAAAGACTAATACGCGTTTCATCCATACGTAATGACCCTTCCCTTCAACCTTCACTATGAAATACAGAGAGTGAGAGTGTAAAACCCGAAAATTGCAACTTGAAAATCGTATCAAGTCTGGTAAAAACATGATGTAACAATATTGTTTCAACCTTGTGTTGCCAAACTTTTAGCAACATGCTATCATAGTTGTATTAGACTTGTCATAATCCTGTAAGATTGTTCTGGCAAGAATTAAATCAGGGGGCGCGGGTTGTAGGAAGGCTGGATAGCGCTATCCACCGGATAGTGTTTTTTTCATTTGCTTTCAAATCGCCTGTTGTTTGGTATAACTTTGATTAAATTTTATTTTCAGCATTTTTTGAAAGGAATCACTATCCGTTGGATAGCGCTACCAGCTTTACTACATACGGTCCCAGGCTTGTTACAAATAGTTAACAGCCAGTTTACAACAAGCAATGCGAACACAGCTTGTGAACAACCTTAACCCAACCTGTGTCAGTCGTTTGTGTTTCTCGCCTACGAACCTACCTTCGCTTCTTCTTTTTCCCAAGTCGTTTCTTGCCGGGATAACTTCGGTGATGTCCGACGCCAGAGTCGGAGTGTTCCGTGCTCTCTTCATCTTTCGTTGAGCTGTCGCCGTCGCTGTCGTTATTGACGTCATATTCGGTTGACGTCACCCAAACACCAGGTAACAGGCCCGCGCTACGGTAGGATCTGAACAGCGGTGCGACTAGATGCTTGATGAATGTCTCCTGCAGTTGAGCGTCCAATGGAACTTTGCGGTCCATGTAAGGGGAAACAGGGAGGCCCTTGCTTAGTTCATCGTCGCCCTACAAATGAAACACAGACGATACACTGGGCTGCCTTTACAATTATGCTATTCTCAACTTCATGAAATCTCTTTAGACGGCTATGGTTTCACTCTATAGATTATACCAACTCTATTAATGGGAACCTCGAATTGTAATGTTGGGAAGTTTTCTTTTATCCTTCAGGCTGAATCGCTTTTAACGATGGAAATTTGGTTACTTGTCTTCTCTATTCAGATATCAAGTCTGGCAGATTTGCATCGAGTCATGCAAGCCCTTCCAATACTGCTCAAGAACTATAAGAACTTTCATGAAAATTTACGGTCACAACCTTTCTAAATGTAGTCCACATACACATCACATAAACATCGCTTTGATTAACAACGGACATAAAGGACTTAGCCTTCATGATCTAGTGCTCTCAGAATTATGTTGTGCAAATCTACAGAAAGTCAACGGTAAAACCTACAGGGACGATACTTATATACATTATACCTCAATCTTCATTTATAGTCAATTGAACTACCCGATAAACTAAAGCCCCGTTTACACTACAGCCAATTTCTTGGCACGGCACGGCTAAAATGGGTACCCGTGCCCAATTTTATTAGTGTTCAGGCTACCAATACAAAGGCCGGGCACGCGGGTACCCATTTTAGCCGTGTTGTGCCAATAAATCTAGTGTAGTGTAAACGGGGCTTTAAAAGCAATCCCAAACTACGATACTAACCTGTTTATAAAATTCCTCGACGATTCTCTCCGTCCACCTTTGATGTATGTCCTTCTGTTTCGTTGGACCCGAGATATCAGCCATTTTGATGCAGACTTGAGAGGCAAGCAGGCGGTCCGCCTCAAGAGACCAATCTATGCCCGCACCACTCTCAACCTGCAACAAACAATTATAATTCTTTATATTTCTTACACAAAACAATTATATTTTCGCTCTCATTTGGCAACCTTCACCCTTATAATATTTAAAATCAGAGTTTCTCATTCAAACCAGTGTTAAATCAAAACAACTACTCGAGAATGTCCGAGTCAAAGTCCGAAGAAAAAAATTTGTCGACTATTTGCTTCGCGCAAGAATTCAAAAATTATAGAAACCAATTAGGACGCAATGCGTCTCACTTACAATTCGCTGCACTGTTTAGTGCGATAGGATAGTCTTATATTATCCATCCTGCAATTATCATCCCGCAAAAATTATAGTAACTATATCAGGCATTACGTTAAAATTGGCGGGAAAATGAAATCTTCGTATCCTACAGGCTGTCCAACTTAAAATAAATTTTCATCTGTTTTGTTTACGACTCAAACGCTCTATACGTACCTTCGCAGTAAACTCTTGCAAGACATCAAAATGCCTTTTCAGATCTGTGGCCAGCACAGCCTCGATGACCAGGAAACGAAACCTTTTAAAGTCCGCAGTCGTCAGAGATTCCACGTAGTTATATTCAGGACTAGACAGCAGGAGCGAGAACGCTTGGGCCACGTGGTGGTTCTCTAGTACTGAACGATCGTTGTATAGCAGAGCCTGTGTGGAGAATAAAATAACTTGGGTAATAAAAGGTTATGAAAACGCATAACTGAACATATACATAAAAGTACCTGGGGTTGCAATGTTGCAACAACAAACGCATTGGTTCGCCCAGGATGATCGTAGTCGTGCATTGCGGCGGCTGAATACAACGCGAACCTCTCCAGATCCGGGATACAGCTCGTCAGCCTATCATACTGCTCCACGGATTCTGTAGCCTCCTCTGATTGGTCGCCGCTCACCGAATCAGAGTCGCTGTTACGATCTCCGGTATCGAAGGGACAGAAGCCCGCGATGCGTTGTGTGGTAAAGTAATATACTCCATGCAACACGTCCGCTGCGTGGGCACTGTTGTGATCTGGAATGAGTGAGGAAAAATTGTCAGGAAACGTTTACTTACGGGTTTTACTAACCATTCAGAATTACATTCAAATTTATAGTTTGCCCAGGGTCCGATTGTTCAAAGCTAAATTTTAAACCGCTGTTTTAGTTTATGTGCTTTTTATCCACTGTTCGTTTCAAAACTTTATAACACTGTTCGTTATAAAACAAGGGATTAATTGATGTGATGATTTGCGTTAACTGGGTTAAAGCCGGATAGCGCTATCTAGCGGTTTTTTTCAATGCTTTAAAATCCCCTGTTGTTATAGGAATAACTTTGATTAAATCTTAGTATTCCTAAGTTGAGGATCCTCTTTAACAATTGTTAGTTCCAAAGCTGAAATTTTATTGCTTTTCAAGCATTTTTAAAACGGTTGAAAACATCACTATCCGAGGTGGATAGCGCTATCCAGCCTTCGTACAGGAGATTAAGTTGTATTCACAGATTTACCAATATATTTTATGCTTAATCTTTCGGGGTGCAACATAACCCTAGGAGTACGATAAAAGAACAGCTTATCTTTGCTGTTTCTTGTTACACGAACTTATTGAGAAATGACTAAGCTTCTAGGCAAGACCTAGTTATACCTATTTCTTTCAAGTTATTTCTATAAGTAATCCTGCATGGCAAGACTTGTTCAAACGTGCTTTTACTAATAGCTTATTCAACGAAAAAGCAGTATACGTACATGGTATATTTTGGTATCCCGCTTCCAGCGCGGTGAAGTAATTCAGAAACACTTGCTCGCGTATGCGAAATGTTTCAAAGAACCCAGACTTCTTAAATATCTTGAACGCAACCTAAATAAAGTAAATGGCAGGCTTGATATATTTTTTTATTTCCTTTTTAAATCTTGCATTGTTATGATGGCAACATGGTTAGAGAATATCTATGTGCACTACACAAGAATGACAAGATGTGTATACTAAGGCACTTCAGACATGGTATGGTATGGTATGGCATGATATGCATGGTACGGCATTGCGTGGGGTGATGTGGTATGGTATGGTATCGCGTGGTATAGTATGGTATGGTATGGTATGGTGTGGTATGGCATGTGGTAAAAGTATAAAAATAATTATCTTTCCCTCCTATGTAGCTAATTGATGTTCTACTTCTGTTTACAACCCTGTAGTTACCCCACTTACCCCTCGCAAGACGTTCCCGTTCTCCCAGACATCGAAGATGGGGAAATTCCAATTATCAATTTTATCATACAATTTTTCCACCTCATCGCTCTGTTTAATATTTGCCGCTTTTTCCAAAATCTCGTCAACCGTAGGTTTTCGTCCCCCGAAGAAAGACATGGCCGGGAGCGTTAACTCGCTTCCAGACTCACAGGACACGTCGGTTTCCTCCGACGTTGCAGCGTGCGTTTCCGAGCATCCACAAGATTTACAGTTCTCTTGTACCGGCGCCGGCTTTTCTTCGCTTACGTCCGTAAATGCGCCGCTATCCGACGGTATTTTACGAAGTACAGGCGATGATGCGCGGCCCTCGTTCGGTCGCACGCTATCTTGTAGATGTGGCATATTATGAGGAAATGACTTTGCCTAAATAAAGTAATACAAAACAAATTAAAAAATACATATTTACCACAATAACAATATTTCATAATGGCTATTTGCAAAGTGGGAAATCGGAAGAACCCGTGATAATCATCATAGAAGAACCCATGCATTCATAAAAAATAACATTAACTTTAACTAGCGCTTCGACTTTATTATCTTCGTCATTCAAATACGTTATGAAAAGCAAAACGTTGCTACAATGTTAATAGTTACATGCTCGGTTACATGTTTTTTTGAAAGATGATCAACCTGTGTTCTCATGTTCTTCATTCAAATTCTATTCTTTCCGATTCCGCGATTCCACATTTTAAAGATGGCCTGTTAAATTTCCAGGTGATCTTGCAGGAAATCAACGCTCAGAAGGGTTGTCGAAATAGAAACCCATTCTGCGGTATTCAATCGATTATATCTTTGGTTATTCTTTATGAAACTAGTCGAAATTGTATGATTTTGCTTACTTATGAGAACTATAGCTCCGGCATAAATTTGGCTCCAAAATAAAGTATATTTCAAGAGATAATAGAGTTATAGAGACCTTTAGCTTGACGTTTGCGGCAAACGCTTTTAAAAAAAGTTGGTGTTTTACTTCACTATCTTTATATGTGCGGCAATTTCGCTAAATTATACAAACGTTCTACATAAAACTTGGGATGATCAGCAGTAATGTAAGAAAAAAAGGCTATTTCTGATGTATTTAGAAAAGCAGCAAATTCAGCTTTGCCGTATGTGTTTCACGTTCACTGTATGCAGTCGTTCAAGCATTAAATTCAGATAAAGATAGTGGAATTAAAGATAGTGGAATTAAAACACAAACTTTGTTAGCGGTTCGGCGTTTGCCGTAAACGTCAAGCTAAGAGACTGTTTACATTCCGGTTACCCGAGATTCAACGAAGCGTGAGGGGACTTTAAGGTATTGAAATAAGTCTTTATGACACCAAAGAGGCACATGCTATTGTTGTGGTGATTATACGACTTCCAGGATCATGTTATCCGCTCATTTCAATACCTCAAAATCATCCACGCTTCGTTGAATCTCGGGTAACTGCATGAGCTCATGTAAACAGCCCCTAAAGGTCTCTATTAAGTAGTCTCAACCGAGAAATGGAATTTTATTTGACAACTAGTCTCAGGCTTCTCCCACCATTCAGATCACCTGGTTGACACTGGTGGACTACTGACACTCACCTGTCGTAGTTTGGATTGAGGAATGAACGTTGGTGAGCCAGATCGGGGCGACCCAGGGAGATTATGACCGATATTGTTCGGGACGTTTCCATCTCGCTCCACCGACGGCATGCCTGTCGCCGACGTCGTTGTCGTGAAGAAATTCGACATTCGTCGGGTTGGATGAGGTCTGGAACGCTAAATATGGAAGCATAGCAATATAATAGAATGATGAAAAATAGTTCGGATAGTTCGTGTTTTTACTGAAATAAATAAACCGTTACACATGAACTGTGACTTTGTGGGTAATTGAAGACAGAGCGCAGTGAAACACGGATGTGTGTTTTAATGGGGCATCAAAACATTGCAGCGTTTTGTAAAAAAACCCCACTCCAGTTAGATACCAAGCTCAACTTACCCAGCCATCGTCTCTCATATCCGGTTGTTCGCATATCTTTTCATCCGGGACAAAACGGTTCTCGACCAATGGACTCATCGAGTTCACACCACGTGCAAAGCTACTGAAGGTTGGCTGCGCAATCATTGTGCTAATGATTTTCAGCGTGCTTGCGACATTTGCCGGAAGATTCGAGTCTGCTAGTAAGTCGGAAAGCATTCCATGTGCTTCACCGAGCGTTGTGGCATCAATGGTACTCTATAAAGATAAGAGATTCGTCTTATGAATAGATGTATATATATAGACCCGTAATATAGATCGATGTAGGTCACAGAGTTGCAGATTACGAAGACCATTGTCCTCATCGGTCTTGGAACATTGGGTGCCGATGTACTGTAAAGCCTACGGTAGCCTATATGTTGCAGACACTATAAGGAAGAATTAGCTTCAAATGCATGCATGAAGGTGTATAGAATTAGGCGAACAGATTGTAGGACGTCTATTCTAGGAAATTTCTCGCTTATTTTTATTATATATATTTTAATTTAATTCATTTGTCGATTAAAAAGAGTTTACGGCAAGCGCAAGCCTTTCTAGAAATTTTGTTTTAGATTGTTTGCGTTTGCAGCATCAACCTATTCTGGATTAATTAAACGCGTTTTCATAGCGTTCCTGAAAGCTTCCGAAAACGATTTATGCAGTAATAAATCTTCGGGCGACGAAGTGGCAAATTCAATCAATCTGCAAAGTCGATCCCTTGACGCATTTTTGGGTATAACTCAATACCCAACTCTGGGCATCAACAAATATCTCTTTTAATTTTTATACTCAATTCAAATGCAAATGCAGTTTACTATCTAAACATTTCATCAAACCGCCTCTTGAAACACGCAACCAGCGCCTTATCGCTTATCAGGATCTGTTGATTTCAAATTTTTCCAAGGTCATATCCCAGACACTATAAGATCGCCAATGACAATGTACAAAATACAAGGGGGGTTCTGCACAAGTGACCAGCACGACGCTGATACGTGTTTACATATCCCGTCTGAGTATTTTAATTTGAATGTGCGACAGACATGGACATCAATACACAAAACATATGTGAAGAAATCGTGGTCCGTAGTAATCGGGACAGCAGATATGTTAAGCGTATATGTATGTTTACTATTCCCTGCAAAGCTCAACTCGAAATGCGATCCGCGACAACGAAAATGATGGAGGATGTGTCTTCCACCTGAGTGTTTGCGGTCGAAAATCAATATTTTAGCGAATTAAGGTCCTTTGACGAACAGACAAAAATACGAGGTTATTTTCTTTGTTGTGATAAAATTTCACCTCATTAAGCTTTTTTCAAGTCGAATATTATGGCTATATAATGCAGACTATATATATACATACACTGCTATCTATTTGCTAATTGTAGATTTCTGATCCAGGGCAAATATATTTAGGTGAAGGATATCACTGAATGAAAATTAGTCAAACATGAATTAATTTCGTCTTATTCAGTACATATATACGTAGATAAATTCCCTAGGTGGACAAATGAAATAAAAATCGTTCTCACCCCAGGGATTTAATTCATGCGATCTGATTGGACCTACTTTTTTTAAGAGCAAAAAATTTCCTTCCGTGGATTTTAATTGGACGTCCGACTTTTTCCTCATTAAAAAATCGTCGCCGTCATTTTGGCGGCGATGTGCATGTTTACCTATTTTTTTAAGACGGTGTCAAATGAAATGGATTAAATAAGAACATGATGTCGACGTACATATTTTGGGGAGTTTTGGTAACAACAACATTTGGTCCTCGATGTTTAAAAGTTGCCTTGAACAAAAGCAAGCTGTGGTAAATAGTTGTTTAGGAAAGATGTTTTTCGTGTCTCACTGTACCTCTGTCTTTGTATAATTGTGCATTTACATTGTCAATGTCAATCTTAACTCCAATATATATACATCACGTAACAAATATTTATTCTCATAATGTTGAACATGCTCAGAAAGGTAACAAAGAAATGAATGGTAATGACTAATGTCGGTAATTCATCTACCGATCTGTGTCTTATCAAAGGTAGAACTTGAAATCAGGATAAATATCCTGCGGTTAGACGTTGCGTCCACACGATACCGGGGCATGGGAAAATATGGAACTGTAACGCTGCAAGCAGAATGAACATAATTCGAATAATCTTCGCCGTTCGTGAACCGCTAAAGGCCATGTTTTACGGTGCAATTTTTCTTGCAACTTGCAATACAATTCTATTTCTAAGAGATGCAAATTAGTTTTTAAGAGTTTTACAGAAGAAAAGTGCATTTAGTGTAATAAACAAAAGTTTCGTTGTTCCCAAATATACATCTCTCAAAAGTATATATATATATATACATTTGCCTATATATTTGCCTATTTTTTATATTTGCCTATCTAATATCACTATACACATGCAATTAACCTACTGTAAATAGCATCTAATTATTACGTCTAGCGTGTTCAAAATGAAGTTTTTAGCGCAGTTTTGGTTGCCAAATTGGACGAAGAAACAGTCAAACACAGCCATGCGCGACCTAGTTCACAACAAGTTAGGATTTATGCATGCGTAAACGTGCAATAAACAGCGCATTGTTTACTTTGTTTTTGGCCTTTTGTTTTCTTTGACTTTGTCCACAAAGACACTGAAGATGCATATGTTTATCCAGTTAACATCTATAGCAAACCTGTAATTTGGGTCCCCGGTGCATGATGTTCGTACTATATACTACAACTAGCTCTTCTCATTTCGAGGTTTTGGGGGGCGTTTTCCAAAGCAAATTTGTTCGGGCGAATAACATATTTAGTGTGACGTGCTTGACTACAGGCATAGCGAAAATTAATTTCGAAACATTCTCAGTTAACCAATCGTCAGTAAAATCAATCAGCGTGAGGAAAATCACCAAAAACTGACTTCACTGCGTGCAACCATAGACAATCCAAAAGACATCTTTAGTTGTCTTTTGGATTGTCTATATGGTGCAACTCACTGCATTACGTTTGAATGACGGGGTGCAAAACAGCAGAAAAAAGTATGAATTCTTTTCATTTTTTCATTATCAACTACAACATTAGAAACAGTTATCCTCTTTTAACGCTGACCATAGGTTAAATTTTAACCCGCTGTTTTTGTTTATGTATATCTGCACGGGTATTGGTTTCGAAACATCCATTATAATAACTTTATCGGCATTAGCCATTACGGTGAATTTGCTGGGCTAAAATATATGTTTTGCGTAGAACAATTTGCTCAGCTAAAATATATTGTTTGCGTAGGTCCAAAACTAAAAGTAAAAGCATTTTGATATTGGTGCTTTTAGTTTCAACTCAGTCTAAAACCAGATTGAACCAGAAACTGAGAATTCTAAAAGAATTCAGCGTCATAACAAACAATCTGTTGCAAAATTTAAGTTGTAGACTCAAGGTAGGCTAACTGTCTTCTGAACAACGGTTCCAGGTGCTAAAAACTCATTCATTAGTTTGGCCAAAAAATAATTACTTCAACATCTGTATTTGGGAAAAGATTGATTAGGTTTTCAGAATACTAATGAGATTCTTGAGAAATTATTTGAACTTGAGAAATTGTAATGTATGCCCAATTAATATTTCAAAAAGCAAGTAAAAATTAAGAAGGATAATGCTTAGCTAAATTAAAATCAGTAAAGATTTTCAATTTGTGAATAAACTGTTGTAATACAATGAAATGATGGCTCTTAAAAAAACTTGTGGCAATTTCTGCTGATCTTTATTCTAGGGAACCTGGTTCGAGTCCCCTGATTGCAATGATGCCTCTCTTCATTACAAAAGTGACGACAATAAAGGAAGAATATCTGGTAATCAAAAATAAATTCAAACTACCAACTTCTCATCAGAATTGGCCTCTTTCATCAAAAATAGAATACTTATGTTCAATAAAGATCTAACCTAGCCCAGGTAATTCACCCATGAACCTACACACCCGAAAAAATTCAACTTGGAGACCACAATTCAAGTCGAGAAATTGCTCTCAAATTAACCTTTCATAAATATAGCTCATACAATCTAACCATCTCCTAATATTTATCACTGTTATCTGCTTGCACTACTACTCTTCTACTTAATCTGGAAACATTGCAGTTTTTATGAGCTACTATCCAGTAATCAGAATGACTGTTTATATTATGGTCTAATATATCATGCCTCTCCAAAGGTTAAAAACGTTTGTTACAAGCAGAAGTGCATATTTACATTTCGTAATGTAAACATTTCTCTGGAAAGGTCAAATGTGTTTAAAAACATGCAATAAAGCAATCAAGTTACCCCAAACAAAATCTGGTTTATAGTAAATGTGTTTTGGAAATGAACAAAAATTGCAATAAGCGAGAATTTCGTTATCTGAATTTCCAAGCGATTATTCCTACGTGATGATAAATCAGGAGAATTCGCCTCAAAAAAAAACACGGTAGCTGGAGGGTTAACCACTGCGTGGATATAAAGTTTTGCAAATTACTGCCTTTCAGATTAGTTTTGACCACAAATTTAAAAAAGTTGTTTTCGTCAATATAAAACAATGCCGCTCATTTGCCAACAAACTCTGACACATTTGCGTTTTTGAATGCAATCTAATGACCATTACACCGTGAAAAATTAAAAATTCTGATCGATTTTACATGCATTCGAAATTCTCTCTGAACATTCGATTTCCAGTTTCGAATGTTGCAAATGAGTTTCAATATATGAATGCCGCGCAATATAAGCTGTCGCAAAGATATATGAAAAAATAATTGACTTAATGAAATTCAGCCGTTGCGATATAGTCTAGCAAGTCGGCAATCTTTCGTTGTAAAAACTAAGGGTATCACATTGACTTTCAAATCCATAAATGGCCCACTATCTGCTTGTTGGATGTCGCTTGAAAAACCGCGAAAACTCGCGAGCGGTACTCGAAAGAATGTTGCGAGCAGTTCTAATGCATTCGAATGGCTTTCTTTGTGAATTCGACAAGTGAAAAGCGAAATAATTGCAACAAAAGCTTAATGAATGCAATGTTGAGGTGATTAAAACCCAGTGCAAGGTCATTTCGGATTCATAATTCGTCTAATGAATCAAAGCCCTGTTTTGCAAAGTTTTATTTGCTGTGTGCAAACTAATTCTTGCGCTTTCGCCACGCCAGACATAGCAAGATCGATTAAAATTGACAATACATAAAAGTTCTAGCAACGGAAGTCGTGAATGCGATTGCCGTATTCACAATTGAAGTATCGTCGATTTGCCTTTTCCGCACGGCACATGCTACGGCGATTTTACGACATTTAAACCCCAAATCGCGGTTTATCGAATTTTACGTGCCGGGAAAGTTATTTAATTCCAAGGTAAATTGGTCAAAACTATTCTGTGAATTATAATTTGCGACTTTCACACGGCCATCTGCACACAACGGCATTTTTATATTAACGCGTATATGAAATTGAAAAACTTCCATCAAGGGGCTTGCGTTTGCAGGTGAAAAAGACAATAAAATTGCAAATGAGTTTGTGTACAACCGCTACGAATAAGATATAGTATACCCCAAAAATCTTTGTTTTTTACGCTTGTCTGCCTCTCAGCCCTTAAATTGCAACAAATTATGCCCCTAAACACTTATTGACAGCAGGAAAATATGCTATGTATGTTCTAATATCACAGGGTTGGCAAGCAAGATTTCAGCACAGTAGCACTTAGATTTGAGAGTATATTTGATCAAGCCGAAATCCGGCAAATTGTCCCTATAGCGACATTTACTTCGGGCTCCATTCAGAAGATGCATACGAATGATACGAGGCACGATTTTAAACGCGGATGTCTGCATTTGATTTTGAAGCCGTGTCAATTTTCGATACGGCCCGTAATTACACAGTCGAAGGCTCTAGGAGGCTGTGACTATGACTATTACACGGTTTAAAGCGTAAAAAATACCGCATCGCTTTTTTTTCCAAAAGGTTGTGATTTAAATCAATCGATTCAATGCCGATTATATGCCACGATTACACTGAGACGCCATGAATATCTGTTTGAGATCGATTTTAAAACTGTTCAAGAGAGTTTACAGTAGGAAACAAAAAAAAAACACAAAATGATACCTAACGTCTAAGGGGATGCGTAATGTATACAACAAAGGCATAGAGTAGCTTGTCCTTACCTTTGCCTGAAAGTTTAGAACGGGCAGCGAGGTCCTTCTTCGACTGTTAGAATTCGCACTTGAACCACGGCGATTCCTGAAACTGCTTCTGTTAGCGGCCAACGAGACCTTCGCTTCAATTTCAGATGGTTTGTCGGCCATCGGCAAAATAACCAGTCGAGTAAGAAACTCGCCGGCGAAAGCAGCTAAGTTTATAAAAATGTATCTCAATAGGCCGTGGCTTTCTACCGCGAGCGACTTGTCGAATATGTTCGTAATCAAAAGGGAAGTCGCGAATATATATGTCCCCTCGCCTCGGCTCTCTGGCAGAATGTACAACACCGATAAGATTACTACAACAGCTAATGATACATACGCTGTAATGCGATTGGAATCGGTATAGAAGTATTTGAAAATTTGAACCATGATTTCTGTAAGTAGAAAAACAGGCGTTATCCACAGCGATGCCTTGGAATCGAGGTATTTTTGCACGGTGACACTGCACCAGTAAAACAGCGATGCGGTCGTGAGCCCTGGCAGTAGCATTCGACTTGATACTTTGAGCAGCGAGCAACTGGTGAGCAATATTTGTTCGGGTATAGTCGCAAATATTAATCCACAGAGGATACCTGACAACAACACAACCCCCAATTCACGTTGGGTTAGCTTTAAGGAACCCTGATACGGCGATCTTTTGCGCATATCGCCGTCTAATTTGTCCGAGCGGTTTTCTAAAGTTTGGAGTAACATGGTCGCGTATCCATTAGTCGTCGCATTCGTATTGTTTGACTTCAAGTTATTCGAGGCTGTTTTCTCCTTTTCCGGCAACGGCCCATCCATTTTGAACCTCGTTCCCTCTTCCTAAGGCATCCGCTTTAACTGTTCGCCTCTTTAAATTCGAAATCGCTTACATTTCGAAGCCAAATTACTTACAAAATTGCAACTTATTCTCATTCGAAAATTTAAAGCAACAACAATCGCCTTCCATCAGCTTAGGAAAATTTCAACCCGCTATGTTTCACGGTGAGGTATTGCTGACCTATAAAGTGCTACTGGATAGAGCAAATCAAGTTGATACTTCATTTTATAACGATAAAATATTTATCCATCGACTCCATACCGACATATACGTTTCCTGGTTTAATTGAATGAAACCCCAGCCAAAAAAAGGATTTTAAGTTGTGCGTGCTAGAAAGCACGAACATTGGAAGAATATTTCTTTTATGCTTCAATGAATGAAACAAATCGTGAAACTATTTAATAACTTCTTTCATTGCTTTTTAATTCACTCTCATCGTTTTTTATATTCAAACTTCATTCTCGACCGCCAAACTTAACTTTCTGTGAGTGGCGTCGACAAGTATGATGATGTGTCCCCCACAGCCATCCCCCCAAACGGAAAAACACCCATCCTCTTGGAGGATTGATTAAATTGGAGGACTATATTATTACTGTGTTGATATGTTAATTAATATGTTTAAAAGCTTATATTTTGAAAAATAATAATACCATTTCCGTTTGCTTCTTTGTATGATTTTATCATTTACTACACTTTGCGTATTGCATATTTACGTTTGATCACACTTTGACAGATTTTTAACATAGTCATAGTTATTACTTATTACGTCATAATTTGTCGCCCGCACTTTCCTAGGCTAGACAGCTTACGAAGGCACTGCTTTCTGTGGTGACTGTAACTAAAAAAAATTGTTTGACACATAGAGACTGCAACCCATACAGGAACAGCTTAACTAATAAAAAATTACGTTTTAACCCAGCGTAGTAAAACTCGGTCTCTCAAGACAACGAAATACACGTCATCCCAGATGTGTGGTCACACCACTCCGTGAATATTCAAGATGGCGGACGTCATTAAATTTCCGAGTTGAATATTTAAAAAAAAACTAAAACTGAAACATGAAAATGTCAGTAAAAGAGGTTACTAAGTAGTTTTAGTGTAAGTTTTGGGTGGTGTAAGTTCTTTCATTTAGGTCTGAGAACATGATTAAAATACACTTTCAACGTCTTTCAAAATGACTCAAAACGACTTTCAAAAATTACCTTACGATTTGTGCTGGTTATGCAGTAAAGTTCTCAATTTTTTTTCTCTGTTTTTTGTGTTTTACTGAAACAGGCAAACTTTTACTGAAATACTTCTCCAAAATGTTGCCGACAAAAAGCACACAAATCAGGGACCCATTGCGGAATTCACTATGCGTAAGCAATTCTAAATAGTTCCTCAGATAAATGAAGTCTGAAAGTCTGTTGTGAACAAAAGCGATAGCATTGTGTATTATTACTATAAAAATAATGACAAGTTATTGCATTCAACCGTTTCTAATTCTTTGTTCAATGGGATCTAGATCTGATACTTCTCCGTTCTGGGGATTCTGAGGTTAAAAGTGGGCTCAAGCCCCCGCGTGAGGATGAAGATAAATCAAGAGAACACTCACTATTATACCCATGTGGCAAATAAAGGTAAAAAGTCAGTAATGCAAGTTTTTCATGTCTATATGTAGTAAAGTTGATAAGACTGTGTTCCAACTATACGAGTATTTTATAGCGTTCCATGCGCAAGAACGATATTTGTGAAGTTAGTAATAGCGGGAAGATGCTTTAACATTATCGCGTGAGAAACACAACGACATACTGTATACTGTATTTTAGCTAACCTAGGACTTTTAGACATAATTTATAGTTAACAGTTGGTGTGATCAGAAGTTTAACGACTTAAATTGAGATTGAGATATACATGGACACGCAATTTTTTTATTTTATCATGAACGATATCTTGATACTGACCATAATCCATACCTTACCCATAGTTAAAATTGTAATCTGCAATGCCTAGCCTGGCATGGTAAATACGCAGCCGTCTACCCAGGGTCTGCAATGTCAGTGACCGGGGCGGATTTGTCTGATAGCACAGGGAGTGCTAGTTGGTCGTTGGATTAGGAAGTGTTCCCGCCCCTTTGAACCCCACCTAATATCACTGTTTGTTCTAAAATTTTGCGAGGTACGATTTTGTCTGGTGAAGCCATTAGCATCGTCGGGGATGTAATAGAGTCATATGAGATTGGAAAAACGTGCGATGAAACGTCCGATCTTGACGAGGTGACGGTTGTTGCCGATAATGACGTTATCGGTTCGGTTAAACTTGAGGACGACATAAATATATTTGACGTCACTGGTGTGAATGGCGAAGTCATTTCCAAACCTGGAATACTAGACTTTAAGTTTGACGATGTCACAATTATGTCCGGCGAGGTCATTGAAACAATCTGTGACGAATCAGATGACGTCATAACTAAATCAACGTTGACATTTGGAATAACCGTGGCCTCACGCAGTGACGATCCCACCAAATCGTTCCCGTTGACTGGAGCAATAGAAGAGGTGATGGAAAGGCTTGGAGATGCCATTTCATTGGTTAACGACGATCTTTGTGATGTTATGGTTACATTAGAGGGTGACCTAGGTGTTGCTATGGATACAGTAGATGGTGATACGGTGGTCGCCCCGGCGATACTTACCGATTGAATGTGGATATTTGTTGTTTGCAGGTGTTCTTCTAGCGTGTGCGCTGAGGGTGCGTCATTATTCTTTGCGTCCACCAACGATGATGTTATGGCTGGGACGGGTTCTTTTCCAAGCGAATCTGGAGCAAAAAACCTCGGATGTAAAGGCGGACTATTCGACCTAATTTTGCACATGGTATTTTGTAATGGACTTCCCTAAGACAACTAGTCCCATTTGATCGATCTTAATTGGAAAGAGCATGCACACGCAACACCGCGAATAGAAATCCACCTTAAGCATGACGGGGTTGAGCGTCAAGCATGACAGGATTGAGCGGACGATTGCCTCGATTTGAGGGGATAGAGCGATAGGTATGTCCAAGCAATTTGTTTTGGGAACATTCAGCTGCTCCCATGTGATAGACACGAAATCAGAAGATGTGATGCACCGTACATAAGAGGCCAACAATGAGTCATATAACCAGGTTTTACAACATTGTTGACAATCCCTATTTTGCACAAAAGAAAGAGAAAAATCACAAATAACTAATCAACCAACCTTGGACGACCAAAGAGCTGTTCTCCGTACCATCGCAATTCACCACAGGTAGAGCAAGGAACGGCCCAGCAATATCTAATCTGCTGTCACCCTTGGAAAGGAGGAAATACGCAAAACTAACGAATAATGCATTGCTGAAATTTCGTGCTTCATCAGTTACGAGACATTTCAGCTTGTGTTGTTATATGCAAATATGTCGCGTCACACATTACGTCAAATTTTCATGCATAACGATGCACCTTTGCTGTTATCTTGAAATAAGATCATTAGTAAAGAGAATAATGTCTGTTGTTCGCACAATACTTAACCTGCGCATTTTATAGCGGCAAAAATGTATATAAACTTATACCGCATCGATATACCACACAAGCCGAAATATCTCGTCATTGCTATTAAAAGTTCTATACTCTAACTTTTTTTCCGGTTCTTTCATCTTCGACACATATATGTAGGTATCAGAACTGAAAATGCCATTCGGTATAAAATATACCGCAAAGAAACCATGGATTGTTTGAAGGGACAGGGAATGCAAATTTATATTCATTTGCATGCATTTTTCCTCCCCCCATTGATGCTTTGCGGCTCTGACTAGATTCAGTGCCCCACTGGATTGAAAATGGCTAATTAGTTCGGAGACACTTTGTTTTGTTTAATGTAACGTCATATAGATTCCAGTGATAGTCAGCTCGAAATCGAGACTTGGTAGTCGGAGTGAGTATTATTACACCTATGTTGACAAAATTGCCGAAGAATTTCTAGCGTTCAAATTATCACGCAAATTTGGGCTGCCCTGGATTTCTACTTATTTGGATTAAGTATGTCCAAGTTCGTATGATTTGTTCACTACGGTACTGCATTCACAACCGTTAAAAACTTTCCGGTTGGCCGGTACTCAAACCAGTGATTAAGGGTCTCGATAGAAGCCACAAATGCAAGCTGTATTATAAGAAATCAACTCACTTGTTGTTCCAGGAAAGAGGAGCTGGAACTAGAGGGAACGGTGAGAACTTGCACTAATGACGTTGCTTTGTCGCCGCCGTCAAGGGAAGTGCCGATCAAGGACTCGGAGTTTGGAAACAGATTACTCGCTGAAGGCACCATTACGTAAACTTGTCCTAGTTAAATTAAACGGAGGGATGAGAACACAGGCACAGACACAGGATTGTTCAATGCACACACAATCCGTATCAACCTCAATGTGAAATTAAACACGATAATTATGCATATTATGAGATGACTGCCAAACACGATGTTTTCAATCATCTAAAATGTTATACCGAGCTTAAAAAGTGTGCTCGATTGATTCTATAAGTTGGTTCTCCCAATTTTCAGGGTATAATAATCCACCTAAAAAGGCTGAACCGTGACGAGATAACGAACAACGTACCAAAAAATTTTCATCTTTTTAAAAGGCACACTATTAATTTGCAGTATAACTATATACTAATAACCTTTTTTTATCCTTTTACAAAGTAGCGGGCAAAATTCTAGGGTTTCATGCAATCTGATTGGCTGTAGCAGCGGGCGATATCTTACGATATCTGACCATGCAATGGCAAACAATGGCAAACAAATTTTTTGCCCAATATATATATATATATAAAAAAAAAAATTTACCTTGAGCGTCCTGTAAGCTGCCATCTCTTGCCAATTCCATTGAATCATCAGTGCGTATACATATCGTTTTGACCGGTGACGTTTTCGACGCTCGCACCCGTCTCGGTTCGGCACGTTTACGTTTCCTACTTCGGTCATCTTTGCTGGGCATTTTCGGCAGGTTCTCCGGCTGCATGAGAAAATGAAACAGTAGTAGCTCAATTTTGCCTACATTCTCAAAATCAACGAGTTCCTTTTCAGCTTAAAGTAACGCGTGGGTGGAGAATGGTGTCAGCCAAGGGAAGGTGGACGGACAGTCGTACAGAAAACCGCTAATTATCGTTTCTTTTGATAAAGACATGCTTGGTTTAATAATGAAACAAATAAAATTCTACGAAGGTGTTGTGATGCTTAACCTCACCAAATTGGCATAGCATCAATTTCAAGCCCGAATGTAGCTATGTAAGTAATTGGTCTGGAAATCAATCCAATTTAAAGTTGATCATTAATGTGAGTAAACTTGGATTGCACATTTCCGTTTTTCAAAAGCAAAATTTCAAAGGCATTCACAGTTATTCATGGCGTCAAACCGCGTCATATAAAATCATCGCAAATCGACTCGACTACTTGCGTGAGTGTTAGCACGCAAAACAGTCCAGTTCCGCACTAAACTAAACACCGCTTGTCAACTTACTGGCGGTAAACTTTCCAAAGTTCCGGATTCAAGAGCTAACACAGCCTGGTGGATGTGATTTTGTAAGTCTGTTATCGTTGGAAAGAACAGCTTGTTCTGGCGGGCTGGCATACGCTCATCACCACAAAGAAACAAATCCTTTTCCACGAAATTTATCACGCCGTGTTTGACTTGGTAAATATCGGTCACCCCTCGCGCGACAAGTTCGTTGATCTTTTCCACGACTCGGGAGTCGAGCCGGGACGACCCGATGTTGGCTTGCGTGGGAAGGAGGGAAAGGGACTGGTGCGGGAAAATTTCGTCTTCCTCGTTGTGATATTCGTGGGCCAACTCGAGGGGGAACTGCACGTAAAATCTGGTGGGAAATAAAAATTATTTTTACACCCGTACCTAAATTTATTTGTATTCAAGGTTTCACAAAAGGTTTTACTGAATGTTATGAAAATATTTTTTAAACTCAAAAACCTGCATGCGGCATCGCAAACTGTGTGCAAGTATTGTTAGGAAAATGTGTTGTTTTGAAATTCCAAAAATATCGTCTTCAAAGCCCTATGAGAACGATTATATGGAAATCATGATTATAACGGGGTGGGGGATCTACAGGATGTTTAAAGTTTTTGTCAAATAAAGTATATCTGTGTTGATAAATGTATATCAAACGGTGTATCTGTGTTGGCTATTTCACTGAAGACATTTTTCTGGAAAAGAATGTTATTTTCTGTGAAGCCTTTCAATGAAGCCTTAGAAATTTCGCTGTGCTATATCTTCTAAATTTTATAGCATTTCTTAACACAGAATTAAATTTTGCTCATTCCTAAATGCTCTATTCAGCTGTGCTGTTGTAGCTTGTTTATTTCTACTTGCTTAATTCACATAGCTACATACCGTTCTTCTCCCTGGCTCTCGGGACAAGCGACCCTCAACGCTGTCAGCGCCCGTTCTTGTGCCAATCTCAGGCCGGGCGTGCCCTCGTAGCTTTTATCGACCTTGAATTCAGGAAACTTTCGAACCCGCTTGATGTAGATCCGCGCCGGACACGTCGGACGGTGAGCTGGCTTCACAGCTTGACCGTCTTCATTATACTCGACCTTAACCTTGTTGCCTTTCCTCCGAGGACCGTACTGGCATTCCATCACTGTCGCACGACGACCTATATCAATGCAGGATTTGTACATTTCGCTGTGCCTATTTAGGACCGTGGCAAGTGAATGTATATGTATGTACTGTATGTATGTAAAACTTTATTTAAACACGCTAACCTCGTCAACCAAATTACAGTTGTTTTCGAGGTTGTTTTCCGCGAGGGGTGACACACAGAAAAATATCGAATAGCTACATGCATTAATATATACAGGTTTTTTGAGGCCCAGAGTGGCGTGGTCATTCAATATCTGATATATCATTAGAAGTGCCTCATTTTGAGAGCACCTAGTGTCAACTTTGTCCCATCTCAGACTTTTCAGGACATCTATTAATGGGACATCGTAGTTTGCCCCACTTATATCAACGTCAAGAGAACTGGAACGTTTTATATTTTATTTTGGCAACATCGTTTGCGTTGCGGTCGAAATTCACATGCATGCGCGAGGTTTGAGGATGGCGCGGGTAAATATTATAGGTAATTTTTACACAAAATAGTGCAGACTGAAAAAAACACAAAAATTAAGAAAAAACGGCTGAACAATTAATCAAGAAATTTGTTGAATCTTGCCTGAGGTAAAAAGAATACTCGTCATTTTATTATTCTTGCCAGAAGTTAATGAACAGATAGATATATATTGGCATTGTTCACTATTGTTTTTCCAGTCGTTGTTGAAATGGAATGTTAAACTCGTGAACAGAATGTGCTGTTATGCATGGAACAGCTGTTAGACCAAATCATGGCATTTCAAACCAGGAAGTCTTGAAAATTCGTGAGTAAACCAACAGTCAGATTCAAGCTGCTGGGCTAACAGTGAAAGCAGCTTACAATCTGAGAGAAATTCGTGAGTTTAAGGTCAGAGAAGGGCGTCTACAATGACCTAGAGGACCTAATTTTCGAAAATTTTTCACTCAGCGGCAACCCGTGTTGCCTCTTGGATTTCACTATTTTTGCAAATATTTTTAGCTCAAAATCAGGTGTGCAATCACTGCCAAATATCATGTATAAAATTTGCATAGGTGCATGAAAATATTTGTTAAAAATATCTTGGGTGCAGCACTGCCCAACACTGCACTCTGGGAAGTGCCCAGGTGCATACTAACACACTTTTTTGGACAATAAAATATTTGAGCATTGGATCTAAAACAGAAGCATGTTTTAAAGTTGGATGCTAGCTGGAATGTAATATAACCCTACAGCAGTTTTTGACACCATATAACAGTGTGATAACAGGTTATACTGTGTGTGCCACTCTGATATCATGTAACACTTTCTAAAACAGCATTACTTCCCTATGTAATAATTGTTGGTAAAAAATACCATATATTGGGCACAAAGCAAGCTATAAGTGGGTGCTTTATTTCAGGGTAGAATAGAATGGTATTAAAACCTTACCACTATTGAGGAAGGGAATACCATCGTATGGAACATACTGGCTCTTCCACATGAAGCGAACCGATGGCTTTTGTGATGATGGTGACTGTCTGGTCCCCCAAGAACTGTGTGTATGCTCCTTGTGCATGCTCAACAGTTCATCCAGCTCCACCTCATTATGCACATATCCTCTATAGCTATCACCGATTCTTTCACATCCTTTCAGCCGAGCAGCCCATGGAGGAAGGTCTCCCAACTCTTGGTCACATAAATCATCTGATGCGGTTGTCCCAGTAGGGTCATCCATTTGAGTGCTATCATTTAAGACAGAACCATTATCCTCTTGTCTCTCTCTACCCAATACGATGTTTTCCATACTTCCTGCTGTATTAAGCTCATCCTTCTCATTTGAGCTAATAAACCCGTCCAATAAGTTATTCTCGGATGTCGTTCCGAAATCCGTGTTTTCTGTCATAGTGGAAACAATGGGTTCATCATTTGGATTCAATGCATCGCCCTGCCTCAAAGACAATATAGTATTTGAGCTTGCAGTCACAGGAATTTCATAGATTTTTCTATCTAGAGCTGAATCAATAGCGGTATTCTGTACTCCCGTTTGTACAGTATTGGTGCTTTGTTCGGCTTGAATAGTCGCAATATTCGATTGTCTAACTATTCCGGTTTCTTCCAAAACATTGCTATCCGTCTGCAGTTGACTCGAAGCTTTCGCTCCGATGCTCGCTTCTGCTAAAACAACGCTTTTCTCTTCTAAATTTATAGTTGGATGAGTCGGCTCCAAAATGGCTGAATTCGTTTGTTCCTTTGTGTATTCGCCCGAAATCATATCTTCTCGCCGACACACAATCTAGCATTTAAATATGCCGCGATCGTTAGTTTCTCGGCCAAAACGTGAAATCGAGACTCCTTTAGGTTAAAAAATATTTCGAATTTCAAGCCTCGACTGAAGGATCGAATGTTCGCCTCGACTGCGTGTTGTTGCAAAACGGTTACCTGTAAATTACCATTCTTACGGTCGCATAGAACCATGGGGCGGAAACTCTGATCTTGCCGTAGTCCGAGCAAACTGGAGTTAAGTCTAATTTGTCGTGAACAAGGCATTTTCACCGATGAGAAATAGTCCTAATCTGTATTCTGTATTTACGTTTGTCTTTATTTCTGTACATAGGAAAATTCTAAATTTTGAAATTTAACAAATATGCCCTTATTGTATGACTCCGAAGGAGAAGTTCCCTTTTTTCAAGAGGGATACAATTTAAAATTGCATATATAGACTGATAGACAGAATTACAATTCTAGCAAACCACTAGAATTATTGGACATTGTAACCAATCACCAATGATTGCATTTATGTTATTTTCTCTAGTTTATAGGAAAGTTTGGGCAATGTAAATCCACCTTCACACAAAACAGAATTATTCATGATATGCTCGTTTTATTCAAAATCCTTTCAACTACATTTAGTATAATCGTTGAGAAGGTCCCATGGAGCTCTTAACATATAGAGCACGAACATTTTGCCAGTTTTTCTTCAGCAGTGACACTAGGAAGTTGATAGCAAGGAGAGTGTTGTTATACAGCTCATCCTCAGTCATGTCAACATGACCTATGGCAACTGCAAGACAAAGAACCTGCAAAACAATGAATGAATGGAGTTATGTATATGTGTTCACTGTATTCTTTAGCTTAATGATTTAAACAATGATGCACATTGCACATTAAAAACATATATTTAGATTAGGTGTAAAAATCAATGAACAGTTACTGCTTAAACGAACTGTTCACTAAACATTTTACCTACTGTACCCAATACAAAAAATGTACCTGTATTGTTCTAAATTTTGCCAAATATATCATTGGCTTCCCATTTATTTTAAGACCCTGGGTAAAGGTCCGACCAGCAATCAACCACACTAATGTATGTTAGAATGGTTGAAACCTCATGGTCTACCAGTTACAAGGGCCTTACCAGCACTCTAAGGATGTGAAGATGTCCAGGACATAATTAAGTGATAGCAAAGCAATAGTTGGCTTGTCAGTTGCATATAATTTAAACTTTTTCTTAGAGTGCTGTGCCCAAGATCCTGGTGGATTGACCCACCTTCTTCATTTGAAATTTGATTGTGGCTTTAACATCCTGTACTTTCTGAACCATATTCTCACTATGGGTGATCATAGTTGGAAATTTGCCAGCTTTGTTCAGGCCTGGTCCCAATAAACGTGGAATCTGCTTGATCAAACTATCCGAGGCCAAGAACGCATCATATTTCTTTGCTGGAATATGAAAGAAAGTAATTTTGGAAATTTATAATTGACGTATTGGTCATAATCTTGAACTAATTTTGCAATAAATACTCCAAAAGTTTAAGTGGTATAACATGAGAAGCAACAAAAGCAACTTCTCCAAAGTAAAATTTTGATTTCAAAGATTATGACTAAGTTGGGAAGAGGAGAAAAATATTTCAATACTAACCAAGCTTTTTCACCAACTTTTTGTTTTTATTGAGCTTCTTTAATTGCTCAGCATCCATGCAAGGCAGATCATTTGCCTTAGCCTCATCACAATGGGATGCATCTCCAAAAATACAGACTTTCATTTTTGGCCTTGGAATATGTTTCAATCTAAATGACAATGAGAAATATGTCATACCTGGTCATTGAACATAAGGGCTATCTGCACTGATTTCATTATGCCAATGTTGGGGGCTCATCTCTGGGGGTGGTGTCAACAGTAGATGTGTACTGATGGGGCCCCAATATTATCTTAGAGCAAACAGCAAAGGCAAGGTGTAAAAAAAGTGTTGCAATTGAATATTTCAAATTTGGAAAAAAATGCCATAATAATCCTGGTATATGGCACAACTCCAACAGATATCAAAGTTCCAAGTCCCTAAATATCAATAAATGAAAAGATCAAAAACATTTACTCACTTCACAGTTCCTGAGAAACGCTTGTCTTTTTGAGGGTCATAATTTTTCAAGCTGATTTGGAGTTCGACTGTTTCAAGAAACTTACGTTTCTTGTCTTTGGAGTGCTGAAGAACAGCACGTATGCACTCGGTCAAACCTTCTCGATTTACTTTACTACGAAAAAAATGCACATTACACTTTCAACCTTGAGCAACAATTTTATTAGGTGAAAATTTTAAAAAGTTAAGAGTTTTCAAAAACATTTTTTAAGGATATAGGAAAAAAACAACATTATTTGTAAGAATATGTGGTTTTAATATTCGGATGGATGAAATTTAGGTTGGATTTTTATCGATAATTTCTCAACCTTACCTCATTTTATCAATTCGAACGAGGGACGAAAGAAGAAAGAACGCGCAAGAGTTGTCAATTTCGGTAGACTGGTGACCACAGAAAGGAAAATCCGTGTTTCCATTTGAGCTCTTCGGATTTTATTATTTAGCTTCCACTTTTAGAGGATTTTCATCTTTTTCATCAGCATATTTTCCCTAACGAAAAGGTGATTCAAGGCCACTCCAACCATGCGATTAGTCGTATAACGTTTATTATCATGGTATATGTAATCTCATAACCATTATAACCATATGGCTATACAAACGTCATATTTATTACAGTTCACTGGAAAAATGTCACACAGACACACTTTCTCAATTGTTAAAATGCCATTATATTAAAAAGGCAGAGAAAGAGCTTAGGTTAAGTGGTATGATAAATTACCCAAAAATACAATATTCCCCTTAAAAAATTCCATAATACCATTTATACTATTAACATACGGAACAACCTAAACTAATGAAGGTAACTCTTGTTGATAATCTTGTTCCTGTTACCATCTTATTCCATGCCATAAACTTTACAAAAACTTAAATCTTAAAGTTCATAAAATATCTTAAATAATTGAGCAAGTGAATTTCTTTTTAAAATCTCGTAACATGCTAACATTTTTTAAACATCTTTTAGAAAATACATACAAAAATCAAATGATGAGAGCATAAAGACTTGAATTAATTCTAAACAGAATTAATTGGTTACCATATCAGATGAAAGCCAAACATGCCATGCCATGCCATGCCTAGCCAAGCAATTTTTTTCTGTGACAGTATAACCAATTCTTAGTTCTGTTTCATTTTAACGCTTATCCAGATTCTTCCTATTAACACCAACATTAATAACGGTCATTCGTTCATCACCAGAACCCCACATATCATCCTCCAAATCCACCTCGATCTCTTGATCTTCAAATTCATGATGCGATGTCTCCAGCCTCTCTTTAACTTCTTTACATCTCTCTGAAGCTAATTTTTGCTGCCCAGCTTTGAATGCCTGCACCATGTACCTATCCACGCTTCGCAAATATCTATATCCGACATACAGATATGTCAAACTGCACACAAACCCGACCAATCCTTTTCCAAGCTCGTCCTTCGGTAGCCCGGCTTGCAAAACCGACCAGGACAAAACAGAGCCAAGATTAAACACTGTACTACCGAACAAACAATACAGGAGTCTTTCTTCGGTTGGGTACAGGCTCAAACTCGGTCGGTGGTATATGTAAACAGCGGTACCGAAATGGGAAAGTGCAAAGCAGCCATTTGTAAACACACGGCTGGAGTCTTTTTCCAGCAACTTTTGTACAACTGGTAAATGCAATGCGTTCGTTGACAGAGTAAAGTAACCAAACACTCCAGAGTATGGCACGTATTTAGGCCATATTTCATTAAAACGTTTCAAAATTGCTTTTAACTTTTCGTCGCTTGCATTCTGTTTGCCTCTCTCATCGGCCATTTTGAATTGTTGGAACTTATCCCCGGCATATAGGGGTGTTATCTCCGGTGTTTAAAGGGAACTATTTACTATTCTCCAACCGGCAACCACTGCCAGTTAACCTTGGTTTTTTATTTAGTTGAATGAAATTACTTTCACTCCTTTTAAATAAATGCGATTTTCGCCTTTATCGTATGCTTTGGGCAGGAAAGTATCCTTCCAGTTCAAAACCATAACCCCGCTAACCTTAATTACCTTCAAAAGTGTTTTGTTTAACCAGTCTTCAAACTCAAACGTACGACTCCCGTCAGTCCCGTGTACTATGAACTTGATATTTGTTGAATAAATATGTAAAAAATATTTCTTTTATTAATAATGACGTAGATATTCTCGCAATTTATATAGGTTTTTAAAATTTATCCGAAGAATTATATATTTTGTACAATAATTAGATGTGTTATGTAATTATAAATTAATCGTGCTTTTCATATAGATTTTCTCGTATTTATATGTCATGTACATAACCTTTTCTACATTTTTTTCTACAAAAATATATATTATATGTCTCATATATCAAATTAAAACCTTTCACATGATCGATTTCATTTCACCTCCTTGACTTTTAATGATTTCAATATTTCTGCACAAGCTTGATAGCAAAACACGTATTGATCCTGGAGAATATCAACAGTTAAAAAATATTTACTACTTCACCTGAATTTTTCACCCCAGTACCTAGTAGAGGTACAAGACTATTTTCTTGTACTTTTGACATAACAAGAAACTTAAATCTAACCAAATAAATTTTATATAACAAATATAATGGTGTTGCGAATGGTACGAAAGACGACGAAAGAATAAAATATAAAATAAAACTCAGTGTCAGTTAGCTCCTCCAGCTGAAATCGAACCGACGCCCGATCATTTCCTTACTCTAGACTATTAATTCCTAGGCACAACAACGTCATTGAAATACTGTAAGAATGTACTCGGGTGTTTGCGGGCATAGGGCAAAGACATGGCCGGGTCAAAGACGATGGCCAAGAGTTTTTCATAAAAACCAGGGGGGTTTCTTAAGTTCAAGAACATCAACTATGATATTCTTATTGTGAATCTTGAAAGTTTCAATATCGTATACGTCTATACGTAAACATACAAATTCATTTCGGATTGTTTACTACACCGTAACAGTGAATAATAAATTGTTATTTGATTAGACAGCTTGATTCATATGGACCATAGGCAAATAAGAATAAAATGTATCAATTACCTTCGTTTGTATCATTCCAGGGCGTTGCTCTCGTAAATTATGAACAATACGGTAGATATCGAACTAAAGAGAACATTATAAATTTCATCACTTAATATATCCTCTATGAGAACTTATCCTTCGAATGATCAAAGCTGTCTGGAGAATACCCAAACAACCTCGAAGATTTCTCCTCAGGTACTTACCTTCAATCCTCTCTCAATATGTTTCATACAAGTATCGATAGTCAGTAACGTTCCAGTTCGACCGATACCAGCACTAAAACAAAAATAGCGCACCTATTCACACCTAAAACTCCGTGTCTTTTCTACAAAAGGTGTTTGGCAATGTAGGCAAGTGCAAGGGACGAACCATTGGTAAACTAATGAGCAACAGCGATGCATAAAGATTTGACTAGTCACTAGTTAACAAGTTTCATCAACCAAAATTGCATATAATAGGAACAACCCCTACCCCCATTTCTTACGGACATTTTATTACCACTCTGGGACCGGTTGTATAAAAGGCAGTTAACTTTTAATTATCGTTAGTGGCAGAATTGGCCAATCAGGATTGTGTATTTTCGAGTTAACTACGATTTAACTACTCAAAAACTAGTTAAAAAATTTATACCGGCCCCTGGTCCTTCCCTCGCAAAAACTATTCTAGGGTTTCTATACATGGGTATTGTGATAAATAACGTACACTCAGCCTGACTCGGGTTAATTACCACATTTTTTGGCAAACCTTGAACTTATTACATAACACTTGGTGTTGTTCGAAAAGTGGGTAACTCGTATTATAATATTAGAGTGCGATTATAACTCACCTGCAATGAACGAGAGAAGGCCCAACGCTCGAATGGGCCCGAAAGTGCTTGATAAATTCCACCAAATCACAGGCAGACTAAAATGCAACAAGTAACAAAAATACAATATTGAATATACTATAAATTATATAAACTGAAAATTTATGCATAATTAATCGTGACCCCTCCCGTGATTTTCTAAGGAAATTTTCTTAGAAATCCGGACCAAGCATACAATACATTCGTTTAAAAAAGCGAACTGACATCTTTTAAAGGACAGGCATAAAACAGAAAGTCATTTTCTTCGCTGTGTTAAAATTTCATGTCATTAGGAGTTTTTCTTGCTATCTTTTTCCAGTCAATCATTCTTAATGCCTGCAATGCATTCTGGTAAAATGTACATGCCGCCATCTTTTTCGTTACGGTCAATAGACCTTTCCTATAATGACGTCAAACGCAGAAAGTCTGATGATACACGGAATTTGATTGGCTCCACAAAACTATCGAGCTAATCAAACTTCGTGTAAGATCAGACTTTCCGCGTTTGACGTCATTATGAAAAAGGTCTATTGAAGTTGGCATAAAACTGAATCGGAACCCGAAGATCCTCAAGAAATATTCACAATAGGGAGTATACAAATACATCGTCACAAGTTGAATATGCAAATCTACATAGAATTGGTATTTGGATTCCGGCCCCGCATAAATACCATGATCATCATAGAATATTTACCTTCGGTACTCCATGATCAGGCCACGCCAGGAAATTTAAATGTACGACGGTTAAAGACTTTTCCTCCTTAAGAAAAGTCGTAATCAAATTATATATAGTAGTGAATATCAATCAACGTCAAATTATTCAAGTGGAGATAAACTTTGTTCGTAATGCAAATGTCTCTTACTTGAAGATTTTCTATTCTGACGATTCTTTGAACGTAGTTGTTATATGTTTCCACGGACTCCAGATGTACTTCAAGACTAGAAGTAAAGGAATCGATCATTAACGGCTGATTTCAAGAATTCACAACAGGAGTGTTTCCAGTGCTTCAAAGACATTAGTTCCGTTAGTTACAGTGAAGTATTCAAACAAAAGAAGCTATAAATGAATTTTTTTTCTCAAATAATTGCACTGATGAAGGCCTGGGTTAACGGACCGAAAGCTTTGCAGTGTTAAATACTTACGTGGTGTACCTACAAGCCTTCCTATCTGATCCGATAAAAAAACATTGAAACGATATACATTTCAGATAAGAATAGGAAACTTAGCCAACTTATAGAATAGTTTATTCAGTGCTTCTTCAGCACTGACTGAAGCTTTATCACTTCTAAGCTGTTATTTAAAGAGAATTACTATGCATTACTCATGCAAAACCTACAGATAATTCTCAATGTCTTGCCACCTACGCGACATTGAAAATTATTCGTAGGTAACGTATTTTTTTGCCGCTAGTTTGTTGTCAATAATGGCGCAGGCTTCCTCTCTAAAAAGGAAATACATAATAAAACAATTATTGAATTCGGTTTTCGCATGATATCGAGAATTATCAAGCCTCAGTTTGCTTCGGCGAATAACGCAAACTTCGGCTTGAAAATTCTCGATATCACACTCAACCTCATCCAATAATTGTTAACTATTTACGGTTAACCTTATTTATCTAGTGTTAAAGCAACCTGTGCTACAGGAGAACTTGTACAATTTTATATTCTACATTTATACTGATTTGTTTATCAGTGGTTGAAAAGTTAACGTCGTACCTCTGGTTAACTTTCACCGGAAGCTCAGACGACTCGGGCCAGTAGCGATGACATTTCACCTTCCCACATTCCATATCTAGTGTTACCATAGCAATCACTTGACATTTCTGTTCCCAGACCATTCGCCAAAAATCGCCGGTTGTTATAGGCACTGGACCCTGCGTTGCAATGTAGTGAAATGTGTCCTCGTCGACGGTGATATTGATGTAGTTGGCGTTGATGTAGTCCGTTTGTTCGTCGCCTGTCAGGATGACTCGCGTTTTTTCATCTGAAAATATTTAAATCACATTAGTGGATTGATAAGAAATAGTGCAGTAGCTATTAAACAGGGTTTGTGTAGGGCGTAAAGCGAAAAATTCAGGAAGAAATAAAGGTCAATAATAGCTCAAACCAGTGGCGGCGCTAAGTTAAAATGAATGGGGTGGCAATTGGGGGGTAAAAGAAATATATTTTGGGGGAGGCAAGATTTTGTTGTAAGTCAAGCCAACATCGCATAAAACAATAAACTACTTCCGTGACATGAAAAAACGGGGGGAACTAGAGAAGACAAAAAAATCGGGGAAGAAAATTGCCCCCCCCCCAGCGCCGCTACTTGCTCGAACACTTTAAAATGTTACAAAAAATGAACTGATTTTCAAAAAAACGTACATGGCAATACATTCCTGTAGCGATTCTTTTCTTTGTTCAAAGCCCTCTTCCCACTTGGGCAATTGTCGATCGGTGTCATCTCACGCAAAGCCTGCAAAACAGCGAGTTTTTCAAAACATTGAAAAGACAATAGGATTACTATAAGAGTCACTGATCTGTAGTGATTGATAAATTATAATTGGATAGCAAAAGGATCGATAGAATTATCAAAATAAAGACAAGAGAGGTTCTTAATCACCGGATTATGACTGAATGCCGGAGGAAAACAGTCGAACATTCGCAAAATGGGAAAAACCGCATGTATCATGCAGTGGCAAATATACAGTGGAAAATATACAAATATCATGCAGTGGCAAAAATTGGTCACCAAAAACAATGTAAAAGCAATGGAGCAACAAACTTGATAATGATTTACCTGAAACTCGCCCGCTGCCTTTCCAGACGAAACAGCTTTCTCGAATTCTTCAATAAGATTCTGTAAACGTTGTCCAGAATACAGAGGACGCGTTCTGAGGATTTCGAGTAACGGCATCGAAGGCTCAACGGATTTTGACCTGATGAATAACAAAAAACAGATTTAGGGGCTGATTACATGAGCCCTCTTACCCGAGATTCAACGAAGCGTGAGATGACTTTGAGGTATTGAAATAAGTCTTTATGATACCAAACAAGCACATGCTATTGTTGTGGTGATTATACGACTGCCAGGATCATGTTATCTGCTCATTTCAATACCTCAAAATCATCTCACGCTTCGTTGAATCTCGGGTAACCGGGCTCATGTAAACAGCCCCTTAAACAAGTCGGCTACTTCAGATAAGAAAATCCAGTATTTCGTTTACCCGCCATTTGCTGTTGAGCTTGCGGCTAGCACATAGTTGCACCGTTTCAAACTATGGAACAACGCGTTTGAAATGCAAGCCGCAAGCTCAACTGCAATAGGTCGTTTCTCGTTTGGTCGTTTCTCGTAAAATCAAGTTTGGCATTGATATGCAAAACAGGGCAAATCTGGCAATTGCCGAATTTGCCAGCAAGGATACTTCACTCAGATATGAGAAAAAATTATTTTGAACTTCAGGGGCCGGTTGTATCAAGCCCGTTTAGCTTAAACGGTGGTTAAGTTCAAAATAGAAAGCAAGTCTATCGAGTATCGTTTTATTCAACAAACAAACTAAATGTTTTCAACCTTAATACAAAAATACTGTTTACAACTACATATTCAGTGCATAATATTCAAGTTGACTCATTCAAAAGAGATGTAAAAGTGTTATTTAATTTTGACTTATCCACCGTTTAAGTTAATAGAGTTTGATACAACCGCCCCCAGTGCACTATTGTCGTCTTACCCTAGCCAAGCTGTGTGCATGCAAATTGGCAACAGTTTTGGCATGCTGCAAATCTAATGCAATCTAAGTTTTCATCCTGTGTGTGTAGTAAGTTTAGTTCACGCTTCCTCTGGTAGGGTAAAATAAGGGACGAAAACTAGCGACATAAACAAGAAACGGTTTACAACTAATAGATCAGCAATCCTGATAAGCAAATTTTGTCTACTTTACAACTCATCCTGAAATAACACGGAACGGATACGGAAATTGCCATTTTCTAAGGAAATTTTCTGGCACAAGCTATTTGTTTACACGAAGCGGTCAATATTTTTGTAACTTTCCTTTTTCAACCTCCATTACCCTTTGGGGACAGTTATATGTAAATATATGGCGGAAATCCTGTTAACAATTATCCCTAGGGAGTACAGTCAAAGCTTACAGAGCTATATCGAACGGGTAATTATTGTGTATGGTTACTTTACTAAGTTCTAATCCTATTTCAATATTACAGATCTAGTTAATTGAACCAATCCATTTTATGCATTCAAACCATGCCAATATAGTCTTCTTACCTTCGACCGATTAAAGGTGACTTGGGTCTCAGTGGATGGTCAAATCTTCCCTTGTTCTCTTGCTTCACAACTTTTGCAAACCGTTCTCTCATTGTCATTGCTTGTACCTCTGAATCCCTAGGGGACGCTTTGTGGCCTACATTACTCGTGAGGTTATCGTCTGGAGGTATCGGGGTGGTGGGCACTGGAGGGGGAGTCTCAGGAGTCGTTGCTTGTGATGATGACATCGCTAGGGATGCATTGAGGAATGACTCAGGGATAAGAGGGGATACAGGTTTTCCGGGAAGACTCATACTTGTCTCGACCATGTTACCACCCATTGATACTCCTAAATGTCCTAGACTACCATCATTCGAAATGTTTATTGTATTATCCGTAGCAATTTCCGAATGTTTCGAACTTTTGTTCGCTCCCAAAGAGGACATCTCGATATTTTCTTGCTTAGATGAAGGTTTGGTCTTTGCGTAGTTTGTTTTATCTGAAAATCGCGGAGAGGTGCTGTCTGATAGGGTGCTACCAGGTTTTACCGGAATCAGTGATCTGTCGGAAAGGTTACCCACGGCTACAAAAAATGAGTAATACGATTATAAAATTAAACAACGTATGATATAAGAGCATGCAGAATTTTTGGTGGGAGCTATTTAAGGCCCGTTCACACGATCCAACATTGTCGGAATGTAGTTTCTGACGTATGGAATGTAGTTTGCTATTAATAAAGCAGTACTGTATTGGTTTGAGTCGATTTGCTGCCCATATACGTTGCAAGTCAACAGACTATAAAACATCCATCAGAAGTGAATTGGATCCGACAAAATTGGATCGCGTAAACAGGCCTTAAGAGAGGATATATATCAAAAGAGAGAGGATATGGGCTAATAGATTTCTCAGATCATACCTGGTCATTCTATTCTAAGAAACTCTCCTAGGAAGCTTTCCTTAGCACAGCATGACCCCCTAGGGCTTTGAGAAATCTATTTGTTGCAGATTTTTCGAAATCTTCATGTCCTTGCTTTTCAAAGGTGACATTAGTAAAATGCATGAATACTAAATTTTGAGAGCGCTGGCCAATCGTGCCGTTGTGTTCTGTTATATATATTGGGTAAAACCATTGGAAAAGCATTGTAAATCTATAAAGAGGCCAGACATTTTTAAAATAAGTTTCAGTTTTCGCTTACAATCCCTCTAAAAATTATTGTAAATATGCTACTAAATTTTCAAATTGCCTCTTCAATTCATTTTTCAACTTTCATCCGTGTATCAATAGCCTTTTCTCTTGAAGCAGCTAGTATGGTGTTTTACAAAATAGAAATCACACATTCTAGTCCGAATCACGGGGGTGCCTAGGCTAGCCAATTCAAACAATCTTCACACTTCATAACCGTTTTAACTCCCGTAACTAACTCTCATCGACCTCTCATCTACATTATGTTCAGGCACTATACGATTAAGTATCATAAATACGCCATACTAACCTGTCCTTACGCGGTCCGAATCAGGACTTGGTGTATATTGCAAGTCTTCTAATTCCTCCAGGAATCCATCCTCACTGAACGTGATAGAGGTCGTGTCGTCTTCGCTGGTAGCCACTGGATTATCGCTGTACTCCACGGGGTTCAGGTTATCGGTATCACTGGGGGAAATTGAGAAGGAAATAAATGGTAAGGAAATACAAATCTTTATATCCTATGCGATATCTCCCTTATGCAACCTGTATGCATCTACAGTAGTTATGCTTTGTGGCAAAAATAATACATAATGCAATATACGTGGGGGCACAAACGTAAAACGTCCCAACTTGACTCGGTTTACTATGTCTTCCTTAACCTGAGTAACACCATTCACTACCCGAAGGTTTTTTTACATTTCTTTTGATGACCATTTTCACAACCATCTGCCGCCTTTAGTAAAGTGGTACCTTTTGCTTGAATTTTTCGACGAGACATTTGCCTGCAGCTCAAACGTGTTCGGTGGTTGAGGCCAAGATTCGAATCTTTCCTCTTCACTATTGTCGTTCATTGCCGGATCCATCGCTGTTTCCTCGACGACGTCCCGTGCTCTCTCCTCGGCAGGCCTTGGTAACGAGTCTTGACTGTCCGAAAGGGGTTCTTGTTTTGTGTGCAAAGCATCTAGAACTATACCAACGTCCTCTGTGAAATCTGGTGTCTGCAATTTAAATAAAGCCGTTCCAAAATTAAACTCATAATTTATCATTTAACATGGAATGCAGGTAAGAAAGCTAGTCAAGGTTTTCAACGCAGAGGTATTTCAAAGGGGGACATGTTGCTTGTGTTGTTGCAGTTGAAGAACAATTGTGATGTATAGGCTATTTACGGGCAATAAATATTGTTGTACGTGCTGAGAGGATCAAATGCGTTTTGCAGCGGGGCGTATGCAGACCAGCCGTAACTCGTGAGGTGGAATACAATACAAGTAACCATTGTAAGGGATATTACGAAAATGAGGCAATGTTTTGCTTGCATTTCTAGAGCTTCAGACATATAAATTACGATTGGATAGTACTATTAAGGCCTAGGTTTAAACGTCGCATTTTGGTCGCGTCGAATCCAATTCAAACAATAGATAATGAGATGATAATGAAGCTAGAATTGCATTCGACGCGACCAAAATGCGACGTTTAACCTAGGCCTAACTTCATCACTACCTTCCTTTTTCACAATTTAAAGCGTTACCCATCTTTGCCCCTCATTCTGCACCCACTCTGGCCTGGCCAAGGGGGGTGCACATTCTCTCTTCTTATCCCTCCCCTGGAGATGCACCCTTCCCTGATACTTCCACAATACAACCTACCGTAACCGGCGATGCGGAAGTATCAAGAACTTCTCGTCCATTTTCGCCACGCGCCATGTTGTCGAGTTCCAGTTGCCTTGGCAATGACGTGGAAGGCTCTTCGTCATCTTCTACATCTTGAATTCTGAAAAACGAAAAATGTTACCTTTGAATTCTTTACTTTGCTCACTCCCAAGCAGCAGCATTACTGCGACGGAAAATTAAGAAAATACCTTAGTAATTCCAGGTCTATGACGCCAGACAGACTTCTCAGCAACGTAATCACTTCACTGTGATCCAATCTTTCTACATCTCTGCTGTTCACCTATGAAACATTAAAAAGAACAGTCATAAGGTAATTGAACGAAGGACTTGTACGAAAACTATTTATGGAACTATCTAGAATAAATTTGTGTCTTTTTGAAGGTGGAAACAAGACAGCCAACTCTTTAGATAGGACTAATCAATACTTCTAGCGTGTTTGGATCGACCAATAGCATTTTGTTTTAGTAACTGGTTGCCAACGTTGAGCATTTTATATGCAGCTTAAGCTCAGCTTTAGGTAATAAGTTTTATCAACATTGCTATTCAAAGGTTTCATCTTTGTCAACTTCTTTGAAGTTAGTTTTGTAGAAATTGTACCTTCGTTAATTGGTCACCAACTTTGATTTTATCATCTTCTTCAACCACGCTGTTTGGTTGAATACTACGAATAAATAATCCAGGAGTCTATAAAAATCAACAAAATATTAAATTCGATTAGAAATTCTTGAATTTTGATCCCTCGCGAATCTTCGGATCGTGCGGATCAAGCCCATAGGCGCCGAATAATCCTGATATTTTGTAAACAACGTATGCTCTAGACATTTTCCTTGTACTTACATTATGGACAGTTTGACCAGAAAATAAACTAAAGCCCAATCCTCGAGGTCCTTTTTCAAGAGATGTGATAATAACTTCCTCCTGAAATAGGAAAGAATAATTAATTATTTTCTTAGACCAATCAGACGGCCATTTCATTAGTTTCAATAAACAACCAACCTTTAAAAGCAAATCCTCGTCATCTGATGGGTATTCCTCATTCTCTGGTCCCTGCATTGCATCTCCGAGGTCTTCTTGCCTTGGAAATGATGACGAAATCCTCTCCTCGCTATAGCTTTCATCCGCTGACAGCTTTCTTAGTAATTCTTGTTGTGGGGGCTCGTGTGCTTCATCCAAGGATAAAAATGTAGACGGTGCTTCCTCCGAGTGTACATTCCCAGAAGGCAAAAAGCTGGGAGGTAATTGCTCCGGGGTTGACTCAATTTCGGGGGGTATATTCTCCGGCGATGTTTCATCGGAAGATAAAAAGTCCGGGTTATACGAATTCGCGTCCTGGGGAAGATTTCCCTGAGATTGGACTAAAGTCAGATTAGAGTAACGAGCCTGCCTTGTGTCCGAGGGTACTTCATGATCGGATTCCGTAGGGGAACAAAGGACATATTTCGATTCAGTTTCGTTGCGAAATTGTTTAATGACTAACGTCACCACTGGTCGAGCGCGTTCCAGACATGCCTCAGCGAATTTGAGATCAGTATCATCCACCCTTTCCCCGTTAATCTAGAGAGAGATAAAACGATAGCAATAAGACAGAGATCAAATCTAGTATTGAGATCAGTGTACATACCTCCAAGATAACATCTCCTCGTTTCAGTCCCCCATCTTTGGCCGCAGGTTCTTCGGGTATCACCTCAGCTGCGAATATCTCACCCTGCTTCCCTTGGGCCAATGTCAAACCAATAATACCACGTGTTGTTCTGATCACCGAGATTGTCTTAATATTAAGACCGTCTTTTGTTTTACTCTTTACCTAAACATGGAGAAGGTGTAAAACATTTCCTAAGAACTAAAATAACTTATACTACCAGGTGTCCCAGAAAAAAACGACTCCGGTTTGATTCATAATAGCTTCTAAACTAGCTAAAATATTGAACTGAAATAACTTTCACTAGATAGAGGGAAGACTAACTTAGATTTTGATATATTACAGTTGTATTTTACTTAAAAATTTACGAGATATCAATGTTCAAAATTGGTAGCACGATTCTGGATGTGTCTAAATTATGTAAAAAACGCCGTATCAAATGAATCAAACCGGAGTACTTTTTTCTGGGACACCCGGTAGATAATAATATATGCTAAACAGCTCCTAATACCGTTTTCGAATGATCAGGAATTAAATAGAATAATTTTAATAATAATTTCTTTTCAGCTCACTTGATTCTGGTGATGTAGTTTTGCTTAACCTCTCGTAGAAGTAATAACGTAATTTATTGGCCGTTAATGAGAGTTGTTTAGCTTTGGTAGCATATTAGATCGTGTGGTGTTCATCCCGTGTTCACATGCATAAGACAAACGTGGTCGTTGGTGAATAGAATGTCTAAAATAAAGTCTTATAAAGAGCTCGAAGTATTAAGTAGTCTTTGAAAGGCGGTCAATGGTCAGAATCATGGTCAGGTGAAGTAGACTGGCAGAACCAAAAGTACTCAATCTCCTTCTAAGGTTTGCAACGACCACCGTAGGGTTAACAGGACTTCTCAGTTGCCGAGGTCCATGCAACCAGTTCTAGTACTATATAATGTTGCAACCTCACGCTGTATATGTATTTTCACATTCTGGTAGCCTGGTACTACAACAATTCTCAGAAAGTATCGAATCAATACTAACTTTATCAGGTCTTCGACGAATAACGAGATGAACTTCGTTCCTGGTCGCCCTCAGGATATTAACTGCCTCCATGTGTTTCTTGTTCGTCGTATCTTGACCATTTACCTTGAAATATATCGAGATATTACTTTGCTGGGAATTTACACACATACATCACAGAAAACATGCCAGGTATGGCAAAAAGAAAATCTCTTCTCCAAGGACATAAAAAATACAACACAAAATATAGATACTAGTCTTCTGTTTGCCGACAGAATCGACTCGCTGTCTTGAGAACGTTTACTGATTCACGCAAGATCCTATATACACTCACCATGACAATCTGATCTTTAGGTTTTAGCCTTCCGTCGGATCTTGCCGGATCTCCGATAATCTCCCGAACGAAACACCCCCCGACAGTATCTGCTCCACCAGCCAGGGAGAAGCCAAGACCACTTGAACCTTTATGAAGGACAACATCTAAAACCTGTAAAATAAATTTCAAATCAGCCACACAGCGATTCATCGCAGGTTATTGTTCTGGCTGAGGGAATAAGGATCAAAGTCTATACGTGGTGTCCCAAAAAAGTACTCGGTGTGACTGAAAATAGCTTCTGAATGATTTATCTAAGTAAACATCGAAAGTCCTTGGATAGCACTATCCACCAGATGCCAATAATTTCTTTCAACGGTTGAAAAAAAATACTTAAAAGACGATACAATAACAGAAATCAGAAGAACAATGAATAAAAATAAGTTTAAATTTGAGAATCGGTGGTTCCATTTCAGTTAAACTGAACTACGTGTAATAAAGGCAAGAACATAAAGTTAACGAACCTCTTCGTCTGGTGCTAGTCTTTCTTTTTTCTCTTTCCGAAATGGACGACCAGAACTATTTCGCCTTTCTTTCTGGTTATCTTCATCATCAACGAAGTTTTGGGTGGTCATCGCTTCATCATCCTTGTGACCCGAAACGTTTTTATCCATCTGACTGTTAGACATGTACTTGTTGGATTCCACACGTTCAAATGCTTTACCGTCGACGATTTGATCATCGGACATGCTATCGGAAGAAATGCCCTCCTGGAACTTAATTCCCGATAGAACATTCTGATCAGAAGCAACGAATGAAATGCTTTCCGACATCTCAATGGTTTCTGTCCGTGGTTCAAAAACCCGGGGATGATTTCGTTCCGAAGTCGTGTTTCCATCCTGATTTGATAACCTTCTGAGAGGACTGTCTTCTACCATATCACTACTCTCTCTTTCTGTCCAGTTTCTATCCAGCGACGTACCTTCATGACCATACCTATCCACATTTGTCCTATATTTATCTTGTGATATTGCTTCTTGATCAACATGACCCCAATTTATCCTATCACTGTCCTCGTGTAACTCGTTTTTTTCCCGCAAAACCACCTCACCCTCCTGTTTTGGGTAGGAACTACTTTGAGAAGAACTTTCAAGGGGTTCGTGATGTTCATGGGGATTGTTATGCGCGCGAGAAGATAATGAGTCGTTTCCAGATGCATCTTGGTCAAATTTTGAGTGAATAGCTGATAGGACCTCATTCGGGTCCAGATTCTTGCTAAAACTACCACGCCTCAGCAATGCAGGTGGAATGGACGATGGATCCCGTTTGACTGTTAAAACAACACGCGTGGGCTGGTCCCGCAACACATTGATTGCGTCACGACTTGTTTTTCCCGCCAAAGAGACGCCATTAGCAGCCATAATAATATCGCCTACACGAAGTTTCTCACTGTTTTCCGCTGGTTGACCAGGAAACATCGCCTTTATTCGCAATTTATCTAAAGCAAGGAACGGCGATTACGTTAGTCAGTTCAATCACTTACTTTTACTATTCACTGAACGGCTAGTATTCAAACGCGGTCCGTCTGAGATCAAAAAAAGATTCAATCCAGTTTAACATTATAGATCACAAGCCTACCTCCATATTCTTCTCCGCAGTCAGTTCCTCCAACAAGACTCATTCCCAGCCCACCGATTCCTTTGATCAACACAACTTCGAACACAGTTCCTTGAACGTCGTTTCTAAGTGGCCCTTTGTCTGTATGGTCAGCAGTATCTCCAGGAGAGCCTTCGATCACTAGGACAGCGTGAACAGGCGCACGTTTGATTGTTTCAACAGCCTAGAAAAGTAATTAAGTGTTTTGCTTTATATTGGCTGGTATATTTACAAAAGTTTCTACATTTCCTTTAAAAAGATCAAATCTATCACAAAAGATGTATTCCCCTTTCAATCCCTTCCCATCGAAACTGATGTAACTTAAAATATACGATTTGGTGCAGAAATTTCAAGAAAAGGGGCTAAAAAGAAGATGGGGCTCAAAACCAAAAAAACAATTTGGCCTTTTTTGACCAAAAGGTTATGCCTTTTTTGACCAAAAGGTTGTATCATTTGAAAAAAATTAATCTGAAATTAAGTCTGTTAATCTGAAGTCCTGAATACCCAAAATGCATAGTAATTCACAATGTAATTTCAGTTTGATGTATAGCTGAAGTATTTTATCTCAGAACCCAGGCCCTGTTCGACAATTTGGACTCAAAATGCTGGAGAAATTATTTTTAATAACAGATCACTAAGAGACGCTTTCATTGGAGAAACATTTCCCACTGATAAAGCCAAACAGTTTTGAATAGTGTTCGTACGTTGCAACATAACTAGGGAGCAGCGTGGCAGCGTCTTCAAACAACTTCGCATCAAATGTGGTAAAACGGTAGACAAAAAATCCTCGACGTTTCGACCAAGGGCTTTGTCAGATGAGGTAGTATCATACCAACCTCTTCGACGATGGCTCTTAGGTCGAAACATCGAGGGTTTATTGTTTATTTTAGGCATTTGTTAAAGCACGTTTATTGTACAGTGTGCTCAGTTTGGGTTCTATAGTTTAGTGTAGCCTTGAGAAACGGTGTTGATGGTGGTGATTGAGGTTTCGCCCCCAAGTCAAAGGATCGAAACGTCCGGCAACTTACCAACAGTTCTTCTCAGGATTACACTAACTTAGACCATAAACATCTAATAGACGTAATGAACGATGCCATGGGTTCAAACGATATACTCTAAAGGATTTCACTTGCAGATTTTCAGGATATTTCGGAAAAACATTATTAAAACTAATAGATATCCATATGGCAAAGACTGGTTAGATCCAAGCGTTATTACAACAAAGCCAAACTTAGTGGAAAACACCGCGTCATTTAGTTGAAAAGACCACCGTACGTCCTACAACACGGGAGATGAGTCAGACCACACCCTACCTGTTTGTGTGTGACCCCTTGCAAACTGATGCCATTGACACTGAGAATTTTGTGCCCAACTTGTATGCGCCCGTCCAAGTCTGCCGGGCCATTAGGATAGAGCGATTTGACAAATATGCTCCCGTCTGTGGTGCTGGTGTTAATTCCACCCTAAAAAAATCACAACGTTTTCTGTTTACAACGCGTCTAATGAAGAACGCTCGTATTTAAGGTTCAGTACCACACTCTAAGCACGGTTTACATAAGAGCCTGGCACCAGTTGTACGAAAGTCTACATATGTCAACACAAAATCTACAAAACTACATTTTGCGTAGTAGGAACAAACCACAAACCACAAACCGCTGCCTTCAGCGACTTCACGTTTTAAAATTTGCACCATACAAACAGAACTATATCATACATGAAATGTTTTGGTTTTCGTACGCAGGGTCTTACTTTTCGACTTGAGCCCATGGCATGCATTAATCGAAACTATAATCAGTCCATTTGGTCCATTTATCGCAATTATCAGTACACGTATATACTGACCTCTTGACCTCGAGTACTATATTACATAACCTAGTAAAAATCATGTGACAAGCCGCCATTGATGCGGGAAACCCAGCAATTCTCTGATATATCACCTCACCTAATAATGCACATTTGCCTGTACTTGTCTGGGTGCTGCCTGTACTTGTCTACACCCAGTGCTAAAGCCTCCGCAAGCACTATATATATACGAATGTAGTTAGTTGGTACCCTTATTTAACCATGTTCTTTTTAATCTCAAACATAATATGCTCGACGTTAGGAATATTGGTGAATAGAGCTCGCAATACCGCGGCAGACAAACTCGAAGATGGTGATACCGCGAAGGAAAAAATACGAGACGTTATCATCGAAGACTTGAACAACATCCAGGCGAAAATCGACGGTCTCTCGAGGAAAGATCTTCTCGCAAGTTATTGTTTCTTAAAAGAAGGTGTAGTTACACTCAACCTGGCGCTTGACGAACCCGAAGGTGACCAGTCAAATAAAGACAACGTTCAAAATGGCCGAAGTAAAACAACTGAAGCAATATCAACGAGGAACAGAAGCAACCCTGGAGTTCTCAACGAAGCCATTGCACTATCGAGCACTATTCAAAAGCTGAACGACACATCAAACGGTCGAACTGTGTCTGCAAAAGAATGCTTTAAAGCCGCACGCGAGGAAGCTACTCGGGCGTTCTGTAACGAAGCGTTGAGCGTGCCAGATAGAGTCATGGCTGCAAAACTTCGCGTTGCGTCGAAGATTTTAGAATGTCTTCAAGACACAAAGGCTGCAAGGGTTGGTTGCATGTTGTTCTTGGAAAATCTTAACAGTCTTCCTACAATCGGCGAGACAATTTCAACATATTTTAAAGGTGGGATCAAATCCTGGGTGTACAAAGATTCGCGATTGGAGATCGTAAGGTCTGTAATCTCGTTGAATTTTTCTGTATCAGATTTCATTGCCAGGTACTCTGGCGAGTCACCCGACCTCAAAAACTGGCCCAGGTTTTGTTTGACTGAAACAGAAACGATCCATCCGCTTCTTCTTGGTCCAGATGTCATCAGGGAAATCTTCCAGCCGGAGCAAATGCAACAACCGGAGAATCAACACATTTCCGGGATAATAAGTCGTGGTTGCATGAATAGCAAAGGTCAGCTTCTATTTGTCTTGAAAAAAGTATAAAAATTTTAAACAGATCGGGGGACATACAGTCGTTCTGTGAACTCAAACGAGCTACAGCAAATCTCAAAGGCAATGACCAGCTCGTAAAGGCATTGACCGTCGATCGTCACGACAATGTTTTTGTTGTAACATGTTTTAAGGATTCTACTGACACCAGATGTGCATGTGTTTTGCTAGCCTTCGATTGCAGAGGCAATGAGTTATATGAACGTCTCTTAGACTTCATTGACATCGTTGTGCCCGAAAACAACAATGTGCGATGGCAGCGATGTCTTTATGGACTGAACTGTGTGGCAAACAACGATGGCCATATTCTATTTCACGTCCCCCAAAAAGATTATCTCTGTGTCTGCAATAGCAACGGTAACATAAAAACTCGCGTACCACTTCGACGTCAAGGTGATGTAGGGGCGTCGTACTCGGACATTTATAGTTTGCAATGTGTCACTGATCAGAACGATATAGTGATGTGTTCAGGGACACGCGTAGTCATTATCACGAAAGAGGGGCACGTAAAACGATCGATAACGGTCGTACACGAAGTACCGAGACGTGATGGTCTTCCAAAGCGGACACGCGATGTGCGGCAGGCTCTTTACAACCATACTACATCAGAAATAGAAGTTTTAGTGTACAATCATGATATCAGTTCTGAAAAACATCCACCGTGGCAAATTCTTAGCTACTCAAAGAACAGCGAAGTTAAATGTTTGCTTCTGCCAGCAAAGAGATCAGAATCCATTCGAATGTTCTTATCCCGACATTTTGCAGGCGCGGCCGTGTTGCTTCATGGGCTTTTAGATGGCAAAAAAGCGGCAGTGTTCATGGAATAGACCTGCATTATAATTTAAGCTGCAATTCAAAAGATAAACCGCAGATTGAATGATCAACTAATTACTGCGGAAGAATGCTTTAAAGCCGCCCACGAAAAGTAACCTTGAATTTGAAAAGGTCGGTGAAGGTACCTTCAATTTGCAAATGAGGATTATGGAAGCTACGCGTCGCGTCAAATATTTTTGGAACGTCATCTAGACCCAATGATTGTTGCCACCAGTTGCATGTTGTTCTTGGTAGAGCCTCACAGCCTGCCGGAGATCCGAGAGATGTTTCCAACACATTTTAAAGGACACAAAAGATACGCGGTTGCGAAATTTGAAATCCGTACTCTGTTTCGTAATTTATCGCGAGGTTTTCTGGTAAATCAGGTACGGGATACACCTGAACGGTTAGGCTGAATCTATCAACCCCCTTTATCTGAATATACTTTTCGATAAGGAAGAATTTTAACCGCCATAAAAACCAAGTCGTGTAGGCCGATGTTCGTCTGGTGTTACACCCATTAAAACGAACGATAAGGGTCAAAGGTGACCTCAACGTGCAAGGAATTGTTTGTTTGTGCAAGGAACTATAGAATGTCGATATTCATGAACAGCGTTCGAATTTAATGAACAAGAAACCCTACCGTGACGTTTAATCCAAGACTACCAGATACTTTATCCAATTCAACTGTAAATTGATTCTAAAGAAAAAAAAGACAATCAAATGAGAATGTCATCCATGCATGCAATGCTTTACCTCCCAGTTTTTCGAGTAAGTTACTAGAATGAAGATTATCTCAAATTCTGTATGAACTGTTGAAAAAGTTCAATAAACGCGTTGTGATGGGTGTGACGTTAGGTTACTAACAGAGTTAGTCTTGAACTATACAATCAAGTGCAAAAATAGTTAGACTATGAATTTTCTCTTTTCCTTTCCGCTTTTGTCTCTTCATCCAAGTGTATAGTAACATGCTTCTTCCAAAAACCCTCCTCAAATTAACATGTTCACAACATTGAATTAACGGGGATTAAAACAATGTCTCGAAGATTTTTGCACGAGATTGCAGCAGCTCAGTTTGTGAAGAACCTAGTTGTGCTAGGAGATTGGCTGGTAAAGCACAGGTGGGGGTTATTTTTCCTATAACTCAACGTGGCATTCACCCATATCATACACACACAATCATGCATTATGTAAACAATTTGAGGTCGTGCAGACAAAAACCACGAAAGCTTATTGTAAAACCTACCGGCCTACCCATACGATCTTTGGTAGACTTTAGTAGTTTAAACGCATAATATCTGGCAGAATTTCGCACAATAATACCACAGAAAAAAATGAACCTCTGCGGTTTTGAGATAGCTCAGACAAAAACCAGGGCTGATTATTGTGGAATCATTACAAATTTTTGGTCAAGCAGCCAGATGCAAATGAATCAGATGTTTTACCCAACACTATAGCAACGTCACCTGACTGATGTTGTAGAATATCACCTAAACTACGGGTAGAACAGCGACTTCAATTCAACTCACCGCGCTATCCATAATTATCCCAACTGGAAGTTCTTTTACATCGCTTTTGTATGACCACTTCATCACCTCTGATTCGCTTCCAATTCTAGGGCGACTGGGCGGGACGGCATTCCTAGAAACGCCATATTTTATTGAGGCACTTTCGAAATGTTGATTCCATGAGTTTGAACGACTCCGGCTCGGTCCTTCATCATCATTCGTGCCCTTCGACTCGCGGTTTTGCATGTCGGAGTTTGGTAACGAGTTCTGGCGATTCACCTTTTCGCCGTATGACGCAATTGATCCGGGACTTTCTTCGCTGACGTGAGATGCCCCCGAAGCTCTGTGATGAGCATTCCTGGAGAATGAAATTTCGCATAAGCAATTTACCATTTGTATTTTTATGTGATATAAATTCCAGGGTGCTAATGCGCACCCAAATTATGCGCGAACTCAAAAGGTTTTACGGAGACAACGTTTGAACAACTTTTACTTCCACGAAAGTAAATACAATCCAGTACAATCCACTGCAATCCAGCTTTACCCATTGTTTAAGCTCTTTTGAGCTTTTTTGATGATCCTGTTTTAAGACCTGCTCTACATTCTTCTTGACACGAACTCTTCTAACAAGGGAAGTTATTTCATACATGTGCGGGCCATTGCTTTTGTCATAAATCAAATAATACATCGTATGTAATATTCCAATACTTGCAATAGGCGCCGGCTTCATTTTCTTCCCTGTTCCAGACTCAATCGAGAATTCAAAACTAGGAACTTAATTTTCATGCTTACCTATTCAGTTTTACATCTTCTATTCGTCCATTAGCCATCCCGGGCAGTTTCACGCCGCCATAGTGATTTTCTCGGGTGCCCTGTTCTGGCGAGCTAGGATTCGACGAGGGAGCATCCGTGCTGTTCCCCGAAATCAGGCGCGTACTTTGCGGGCTGTTTTCTTGCAGGTTACCATCATCTTCGTAAGCAGACTCGAGGTTCCTCCCGACGTGTGCAAGAGTAACGCCATCGTTACTATGGTTACCATGCATGTTTCCGTTGGCTGTCTGCTCCTCTGCAAGGTATGGGGACATTCGATGATCGTGCGCTGGCGCAGGACGTTGTGTTTTGTCAACCGCTGGACTGTATATGACAGACATATCTAAGTTAAAAAATCCCAATTAATGAATGATAAATTCAGCTATATCTTAAATTCTTATCTAAGCAACAAACGAACACCACAGCTACGAAGAAAGCCAGCTACTTATATTTGTCGACTAAAAAATAATAGTTGAGGGGGATTGGGGGAATTAAGGCCGTGTAATACAAGGTGCAATTTTTCTTGCAACTTGCAATGGAATTCTACTTTTGGGTGATATATATTAGTGAACAGTTAGTTCTATATGACACCGCAGAAATTGGTAGACTTAGCCGTAATTCTCAATACTTAGACTTTAAATTCGGCAAGCTAAAAGATTTATAAATACTCAACAAAATATCTCTTGCACAAAAGATTTGAAGCTTGCACACGGCAAAAACAAATCATCTGAAAATGTCTGAAAATGTCTCAAAATGGCCATTTTACGGTGGCAGATGCATACAAAGAGCCTTCAAAAGTTTCCAAAACCGATATTGGAAGAAAAATTGAACTTGTTTTCAACTTATTTGATAGTATTTTCTTTGACAGCAGTTTCTGAATACTAGGATTCAAATGTGAGCAACTGATGAGATATTTGACTTCCAACACCAATTTCTGCGGTGTTGTTCTATATACATACATAGAGCTCGTTGTCCGTGAAATCCAATAATTTTGTTGTTGCCAAATTCACATCACTCCAAACTACACTTGCAGTGCAAATGGCAAAAAACTGCTCAGCCCAGACTATAACTGGCGCGTTTGACATACGCGCGCGAGTGTCACATGTCAAAGTCTGGGCTGCCTATGCGCTGTCTTTAATGCAGCATTTAAGGGGAAACCGATCACTGAATCACTGATCCAATAATACACTGGATATAAATATAGCAATTATACAAAAGCAAAACAATAAACTTCGAGAGACTCAATTGACAAAATCTGAATTAAAAAATCAGTTGACCGTGACACCCACACTTTTTAAAAAGGCTGTATGTCAACGTACATCAAACCAGGTGAAGCGTTCAAATCTCGAAATAGAAATTTCTGGTGTAGGAGGGGCCACGAAACGGACACGAGAGAATTTTATTTTTAGTTAAATTCGAAGGCGTGTAATCAATCATAGCGCGACAACTCCAGGCCCTAACGTAAAATAGGCCCTTTTCTGCGGAAAAAATGAGTTTGTAATGGAAAAATTACTAGTGTCACAAACTGATCACAAACTTTAATACAAGCATGCATGCAGTAAAACGATTTACACTGTGATATATAGCTGCATTCTCTAACAACGAAGTAAAACAGACCACACAATACAGCAATTCTGGTTCTGGGAAGGTTTCTCACGCAGAGTATGTATATTTATATAACGATCACCGTGTATCCAAAATCTCTGTCTAATTGTTTTGTTATCTGCGAGTTCCTTTTGAACAAACTCTCCAAACAGTGAGCAATTGTTTGTCGAATATTCCATATATGAGAGGATTCACTGAACACGACCCGGCAACTCTTAATACGCCGCCCAAATAAACTAACCAAGGATAGTCCATTAGTGGATATTCGCCCGCGATATACAGTATAATGCGCACGGACATTAGTAGATTTCCAACCCCATAGCAGAGAACGGTACCGACACAAACAAGGAAAGTTCGACGGTTCTTGATATAGTTCACGGCTGTAAAGGAAGAGCCGGAAGGACTTCGTGTAACCGGATTTGAACGTAAGCCCTTCATGTATTTTTCGTGGTTCTTGAGTGCCAGATATACTTTGGAATAAAGAACGGCCATAACTGCCGTGGGAGCATAGAAGAGGAATATAAAAAATGCAAAATGACATCTCTTGTAAATCATGTAAGCAAGAGAGTTGGGTTGGATGAAACACAATGGTACGCCTGATCCGTAGCCTGCGATTAGGCCAAGAACGTAGCCCAAACCACAAACCATATTCAACCTTCGTTCGCTGATGTCCGGGTTTAAGGGATAAACTGTAGCGCGATAACGAAGAGCTGAAATGACGAACATCATGTAGACTCCCGTGACATGAAAGAAATATCTCACCACTACGAAAAGGCAGTAAATATCGCCTCCTTCGGACCTCTCATTACCAAGGAAGATCTCGTATTGCATGTAGGTGAAAGTGAGCACAAGCAACCATCCGAGATCACAGATAGCAAGATGTAACACAATAAAATAGTAGTTATTCTTTAACAATCTTCTTTGTCTCAATACGGAGATGATAACCAGAATGTTACCGAAAATTCCAAACACAACAACTAAAGTATAGGAATATGTATAGGCGTCTGGCCTCCCCATTTTTAACATAGACTTTCGTATCTACTATCAGTATGCTATTCAATGTCGAACTTTTGCACAGTTCCTTTAAAAAGCAGAAGTTGTGAGATAAATTTACTTTAAGTGTAATGAAAACGGCGCTATAACAGATGTATCCTACCAATCAGAGATGAACACGTATAACGACCATATACAAACATGACGAATATTAAAATTGCTTTTTAGTTCGGGTAATAAATGCATATAAAAGTAAATATAAATTTATTACCGCAAATAAGCAAGATTTACAGAAGTTCGATGTTTTCCCTACAATTCTTTATACCAACATTAGTGGTTCTCCATGAAAAATTTACGAAACACTCAAGTCTCAAAACGTAGAACTGACGATACGAATGTTTGACTACGGTTTGTCACAGTTAATGATTTGTCTGACAATAATGTTCATCATGAAAAATACCAAAGAAATTAAAGTTTATGAATGTTCGCAATAAAAGACAGACATGCAGCTTTTGAGTTCTCTTATAGATATTAATAAATTTTCAAAAAAGCAGGTGCATTCCACGTCGTTTAAAAATTTTGGTTTATATCTTAAACCATAACCATGGATTAAACGATATCATTAAATTGAATGTATGTTGGCGGAATAAAACTTGACAATATCTTCATCTTGTTTCAGCACGCATTGTAATATTGACAGGAAATAAATTTAATAGGAACAACAGTTTATTAATGCTGTCCATAAATGACAGTCTGCAGTTTTTAATTATTAAAATTTATTGAACGTTGACCATAACAAACTCTCTCACCCCCACGTGCCCACTTCCTGGAGAGATTTTTTATCACGATAACAATTTGTCGGTCAAAAAAGTAGGTCTGCTGATTTCAATACCTTAATTATAATAGATCGCATGAACCCTAGGAAGGGTTTTTCTGAATAATTTTTACGGTCAGGGCTTTAGTTTATTATTTCTTAAGGTTCTTTATTTTCTTAAAGCTCTACGTTGATGGCGACACCCGGACGGTGATAATTTTTCGGGGGTTTTTTCCGGAAGTACGTACATTAAGTCTGGTTTTGCTTCAAAGGTAAGCTACTTCATCCAGTGTACTATCAGTTCAGTAAAACCGACATACTATTCAATCCAAATTTTGCCCTTGTTGCCCCTCTTAGTTCTTTCAGTATACTACTCCGTCATTACTCACCTATATCCTTGTCCGTTCGTGTACTCTGCGAGACCAACAGCTCGACGTTTACAGGCGTGTTCTTCAATGATTGTACAGCCTCGTCGTGGCTCACATACTCTAAACTCTTCCCGTTAACCGCCAAAAGACGGTCACCTAGATTAAAAGAAATCATGCAAAGCGAGGAGTAATGATTGGCAAAAAATACTTAGGTTTTCGGTATGGCGATGGGTGGAGCTGGCGAGTTAGACCTTGTCAAGATTCGGAGTCCTCTTGCACATTACATTAATTCAACTATAGCCTAAGGCAATGTAGACTATTTTATGTCCTTTAATGTAGATTGTTCTTTTTATGATTATTAAAAAAAGATTATGTCATTGCTGAATTAAGATACACAAACACGAAATGAAATCTGATTGGTTAGAACTGAATGACAATGAAACTCCTTTTTCAGTGCGGAGAGAATTGATGTGGAAATTGAGGTCACACATTGCTATTCGGTGAACGATTTAAATTCGGCAGGAATTTTTTTCTATTAACATGCACATATCTTTAAATATTTTATATTAGGGCGAAATGAATGTAGATTGCAAGAATTTTATCGCTTCCAGGAAATGTTGACAACTTTGAACTCGTTCGCAGGATGTACAGAGATAAGCCTACACCGGAATCCCGTACCCATAAAATTACGTTGACAGTATACTCTACATACCAACTTTCAATCTTCCATCCTCATATGCAATGCTACCGGGCGAGATTTTCTTGACAAAAATTCCAAAGTGAAGTCTTCTTGTGTCCTCTCCACCAACAACAGTCAAACCTGAAACACAGAGGTATAACCATAGAGGTAACAGCTTGCTTCATCCCATGCTGAGGGTCATTGGTAATTAGTTCATTCAAAAACATTCACTCTCAAATGTTTTGGACCTTTCCAAGGACAATATATAGACCTGCAGTTCTCGAAATTTGATTCACTGCACACAAAACAACGAGATTTAGCCTACGGATTAAACACTTCCATAAATCTACCTCCAAGTTCAAAATCTGGTCACTGAGTTCAATAGGATGCCTTATCATATTATGCATTAGTCGGTACCATGCTCGTATTAACAACAGTGCGTACGTAATAACCCTATCACAAACCTAGTGCGCCTCTTGCATCTTTCTTCAATTTAATCACCTTCACCTTTCGATCTGGCGACATAATTATTTCAGCTGCCCTCTTTTCGATGGCTAAATTTGGATGAAAATTAACCGTACAACATGTACAACGTATATGTATACACTTTATCACACATCGTTAATGGGAGGACTTATTCATACAGAGAACCAGTCTATCTTTTAACAGTCATATTAGCCACGCATACGGATTGAAAGTAGGTATAATACTATCAACGGATGTGAAATGCAACTGTTGAACATTGGAAGGATGACAACCCTAAAGGGCTACATTCACTCCTACGCATGGCTTCTTATAATAACTGGTGGCCGGCTGATTTAAAAATCGCTCGAGTTTCATATTTTCAGGTTGTTTGGGACACGAACTATTTTATATGCATACCCATCAAGAAGCATAGCTAACCACATTGTTTAGATTAGCAGACAGGTGATATAGTTTTGAGAAATATAGCAATTGAAAATGTAAACGTGTTTGTTAAATTACGAACTGTACGTCAAAAACGCTGCATGCATAAGGTGGCATATTAAGCTTCAAAATGTAAGTTTCCGATGATCAAAAGGCTTCAAGTTTTGATATTTTTTTAATTGGCTTTTTAAGTATGAGCGAAGAGGGGCAGTGTTAACAGAGTTGTCACACTCCTTAGATTACTACAATTATAGTTACCTCTGGGAGAAGGAGATGCATCTGAATAACTCGAGGGGGAAGGCGGCGTGGAATCTAGAAATGAGAAAATGCAAGAGGAGACTAAAAAAATGTCCAAAACTTCGGGTTATTTAGGCGATACAGAGCCAAGTGGCCGGTTTATAAAAAATATGCTCAAAAATATAAAACAGCCTACTTAACACATAAGGAAGATCATCGGGACCGTCGACCTGGCTACCAGCTGCCGCGTTCTGGCGAATCGCATACTCCGATGGAGCTCTACTAGGCTCACGTGATTCCAAACTGCTATCGTCTTCATCTTCATTATTATTCAGGAATTCCTCACCATTTTCACGATTACCGTTTAGATGTGGCCCTGGGCCAGCGGCTCCATACCCAACCGCCAAAGAGTTTCGCTTTCTCTCTTCGGGAGCTATTGAAAAAAAATCGGGAAATCGTTGCATGTATTCCCACGCGGAAGAACCTCGCTTTATAAATTTTACTTCTACATGACAGGCGTATATATGTATTCACAGGATGTCCACCCTTGATAGACATGACTTCCTATTGTCGAAAAATGGAACTTAGAACTGACTGGGAAAAGTCCAACTACGCAGTCATGTTGATCTGGCGAAAACAAAGATGTGCAACTATGAACTTCGCACTGATAAAGATCATATTTCATGAACTATGCTTTAAAAATTGTAAAATTTACGAGGTACCCACAAAGTAATATTCATAATGTTGTTATATTTACGCTAAACTGTAGGCCAGTAATATTTTGTACCGCTGCAAGTAGAGGAAATAATTCTAAGGATTTTTCCAGCATTTTCAAGGCCGGTTATTCCTCTCACCTGCTTCCTCCATGGCCAACAGTCGGACTTTCATTCTCATTTGAAAACGATGAAATGACGTACACAAATACAGCAAATACTTTGATCTTAAAGACAGAATACAAACACAATTAGACTAAGATGAATCAAACTAAGATAGTCCTGCCGCTTCTAAGCTGGTTGCGCTGGGTTCTAGCAAGGATTGTCCCTTATATAAGGATGCATCGTCGATGTCATCCGATCAATGGTTGCTATATGTACCCGCAGCGTATCGACAAAAAAACGGCTGAACGACAGATGCATTTGTAGAACAAGTATTGAGAAACGATTAATGGGAAACAACAACTCAAAATAATTGCCTTATGAAGTGTAAATATTGTTGTCTTTATAGTTTAGAATTTTCGATTTTTTCACGACATGTACAAAAAAGTAATAATATAGATAATCCTTCCTGCATTGAATGTTTATAGGTGAATAGCTCAGATCTAAAAGAGATACTTCATAAAATGAACAAAAATACTGTATATTGCTTTATATACCTTTTATAAGACGAACTAAGAAATGTTAGTCTATTTTGTTTCCTTTTAGGCCCTTCTGTACGAGGCTCGATGTGGAATTTCTTTTTCTAAACGTAGACACATACGATAAATTTTAAACCAAGACATGTATATGTGGAAAGAGTGTAGTTGGTAAAGTGTCATCGTTCTGCTTTTAACCGCAAAATTGTTGCGACATCTATAGTACTCCTGTGACCTATATGACAGAATACTGACAAGTGTAGATTGGCATTACCTTGAATGCAAGTTTTTTTATTGTCATCCAGGAATGTCTCTCGATTGGTTTTCTCTTGTTTTGTTTAAACTAGTAAAAAGATAAATTCGCAGTTTGCAGTGACTACAATTTATATAAGTTGCGAGAGATGGAAGTGCTTTCCATATACTTTCATCTCATCAAAAACAAAATGCAACACTACGAGAATTCTCGTAGGAGGGAAAAGGGGTCCGAACTGTAGTGGACTACAATGAATAAAGTTGGTGTGATTAAAGGACCCCAAAGAGACAAGACCAGATTGAGCAACACATGCATGAAAACACCAAAGTTAATTTTCGAATTTTTCCACCGAGGAAACAGAATCGCTGTATAAGCTACATTGTATACCCAAAGAAGCCATATATCATGCAGTTAAAAAACCTATCATTTAACGTTATCATTCAAAAGAGTTGTCCACACACAGTATAAACACAGTTATAATTTGGACTTACTTCAAATATTGTAACTCCACGAACACAAACACCCAAATATATGATTTCATTTTCTTTCTTACCCTAAAAAAAATTAAACGAAACGTTCTGACGAATGCATCCAATATACTCCGTCTCCGTATGTTTAAGTATACATGCAGTATATAAGAAAACAATATTACACGAAATTTGATTGCCTCGTTAACTTTGAGTAGCCACGTTTGAGGTCACAATGAGAAAGGTCTATCTAGGTAAAAGATGCAAGACTACCTAATCTGAAACATTTTAGTATATAACCCACTCACCAACTGTGTTTTATACAAATGCATGCCATATTCTGGTAACTTTTGTGACTCTTTGATAAATTTCACCTCGGCCTCATCTTGGCTCAAACCGCATTGGACTTTGTGTAAAGCTCGGAGTTTCTGCGAAACATGTTCCTCGCTCAGTTTGACCAAAATCTGAAAGTTGAGATGGATTAGACGGATGTAAACCTTATATAGCTTTAAAAAAACATGACCTTTAGCTAAGGTACATTTGCACGCAAACGACCAGTCCGCCTAACTTTGGATTTCCTCTGGTTTAAAGAACACACAAAGCTGAGGTAGTAAAAAAACTGGTACAAAGTTTCATGACATAATTCTCCCTGGTATAATTTGGCTGTTAGTAAACCACCAGGTGGAATAACCTTATACAAATTCTGTTGAACAATCCAGTAATGGCAACCTTATATCTCGGTCTGCTGCTATTTATCATCAGTACACATTAAACAACTTACCCGATGTGGTAAATAATGCTTAGGTTTGAAATAATTTTCACCAAAACGTTTCCTATTGTAGTCGCCGTACTCAGCCTGCAGGGCGAGCGAGGCCAGGTTTAGGACTGGGTCGGCATCGATGTACACGTGATCTTTGATTACGTCACTACGTAACTGGAGGTAGAGTTGATGGCTGGTTTCGTGATGCCTACATGCATGTAAAAAACGTGAACATGGAATTGTGAGAAGCGAGCTATATATTTGTACAATTTGTTTCAATTTTACACCTATACAATTCTTAACTGTCCTTACCTGAATAGAGCCAAATTCTCAACATAGAATTTAACTCTAAAATACAGCACATATTCTCCCGTAAATTTCTTTGACTGCAAAGGCATAAAAGAAAAATTAGACATATAGATTAAGTAAAACGCGTCATATTGCTTATGTTGCCTTCATTGTACTTATTCTTCTCAATAATTGCAGCCGTGTTTTATTATAAGAAAATATATCGCATTACGAAACGAAATGTATAAATTTCTTCCATAAGTTAACCAGATTCATAAACCATGCCTTTCAATTATTCGGCGACTATAAACGCATGGATAATTCATCGCAAATTTAATATGGAGAACAACAAAAACGCACCTGCTCTTTCCATCCAGTTGGAGCGTATTTAGAAAGTTTGGTATCAAAATCCAAAAACAAATGTTCATCATCTAAAATAAGAACATCTATTAAACAAATGGGACTTACTGCATGGACACGTTTTATATATTTTTCATTCAGAGAGAATGGTTTCTAAACTATTTTAGACCTAACCGAGATTTCACTTGACAATTTTTTTGTTCAGCACTATATAAAACTTGACTCTATATGACAAGTGTACTTGTCATGGAAAAAATGTCAAAAAGTTGCGCGCACAGACGAACAAATAAAACTGGTCACACATAAACTTGTCATAAAAAACTTGCTCTTCCGTAACCGGCTTCACGTACACACACTGAAAAACCTACACATACCTTCAATTCTCGTTAACCCAAAATAGATTTTCTCCGTCACACCAATATACTTTGTGATTTGTGCGAACAACTCTTGCACTTTGGTCGAAATCTGTTCGAGAAACAAATATTACTCACAATCAAGGGTCACCATAAAAAATATCGAGAGGCCAAGCACAACAGCATTGCCGACCAATGCCAAACAGGAAAAATTTCAGTAACCAACCTCAACGGCCATTTGCAGTCTCTGTTCATTTAGCATAACAACGGTGACCATTCGACGACCCGAAAGTTTCTTTTCTGCTTTTTTCTGTTCAACAAAAATTAAGGCGGTTGATTAAAAATGATCATATACGGAAGTCTCCTCCAAACCTGGCCGGTATAGACGTGCTTAAAAAATTTGTCGAGATAAAATCGAAAAAATATGCGGTCAGAGGAGATCATGCAGATGGTGCAATAGTAATCATGATGTTGCCGAAAGAATGACGGGCATTATCGAGCCCTATACGTCCCAAGACGTCACGTGCCGTCCGCCACAGTCGGACATGCCGGACCGATCGGTCGGGTCGCCAGCTTAGGGAAGACAAATAAACGTAGCCTGTGGGAATAACATTAAATTTAGTCAAACAACAAAGACAACAAACATTTTAACTGGAAAACAAACTTTGCTTCACATGTAATCGTTTTCGCCAGTAATATTGACCTTTACCGATCGCATAAGAACTCGTTTTAGTAAGGATTTGGAGGACATTTATTAGGGATTATGATGTCAGTCTTATTGTACAATATTCAAGATAGATATACTCTTTGGATAATTTGTCAAGTCAAGATTTCTTGGCCCCGGGAAACACGATTTATGCAAAGGCGACTCGAACACCAAAATCAAAAGAGGTCACTGAATTAGCCGCGTCCATCAAAAGGATGCTGCATCAAACTTTGGCAGGAATATTTTCGAGGAAAGTATTACGTTACGTACAGTACTTACCGGGGTTATATTAACAAACGATTGGTTTGGATCTTCTAAAACTTGCACAAATTCTGGGCCAAAGAATTTCTAAAAAATAATTAAGGATGACTGAAATAGTGAAAAGAAATGACAAGCACGTTTAAGGTAGACCTAAACAAAATAACTGAACGATTGCAAAGCCAAAAACGAAGACGCATCTGTATTCAACGAGTACAATCAACTTCATCTACCCACCCTTAATTTGGCCTTTGGGACTTTTTTCGCCTTTTTCCCACCGTCTGTTGTCCCGGGAGATACTAAGTTCTGTTCTGAACGGTATTTCCGCTGACCACTAGTGTTCGGCCACTGCGATTTCATATCCATGATTCCGTTTTTTTCTCCACCTCGATCGTGACTGTTCTGCTGCGACACTGATCTCAAGTCGCCAATGGATGAATGATGCCATTCTCTATACATAATATTGATAATAATAATAATACTTCAATGATGATAATGATGACGATGATGTTTAAACAATTTTTTGCCGAAGGCAAGGTGATAAAAACGATTGATGAAAATGTATCCTTACCCTGACCGTTGCGATCCACCAATATCTCTAAGTGATCCCGTACTTCCCCAATAGTCACTGCCAAGGTCGGTCAACGACGTGGCAGGGACGTAGCTCCCTTCCATTAGCGAGACCAGCGAAGAAGACGGGGCCGAACTTAAGGTGGACTTGTGGTGGTCTGAGAGGGAGGACGTTTCACTGGAGGCATCGCTGCTCTGGCCTGTATTTAGGTTTCCTGATACGTCATAAAAAGGACTGTTAGCGATAATAAAGATTTTATCCCGATACCAATTATTTCCAAATTTCCTATATTTCCTATATAGGCATCACATTCTATTATATTTACGTGCAATAAGTGTCTAGAATGTAAGCCAGTGTGGCTTTCATTTCGTCCAATTCAATTATTACCTAGGCGAGGGTTCCCGAGTCAAAGTAATGCTATAAAAATATCCTAGTATACATACCTAGTGATCCAGTCCCAACTCCCCTCGACTTCTCACTTCGCCACAGTCCATTATCAATCGAGCTCCCTTTACCGTTGTACCCCTTACCGTTCCTGTCCAAGGACTGCGTTCTTTCGTATGCCTTGCGCGATGAAATATCCATCGAGTAACAGCCGTTCATAGCGGGCATGCTGCCATAGCGATTACGTAATAGATCAATGGATCGGTCGGCAATAACTGGTGACGTCATCGTCTTCTGATGCCGGGCTTTTTCCAAGTACTTCCGGTACTTGTCTAAAGAGAAAGAGCATTGATCTTGGATGGTTTTTCGTTCCCGAAAAAATCTTCAAAAACTTTCCGATTCAACGTAGCAGATTTGTCAGCTCCGGTAAGAAAATATTTCCTTGGTCTACTTTTTACACAACTTTCGTCATGCAGGCTTTTGTTCTGAATAGTGGAGAGAAGTTTACTTCTTAAAATTTTACTTCTTCAACTGATTTACTTCTGAAGAAATGCCGTTAAGCTGTATGCAAGGCATGCAACCATGAGAGTTGAGCTACTTAAACAAAGTCCAGGGCTTAGCATTAACTCATTTCTCACCATCGAAATTCACAATGGCGTAACCCCACACTTGGAGGCCCGCGGTGAAATAATTGTGCTCTCGACCAATCAAGCAACCAGTAATTTTAACATTCTAATGAATTTGCATTAAATGACCTTAGTTCAATTCCTGCATTACGACCTGAGTATAAGGCTAAGTTTTTCCGGTTTGCTCATTATGGTTTTCAAAAATATCATAAAAGAAAGTGTTTCTATACGGGTTCATTTTTTATTGTACTGTGCATTCATTTTAACTCTTATACGTCATGTATGTTTTATCAACTGTATATAGTCAAAGTTATCAACTGTAGCTGTATAGCCTATACAGTTAAAGCCTAAATTATTATACATATAAAATATATATATATATATATATATATATATATATATATATATATATATATATATTGATTAAATGGTAAACCTAAAACGCGCCAAACTATCATAATTATCAGATGTCTTATATACATTTTTTGTCTTGGTTATACGCAGCCTAACAATTTCGTAAAACATATAGTAAAACATTAATGGCACGACACGGCTTAAATTCGTACTCGTGCCAAGTTTTGTTAGTGTTTTTTGCCCAGTTTTGTTAGTGTTTCTTTGCCCAGCTTTGTTAGTGTTTCTTTGCCCAGTTTTGTTAGCGTTTCTTTGCCCAGTTTTGTTAGTGTTTCTTTTCCCAGTTTTGTTAGTTTTCTTTGCCAAGTTTTGTTAGCGTTTCTTTGCCCAGTTTTGTTAGTGTTTCTTTGCCCAGTTTTGTTAGTGTTTCTTTGCCCAGTTTTGTTAGTGTTTCTTTGCCCAGTTTTGTTAGTGTTTCTTTTCCCAGTTTTGTTAGTGTTTCTTTTCCCAGTTTTGTTAGTGTTTCTTTTCCCAGTTTTGTTAGTGTTTCTTTGCCCAGTTTTGTTAGTGTTTCTTTGCCCAGTTTAGTTAGTGTTTCTTTTCCCAGTTTTGTTAGTGTTTCTTTGCACAGTTTTGTTAGTGTTTCTTTGCCCAGTTTTGTTAGTGTTTCTTTGCCCAGTTTAGTTAGTGTTTCATGCATTGCCCAGTTTAGTTAGTGTTTCATGCATTGCCCAGTTTTGTTAGACTGTTAGTGTTTCATTGCCCAGTTTTGTTAGTGTTTCATTGCCGAGTTTTGTTAGTGTTTAAGGCCGAGCGCTGATGAAATTGGTATGGGTACCCATTTTAGTCGTGCCGCGCGCCAATAAATTGACTAGTGTAGTGTAAACAGGGCTTTAGACTACTTGCGTGATTATTCACATGAACACTATTTTAGTCTTGTTTTTACTGGCATAAACAAATGCCGCAGGACCGGTAGGATGCGAACAAAACTGTGTTCGATACAGTGATGGCTGTTCCTCCTCTAACAGTGGTAAGTGCAAATATTCAATTTCATCGTTTACTGAACAACTAAGAATGAAGAATGCCGTTCTCGTGACTTTTCGACTCAAATTTGATACTGTGACGTTTTCTACCATAAAATCTAATTTAGACGTAGCAACGTTGTGCGATGCTCCCCAAGCGAAGCGAAAATGCCCAATATTTACGGTTCTTTTTAACTTCCCTTCTTCTGTAAAAACGGGAACACTTAAAACATTATTTCCACATGCACATAAGTATATCGTTCTGGTCGGTGGTACAATGCAATGAAAGGTAATAACGAGAATGTTCTTCCAGTGGTAAGATTGATTTGAAATGCCCGTTGCTGTCACAGACGTAAAGATAGTCGCTAAAAACCGTGTGAATTAAAATGTTACCATCTTTTGTTATCACGCAGGATAGGTTTCGCACACGTGTCACAAATTCTTGTCTTAACTGAATAAAGTCTAACACACGTTCGTATTGCTCATTGCCATTGGAGTCGAAAACGAACAAAACAAGCACATGCACACATTTACCTTCGCAATTTGTATCATCAAATCTTATGATAACGTAAACATTATCGTTATGATCGACAGCTACTGCTTCTATAATTTTTTCCTTAGCCTCAGGCATTGAGGTAGCTTGTCTAAATTCACAAAACCTTTTCACCTCTCCTGATCTGTATAAAGCACATAATTGGTCATTGCGATGAAACAGAAGTTGTCCTTTGCTATTTATGGAAGAAAACCGGAAATAATCTTCAATCGGTAGAATGACTTGATTCTCTGGTGTTTGAAATTCCGTCTCTTCAAAGACGATCTTAAGAACATCAATGTCAAGGAGTAGGGGGTGCATAGTCTCTTCTTTGGTAGGAAGGCGTATTCTGGGCCAGTTTCTGACGTTGGGTAACTCACCAGAAAATTTAGCGGTAAATTCTGACATTCCGAAGTTCAAAGAAATGACAGATTTTACGGTTTCCAAACGCGAAAGGTGGTAGAACATGGCTCCTATACCACCTTTGAAATGTGTAGAAAACGCTTGCCCAACTTCCTGAAGATTATGAAGCTCTTCCAAAAACAACATGCATCCAGCTACCGCTGACCTCGCATCTTGAATGCATTCTAAGATTTTCGAAGCGACACGCAGTCTTGTTGCCATGATTCTATCCGGCAAACTTAAGGCTTCGTTCCAAAACGTCCGAGTCGCGCCTTCACGCGCGGCTTTAAATAATTCCTTCGCGGCAACAATTCGACCATTTGATTTGCTGCCCAGCTTCTCGATGGCGCTTAGGAGTGTAATGGCTTCATTTAGAACTCCATTCTCGCCCTCGTTTTCGGTTGTTGTTGTTGTTTGACTTCCGCCTTCGTCTTCACGAACCTGTTTGTTCTTCGCGTCATAAAGTACAAGATAAAGGGTAACTATACCCTCTTTCAGAAAGGAATAACTCGCTAGTAAATCTTGTCGCGAGAGTCCATCGATTTTCTCCCCAATTTGGTCAAGATCTCCAAGAATAACATTTCGAAATTTCTCATGTGTAACATCCCCGTGTCTGAGCTTTTCGGCCACAGTGTTTTGAGCCTTGTTAAGCAATATGCCCAAAGCAGAGCTAACAACAGAGTTTACACTATTCGAAACGAAGTTGAAAACGTGAAATGACATAACCGTGACAGTAAAACTGGCGACAAAGGCACAGGCGCTGGTTGAGTAGGAACTGTCTTCACGCGAATGTTTGCGTGATAACAGAAATAAAGGTAAAACACCGCTATATGAATTCGTCACAGGGAGATGAGCTTGAATGAACTGTTGAATATGATCAGTGCTTCCACATACTGCAGTGATAATTCTAATGCTTTTTTCACATTGGATTCAAAAAAGGCGAATTAACCTCCACTGACACTGAGGATATTATTGCGGCCTAATTAAAGTATCAAGCCTATTGCTTTGCTTTGAAATATCTTATATGTGCTGATGGTTACGTTCCAAAAGTTAAAATTCAGCCCCCCCCCCCTATGTTTGATGTTTCATCCCGTTATGCATTCAATTTTTTCTTTCAAGCTTTCAAGATTTAGATTCTATTCTTTAGAACTTTTAGAACTCTTAGAACAAAACTCATATCATAATATTGGGCTGTCTGTTAAATTTATATTGAAATTTCAAGTGTTTTTGGAACTTTGCTTGTTTATCCGTGGAATAAACTGAGATCTAGAGAAGAGAAAGATTCCTAGAAAGGACCTTATTTTGTCCATTAAGTTCACGGTGATCTTAAGTATACTGTAGATGGCGGATTATCACTCAGTCATAATCTTATCGCCGCTATGCAGAGATAGGTAAAACCGGTTTTACAAAGCTAACTTGTCAATTTTTGTCTCAAATGTGTCCTTACCCATAACCGTTTGCGCACTTAATTTTTTGATTTAATATCTCCTGAAGTCACACATATAGAGCATTAACAAAAAATTATGCAATCCCACTCACCTAGCGTATGAGGTATCTTTGTCATGTATTTGTTCTTAGAATGATAGCTCGGCTGCTCTTCAGGGGAGATCATCCTTCTATCGTTTGAACCAATCAGCTCCTCGGATGTCGCTTGACCATGCGAAGTGCGATTAGCCAATGGCGGCGGAGGTAGTTCCAGGCTAGAGCGATACCTTGTTCTAAGACTCCGAGATGGATGCTTAAACGAAAAATTGTCGTATTATTTATCGGATATCATGTAAAACGTTTATCCAGTTTTCTATTGCAGTCTGGGCCGTAGGCATGATTGCGCGTCAGTAAAATATACTGCATATATCCTTGGTTCTGAAAAGTTTTCCAAAAAATCTAGACAGTGTCGACTATATCGATAACTATAGAAAAAATTAAACTTTGTGTGCTTCGCATCAGAATATAATCAATTTATCAGATGTGAACCCAAAACCTCTATTAACTGAAAATCAATGTCCATTTCCACCAGAACCCTTGTCCAATGCTTCTGCGTGACTATGAAGATCGGAATTCCAGGCGAGAATAGACCCTTTGCATGTTAAACTACTTTTTGATATGTGCAAAATAATCCAATCAAATCACCACAGCTGAAAAGAGCGTACCAAAATTAGTTAAAATGCAAAGTTTGGTTGCGAAATGTCGTAAAATACGGAAAATATAGCCTTGCAAAGTTTGAAAATTTGTATACTTTAGTTTAACGCACGCAAAAAGTTACCATTTTGGGGCCGAATGTGGTAACATAACGTATTTTACGACATTTCGCAACCAAACTTTGCATTTTTACTAATTTTGGTACGCTCTTTTCAGCTGTGGTGATTTGATTGGATTATTTTGCACTTATCAAAAAGTAGTCTAACATGCAAAGGGTCTATTATCACGACAAACACCACAGTTCTCGCAGGGAATGCCGGGATAAGTGTCACGCAAAAGTGTTCGCCGACGTGAGAACGCATAAGATCTATTGCACTGAAGATGCATATCCGTGCTGTACCTGATCATCTGAGGTGTAGCCTCTCGCAAAGGGTCTCTCTTCGTCTACTTCGTCACTTTGAATATGCTGAAACAATGCATTGGGAAAAGTTACTATAGCGTTTGGAGTGTCGTGAAGGCTTGCGCTTGTGTGCAAAAAGTTCACTCATGCTCCGGCATTGAGTATGACATAAACTTTTTGTTTTTACTTATCAATAATCAATGTAAAGGCTCTTTAACAAATCTCAAAATGGCGGGTAGCCGTTTTGTGGACGTTTCTTACAAAGAGATAAGCGAACAAATGCAGTTTTTGTGTCAATTCACTTGTGCAAAAATACTAAAACAATTATTCGCCTCAGGCTCGGTGATTATCGGGAAATATTCACCTCGACTTCGTCCTGGTGAATATTCCCCGATAATCACCTCGCCTTCGGAGAATAATTGTTAAATATTATATGGCCCTGAGCGTCTATAAAGGTCGGGCAAAACAGATGGCTTAGTTCTACATTGAAATTGCTGACAAGAAATTAATAATTGCAAACCTCAGGAATGTTATTTCCCAAAACCAATACGACCAAACGTTTTATGATCTTGCTGTAAAAGCAGTCACCATACTTACTTCCACAGGCCTATAAAATAGAAAATATTATCAAGGCGTTTGACACATCCAAAAAAGTCTGCATGATCCTGCACTATATCATTACTTAAGAAAAAACTATATTCGAGTAATAGATTATGGTGTTCAATGTCAGATACCATCGCATGATTATTTTAGCTAGAGTGAATTTGAATTTGAACGAACAAAAAAATCAGATCGGAGTATAGTTTTCATCACCGCGAATACAATACGTATCAGTAAAAGATCACGAGCCGGTTGTATCAAGCCCGTTTAGCTTAAACGGTGGATAAGTTCAAAATAGAAAGCAAGTGAGCAAGTCTATCGTTTTTATTGAACAAGCGAATGTTTTTTATCTTAATACAAGGATACTGTTTACAACTACATATTCAGTGCATATACTATTCAAGTTGACTCACTCAAGAAAGATGTAAGAGTGTTATTTCATTTTGACTTATCCACCGTTTAAGCTAAACGGGCTTGATACAACCGGTGTCACAGGAAATTTGGCCCCCCCGAAGGGGCCAAATTTCCTAGGAAATATGGGCCAAATATCCTAGGAAATTTGGCCCCCTCTTCGGAAATTTGGCCCCCCTCTAAAAAACATAGTTTACCTTACCATTTTAGAGCTAGAGAACTTAAGTGTATAAAAGTTTTAAGTGTATAAAAGTCTATCTAGCTGTACTCTTGTTTGAGTTACAACTTACAAACAGCACTGACGGATTTTGTATGGTGCATGTAACCTTGTTTTTGTGTTTGCCGATTGTTTTTAAACGTTTTTATGCAAATTTGTATTAATTACTCCCTAAATGTTAGCCGCATGCACATTAACACTTTCGCCAACGCATGTTGTCATCGCTTGCTAAAGTGTGGTTGTTATTCTGACGAATTTCATATTAGGTTCAGAAACTTGTTGAATATTGAGTCAAAAGTTCGCGATTTCAAAACTATATATATTTCATATATATATATATATATATATTGAGAGTATAAAGTATGTTATTGAGGGGGACCAAATTTCCGAACTGTGAAATACGTGATTTGTCCTCCCCAGAAATTCTTAATTTGGCGACCTTATACATACATAGGAAAGGTTGTTTTAGGAAATTACCACTTATTTATTTCTCGATTAAAGCCTCTAGTAATGTTATGATAATCCTAAAGTTATGCACGTGCACATTAACAATATTCGTCTTAGCTCTTCGCCGAGATGAAAAGGTTTTACACAAATAAATGAAGCAAACTAAGTATGAATACAAACAAACATTGATCTTGCTTTTAGAAGAAGCTTCGCGATTCTCAAACTCATGGCAGTAAAGTATATGTTTTCGAGGGGGCCAAATTTCCGAAAGGGGGGCCATATTTCCTAGGAAATATGACCCCCAGGGGGGCCAAATTTCCTAGGAAATATGGCCCGGGGGGGGCCAAAATTTGGGGGGGCCAAATTTCCTGGGACACCGGCCCCAGTACGGCAGCCGAACCTCGTCGCTTTACTTATACATGCAGTAACTACGAAAAGGAAAATTCATGTTGAAGATTCAAAGGAAATCCCCCCTATCATTTGCTGGATGTTTATCTTCTAAAGCTTCATCGCTTCCGAGCACTTTTACCACTTACGGGAACATGATCGAGTAGACGGCGTCAATTCAAAGAAAAATGTTACTCAAAGGAGCAAGAAGGATCGCATGTGCTATAAAGTATCACTCTCAGTCAATCCTACGACCTTCAAGTTTCGACGCTTAAATATTGTCTCAAGTCCAAGGACTGCATTCAAAAGATTCACACAATGTTTAATGTAATATTTATTATATTTGCAAAATGGTACCTGATATACGAAACTTACCGCTAAGACTTGCCTCAAGGAGTATCGACTTTTTGCCAGTTCTTCGCACATTGACAAAAGTAAGTTTCCCAAGGATACACTCAAATGCCCCATCTGCAAACAAAATTCGTATTCGTGATGCTGCTCTATATATCCAGAACATTGCTCTGTGGACATGCAATCGCAACAGCACGTGTCCAGAAGAGCCTGGTTGCTGCCAATTTCTTTCTAGCGCGCAAAGTATGGTAATCGAACCACAAATAGATTAGTAAAAAGGGGAGTTTTGTACTATAACTGATGTACTTTTTTCCGGCAAAATACGAGTCGATATTCGAAAACGTAAAATCAGTCTATGTGATTAGTAGCACTTTCACATGGTTTCACTCAAGACTAAATAGCGAAACGCTTGCATGGTGGTCAGCTTCACACATATTGCCGAATTATGCCTTGTGGAAGTGAGCAAATCTCTCATCTACTCAACATTAGGTCAAAACATACAATGAATATTTTACTCGATTTGATAAATATTTTTCTATTTGGAGTCGACCACCAAGTGCTAAATCTGTCACGTGACTGAAACCGAATTGACCAATATAAAAATTGCATTCAATTTCCCTATAGCGATCATGCTTTTCGCGCCAATTTTATTCGCTGACCAATAACATTGCTAGATTTCGGCTTCAGCTTCGTAGTGGAATTAACACGAATTACACGATAAACCCAGAAGGCAGAACTGGAAAAAGACTTTTCATAAAGATGAGAGACGTTAAGATTTAAGATTTTCGTTTATAGAAAGATTTCGGTAGGTAATGAAATGTTTTTGTTTAAAACAACATCAAAACACAAGTTTGTGTTCGTTTGCACTTTGTACCAAACTTCGCCGCATCAAAATTGCCGGGAAAAATACATGCATAATGTCAGAAATTATGATTGTAACAACAGTTATAAAAATTGTATCCTAAATAAATTTTGGTTTTTTCTGAATGATTTACCAAAACGGGAAGTTCAAACATACTGTTTTTAGCATGAAAACAATGTTTCTTTGACGTTGCTTTTATAGACAAAAAAATACACTGACTTTTTTATGACTATTTAAGACTATTTTACGGGTTCATTGAAATCTTTCAGTTTCGAAGTTTACTTGCCAACTATCAAGAAAGGGGAATTTCCAGAAAAAAAAGGGAGGACAAAAAAATGACTCTTTTCTTTAATTGCAAAATCAAATTGCAAATTGCAATGCAATAAAATACAAGTTGTTGGTTAGAATATATAAATGTGTTCATAAGAATAATAATTGGTGGAAATGAATGAAGCATATACAAATTAGCCTAAACTTATTCAGAGGTGTACCTTAGATTTATTCAGAGCATATTCTGCAGCAAAATATAAAGTCATACCAAGAGAGTAGACATACATCTAGAAATGTGGGAGAAAATAATAAAAATTTCATACCCACACAAAAAGGCAACCATTCAGAGTCTTAAAAGCATAGAACTCACAGAAGGGGGGTACATGATATCTTACTTTCTCTACAGCACCATCACTGGGAGACACATTCCGAGAGTTGAGCTCTGGAGCTCTATATGTTGGATTTTTTGTCTTTTCTATAGGAGAATGAAAGAGTCTTGTCAATTTTAAAAAAATACAGCCTAAACCCTAAAGACTGATGGTACTGAATGCAGAATCTTAGTACCTCTACCAATATGTTTAGAGATTTTGACATGACCAAAATGGGACAAGACTAAAGTATCAGGTGAGATGACAAGGGATGGTTGGCCATGTTGCTTTCCTCTCCCTAAAAGAAGAGAAAAACATATATAACTGCTTTGATGTATATCATTGAAATTTACTGATACATATTTACTAATTTATTTGATACTAGAGTATTTTAAGACCATCTATTCCACCTGCAACCATCTGGTTGACATAAGGGTGGCCATCTTAGAAATTGGATGTGGTTGAAGCTGAGCTTAAGTACTAGAAAATGGTATTTATTTCCTTATACTCAGTTTCCCCCTTTCAACCCTTAACATGCATCCTACACAAGTGAACATATCCTTAGTTACACTCATTATTTGGTGTGAAGGGGTGAGTGAGCTGTAAGCACACAAGCACTTATAACAGTTAGGCTTTTGTATCAAGTATGCATCAAGTAGGCTTTTGTATCAAGTCCTCCACTATAGCTATGCCTTAGCAATCTACTCAGTTTAACATCAAATATTTACATTGACTTACCATCAGACAACACTCTTTCAATTGCCTTCCCAGCATGACTAAGCACAGCCCATATCTCTTCTTCATTCAAAGGTGATCCTTTCACTTCGAGAATCTCCGCTAAGGTCACCTGATTTGCTGCCAACACTGGCATATTCTAAACACAATTTGTCATTATTTAATTGAACATGTTTACTGAAATGGCTTTTCGATGAGTCTAGAAACAATCTGTAAAATTGTCTGTCACTGGATAGGGAAAAATATTGAAAAAGGATGCAAATGCCAAGTAACGAGCAAGCAGGAGATATTGGAAGAATGCCTTATAAAACCAATAAAATAGAAAATGGTTATGCATCTTGTCATTGTAGGCTACAGTATTAGGACAAACTTGTCAAATTGCAAGCTACAGCAAATTTTTAGGTAAAAAGCTAGCACATCGGCGGCAAAATTGTCACATTTAATAGGGCAGTAACCAAAATGAATTTTTCACCATAAGCACAGACTTTTGGAGTTTTGTTAAAAGATAAATTTCTAGATCAGATTAAGTTATATAAACGTTTTCAGAGTTGAATAAATTGATAGTCTTCTTGTATACAATTGAACGCTATTACAGAAAAAATGTAAAGAAATGGAAGAATCATTGAACACTGCATGACAACAATACGAGCGTGATTCGGAGAATTAAAGGAAAACAACAATATAGTTTTCCGCTTTCCGATACAAGCAGCTAAATCTCGCAACGATAGCAAGGCTATAAATGACTAAAAATATCAATGTAGCAAAATGTACATTTAACTACGGAGGAATACATTTCGACTTAGAAAACACATGCATCCGAACCTATCACAATATATAAATATTAACAGATTATACCAATGTGTATACGGCAGTTGTAGGAACTTTTCCTTCGTTGAAACTAAAGAATATTCATCGACATTTTCGCTTTAGTGAATAGTATTATAAGTCGGTTAAAAACGAGTATTAACGAATGCAATCGAAACGGACAAAATTCGATGGATATTCCAGCTTTCGTAGCAGCTTCTTAAGTGACAAAAAGCATAGATTAAGCACGTATTATGTTGTATTGATTTAAAGTAATTACTTTAGGCCATTTATGTCGACATCACAGCGATAAAACCGGCGCTTTAATCAACTTTAATATTTGGACGAAGAAGCTGGAATATTTAGACATACCTTTTAGCATCCCATACTAAATCACGTTTCCAAGTTGAAGTTCATTGCGATCGTAAAAAATCTAGCCGTTATTTACAATAGCGGTTCGACACTAGACTAAATAGAGCACACGAAAGTGTATATAAACACTAACATGTCAAACGTTATGGAGATTTATATTCCCTCGCAAAGATACGCGTTTTTACTCCATGGCTACCCGAAACCCGAACTCGAACAGAATGTTGTTGACAGCGAATCGAAGCGGATTGGTTGATCCGGGTCACGTGCATCTTGATATGGGATAATATCATAGCTCAGTGTTGCTAAAATTAGATTCTTGTTCCGCGGCGTCTTTCATGGTAGTGTGCAAAGACTTCTGTTGTGCAACGAATAACAGCTGAGAGAGTACAGATATGTATCTTGTCGTCGGCCGGCACTTATGACGTTTGCGTACCCACGACAAAAGTTAGGTTGCTGTTTTTGGAACCAAACTGTAATAGCAAGTGCTTATAGCTTAGCGATTATAAACTCGTACGTTAGAGCCATCAAAATACAATTTCGATCCGTATCGCTATTCACCAAAAAATTTGGTATCAATACCACCAAAAATCCCTGGTATCAAAGCGGTACCGTATCGATTTAAGAGAACTGGTATCGCGTTTTTCTAAAACCCGTTGGGGTAAACCTCTGAAAAAATCTCTCCACTTCAGCAGTAACCAACAATGTATTTTACAAAAACTTGAACTTTTACAGTATTTGATCAAAACATTTAAAAAATATCCAATTTGCGCTATAATTTTTGATCGAAGTTATAAGGAGAAAATTAATCACCACAGCATAATTTTGCATAATGCAGAAAATATAGTCACGCGAATTGCCAAATTTTGCATATTTTGGATTTCGTGCCGAAATATGCAACTCCGGCCGTAATAAAAAAGTATACAAATTTGTTAATTTGACAACTTCGCATTGCTGTATTTTCCGTACTTTGACAACATTTCGCAGCTAATTTTAGTCTGCTCTTCCAGAGGATATTATCGCCAAGATAACAAAAACGTGTCTCAATGCCTATAGCATCCATTCAGTAAAGTCGTCCATTCAGTAAAGTCGTCCATTCAGTAAAGTCCTCTCAGCCAATAAAACATAGTTCAAGATAAATAATGATATTCGTGAATCGTGTGTTATTCGTGTCAGTTTCATCAGTCCAACTTACAATTTCTAAAAGAAAGAAACAAATATAAACGCCCGTGCATAAATAGTATAAAGCGATTATTTCATTCATTCATTCATAAAATTTATTTAACCACCCTAGCCATACACAACATAGGTACAATTTGCTGAAACTGCATCAGTGGATTGGCAGAGATAAGAACCTATACCGGAAAGATTACCCACCCATTTCCATTTCCATTTTTCTTCACACTTTTTTCAATGCTTCGTAGAGGACGTCCATATCACACTTCACCTCGGAAATAAGCGACAAAACTTTGTCCTTTCTGTCCAGAATTTCGATGTTTTGCGTGTATGGATTGTAACGCACCTGGAAAGGTCGGGGGATTTTCGCGGCATACTCCCTGAACGAAACAGAAAACACCAAAACTATCATCAGACTGAGGAAAATCTTCGAGAGTTTAGTATTCGAACAGGACGCTGATCTTGCCGTAAGGCACGAGTCACTTCTTTCTGATTCCGGTAACGCAACGTCACGGCGAGACAAGTTGCACGAGTCATTGCACCGTTTAACATGCCTTGCAATGGCCAAAATCGTTGCAAGACAAGTCACACAAGTCATTGCATCGTTTAACATGTCTTGCAATGGCCACAATCGCGGAAAAACGTAGTTCAACAAGCGTTGCACAGAGTATAGAGCTGGCTTTGATTTTGTAGAACCTGTTGGTTCAAACTAAAGTCAACTTGACCCATGCAGCAGAGTTTTTCGTACCTGACTTTTTCTTTAGCTGACTCAAAGCTATCGGCGACGAAGTAGATTGGTTGATATTGCGTAATGGGGTATTCAGTCTCGGCTATTTTCTCTGGGTCAAATTCTCTCATCTCCGGCGTATCTGTTAAACAATACTGAAAGGAAATTCCAAAAAAGAAAATTATAATTTTTACCTATCGTCATCTGAACAGTTGCTAATTTGCTCGAGCCAAGGATTTTGTACTCGCTTTTGCCAGGATGCCCATACCTATGGCCAGGTTCATGCATTCACTTATTTTGATATCTCACCATTTCTTTCACCTTTCGTAAGAAATCGCTAAGGTCTCAAGATTTAGTCATGGTTATGCTAAAAAATCATTGGCCATTCTTAATTCGCTATGCATAATGGTATGTCAAAATAAATATCCCCGTTAATAAATATTATGTCGAGAGAAGACTGGTAACTAGACAAACCTGAAGTTCACCGAATGAGGAGAGAAGCCCGGCGCCATATGCTTTAAGTTCCCCGTTCTGGCGACACATCCCAAACTCGATGGTGAACCAGTACAACTGTAAGAAATAAAACGGTGAAAATCGAACACAGGATAATCAATATTTCCAGAGCGAGTTGGTCCCGTGAACAGCAGGGTCATCCATCGGATGTTTTCGCTCGAAATTTTACGAGGATCCTGCAATTACTTACAAGGCCGGTGCATGAACACTCTTTTTCTCTACAAACACAAACTCAAGGAGGAATTTGGTTAACTAATCGGCCAATTAACTAGTCGGTCAATTTGTTTTTACTTAAGAATCAAACTATAATTCAAACAAGACACAGATTGAGACTGTAAATTTTCGACTTATTACAAAGTCATCTTCAGACAGAAAGGAGACGGTTGATTCTGAAGATGTCTTGTTTGTTCGGAATTTGCTTTTTACTTTACTTTTTTAAATTGTCGGCTGGTCATGGTTTTTTTGTTTGTTTTGTTTTCACTTTTCAGGTAAGTCAAGAATGCTAAAGCCTAAATGTTTTATACTTCGTGTAAAATACTAAATAATCTACCTTTTAACGGAGGTAGTCTATATTTATTAATAAACAAGTTTGCTGATTGATCTAAAACGAAATTCCTCTTTGTTCTAAAACACAGCGAGAAGCAGTGAAAATTGCGTTCTTGCGCTGGTTATAACCTTTTTCCTTTCTCTTGCAATCAACATATACACATGTAATTGCCGAGTGATCATTTGCTACAAACCGCGAAGTATTGGTCCGGTCCCTATATAGCCGATTTTCCATTACGTCTTTTCATTCGTTTCGCCTGCGCGGGCAAAATGAATATGTAATCGAAACAACCCTTCAATCTCCTAGTAAAATACGTCATTCCATCATTAGAAGACGTAGGTATCTTTTAGACCATTATTAGGGACCTTAAGCATGTATAGGACGCGAACGCGACGACGACGGCTATCAATACAATGGGTCATTGAAAAGAAATGAATAATTAAAGACCCATGATGAGTTTTAGACGTCGTCTTCGTTCTGTTTACAACGGGAAAACGTCGTTTTTTACGTCGTGCCTAGCACGCGGTTGCATTTCAGGACCCAGCGAGCCCTACCTCAAATAGGCTCTATAGAATTGTCCTTAAACATAAACACAATATTTTTAACGCCTTATATCTCACTAAATCGGTACAATTACGTAATAATATACAACAACCACTTCGCCATAGCATTTATTTAAAGGAGAATTTCAGCCGCGTCGTCGTCGTGTTGCCGTTCAATATGCTTAAGGTCCCTATTATCGAAGGGATTACGACGTCAGTGAGAGAGGTTTATATTATAAAGAGAATACCGTTGCCAATTTTTTTATCCATTCATCGGGAGCGCCCAAAGATGCTAAACCAATTTCCTACAAAAAAGAGCAAAATTGTGGAAATGCTATACGCAGAAAATTTACTCCAAAGTTAATTCACATCTCTTTGACTTTGCGTGATTATTGTTTGAGCTTTTATTGACGGCTTCCTACTAAAAGAACTCGCGGAACTGATAATTAGAGCTCAGATAATCATTATTTTCAAGAGGCCGTTTGCATGCAGAGTATAAAAAAGAATCAATGCATGTATATGAAATTTACCTATATAACTATATGCATCATATTTACATAATTAAAAATAAAAATAAAATTCACACATGATATATAACACACTGATGAATAAACTATATATTTGCCTATTGAGAACATTAACCAAAATGAGCAGGTATATACCTGGGAGAACCGAGCAAATGCTGGATCAGCAAATAATGGCACGTGACCAATCAACTCATGACAAATATCCCTTAAAAAATAGTGAAAAAAAGATATTATGTCTACACAATTGCACGCATTTGTTCAGTAAAAGTAAACTCACGGCTCAGGTGTGTACAGCGGCTTTGATGAATGTCTAATGTACTGAGTGCTGTGAAAGACACGGAATGCCAAGCCAGCCAAGAAGTCGCGTGACGAAAGCAAGCCTGCGACGGGGCGTAGAGTAAAACCAGTTCGACCTGCAAAATTGGGTGAAAGGATTCGTTAATCGTGACGCTTCAGCGCAGCACTGAATCGCGTCGACAAAATATGATTGCTAATATTTCATTATGGTTTTCAGGGTTTCCACTGACAATGCAAGGAAATTTGCTTCCAATTGACAACCATAAGGGAGGGAGGGATTTGTATTAATAGGATATATTATATGCATTCTTTTCAAAACTTCTTTCTCGTCATTGCTATTCCCCTATGAGGACAGCTATATGCTAATAAGTTGTGGAAACCCTGATGATGCCATTTGGTTGCGGATTTCCGGAAGTCAAGGACAAACCAAGAGATTTCAGGAGTTCTCGAAAAGGTGTTCCAGATATTATTCTGTATCATTTAATTTTCAAGCAGAAAGCGTGAAATGAGAAGTGGCTTAAATTTTTAGATATCCTAAATGCCTCTAGAAACCTTACTATAAACTATATATTGAAAAACAACAGACAAGCACGAAATAAAAAGCAACATTAAAAATTCTCGCTTTTAAGTGGACATATATTATATGTAAAAGGAAAATAATTCCTATAAAATTATTTACCTTTCAAATAATTTGACACGACTTGCAATTGCGGAATTTGACCTTTTCTGTTAAAAAGTAAAAAACTCTTAGTAAAAAATATCCTGAATCGACTAACTTTATACTGCTAAACCCAAAAGTTTGCTTTTGATCATTTTTGAACGTTTTCGTGCACGTGTTCTGCCAAGAAACTAAGTACAATTAGCCTAACAAACATAATTCACTCATGGGGTAGTAACATAACAGCTAGCCTTCCACATCTTTGCGACTTTGGATTTTACCACAACTTCTAACAATGTCAAAGAGCAGCAATAATCAAAATATGGTTTCAAAGTGGAATTATTTATCTCTATAATCTCATGCAGGCTTTTTCGAGGAACAAAGAAAACAAAATGATTGATCTGGCTTTCAGCTTCAATTCCCAAAAACTTTTAGTTTTACTGTTATAGACCTGGAGGTCTAGTATAACCGTACAAGTTTGTGAGCATTAATTCAAGTCACTTACGCCAAGAAAAAATTAAATTATAAACTTATACTGAACTAAACTAAAGGTTTTATATAATAGACCTTATGCATAATGACGTAACAAGCCGTGGGAAATTTTGAAGTTTGAATAGCCGTGACTACTAAAACCAGGCGTCACGGCTTGATACGTCATTATGCATAAGGTCTACTGAATATAGTTCTGCAAGCTCTGATAGTAGTCCAGTTACAGTAGCATCCATGCGATGAAGTCTCCGCGCATCTATATTGTTTTAGAGTTACCACACTGCAGGAAAATCTTTTCTTACTTGTAGCCACAGCTTTCCATCAACATGGGCCAGACGTCGTTGTGTTCCTTGCAAGCGTGAGTTTTAAACAATCTGCTGAGTTCACCAAGAATCGTGTTCCTATGAAAATTAAAAAGCGATAATGACCACACAGTCCCGTAACATTCCTTCTAAACATTTTCCGCGATTTTGCAAAATCTCGAAGGCTTACCATGTTTCAATTTCTGCCTCCGTGTAGTTCACTTTTGGAATAGGTTCTCCACTATAACAGTGAAAGAATATTTAAGATTTTCTTTCGAACACTTTTTTGTATTGAAGGCGATATGAACTCGCTAAAGTGTAGGACAAGGAAACACGTTGCTGCAGTGTCAGCCGGATTAAGAATGGCGATTGTGAATTAATCGCCCCAACTCTCACTCAAGCAAACACATGATCCATCAATCCACTTGCATGGAGACTGCATAGAAATTTGATGAAACGCCACCCAGACTATTCGGAACGAAAGAATATGAGAAGCTATCCAGTGAACATTAAGCTTTTAGACCCAGAGTGAGGGGGGTTCAATTAGATGATATATGTGGACATGTCATTTGACGACAAGATACTTGAAAAACTGGGCCACTAAAAAGGCACTTTGCTCTCTGGCTGTTTTCAGTGAAACAAGTCCGCCATATAGGAATGGCATTATCAAATACACGGATCAACAGGAGCAAGACTTTGTCTGTGATTGAAAAGGATTACATTTCTAGTTTCAACAAAAGCATGGATGCTTTTCAATGCCATGCAGCAACTCGAAAGATGTTCGGCCAGTCACTTACTGTCTATATTGAATGGCAATATCTGCAAATTCTTTTCTCCGTGCTCGATAGACCTCGTCTGTGAAACCCTGAAATGCAATACAATGATTTCAACCACTCATGCATTTCTCGCTTGCACTTCATGCCCACGTCATGACAAGTTCATTTGTCCTTGTATACAGCATGCCAGGGGCGGATTAGCGTTATGAGTGTCACCGGGCGATAGGCCAAAAGGGCCCACCTGATGACGTCATTGAAGGAAGACAATATTGGGATTTTTTTAATCGTTGTTGGGCAATAAGCCTCGTTTTCGTGCAATATGAAGGCACAGCCACTAAGTTTCGAAATTGGTATATTTTACTTATTTACATAATGTGCGCTTATGTATGCTAAACTAAAGCCGCTTTTAGTAAATTATGTCACCTGAATATGATGACATCGACGGTCTATATTTATCTATAACATGAGTCAGCAAAATGTTCGGAATGTTTGCCATTGTTTGGTATGCATTGGGCTTGTGTAACACGGGTAAAAGTGCAACTTACGATACAATACTAGTTTAACTCTGTCCCGTACTTGCAAGACATAATTTCGGTTTTCCTGTAGTTCCAATCGAAATCGTGATTTTATTTTGTTGCTATTATTTCCAATAGGCTCGATCGCAAACAGGTTTTGAGACATTGCAAGCTTATAACAAGCACCCATAGCCAGGGCCCCCTTATTTTACAAGAGTGGGGGCCCACCGGGGCATCGCCCGGTAGCCCGGTGGGCTAATCCGCCCCTGCAGCATGCCATTAAAGCAAAAACAAAAATTTCCATGTAGCTTCCAAATTCGAACAATGCATTTGTAAAACTAAAAGTAAAAGACTAAAACTTGGCGCAAATATACTGTATGAGGATAGTCATGATAGTGAGATGACTAACGAAAATCAGTATAACTAATAAATATAATAGAACATTAACATATGGACAAGTGTCGCTAGTGCGCATCATATGAAAACAATGTCAATGATCCCAATTTTCAAGTGACCTACAAGACCTGGAAAGCGCTTTGCCCTTCCTCAACAACCGGAGGCGGGCTTTATGGTAAGTCTTGAACGCTGCAAAAACCAGTGATTCACTCACGGGATGATCTGCATCCAATTCAGCGCCATAGCTGCAAATTCTGTTTGCAAACTCATCCAAATCTGCAATATTCTTTGGAAACCAAGGAACTATGAACAAACAGAATAAAATTGCAGCTCGTATTATGGAATAATAGAACAAATAACATCACCATATTGGAGATATTGGATGAAGAGAACATTCAAGACAGGTGTTTCATTTCATACTTCAAGCAAAACGAGAAACAAGAGTTAAAAAAGATTGAATGTTGCCGTTGGCAAGCTATGTAGTGTGAGAGCAAGTGTGTGTTTCCTATCAATCATGCCTGCAAGACTACATATATCTGTATGTGACAGTGTACATATACTACAAAGTGTGTCATTTAAACTAAAGCCCTGCTTTTTCTACTTTTCAGCTAAATTATTAAAGAGTCTTCAAAATGTAAGAGTAAGAAACATCCATGAAGTGAAATAAAAAAAAGTTTGGTAGTTGCCTAATTTACTGAAAAATTGCACCATGTAATGGGGCCTAAAAGTTACTCATTTTAATCTTGTTGAACAAAAGACAATACTTGTATTGAACCGAAGCATATCATGTGCCTTTCTTCCATAAAAGTTGTGTACATTGAATAGTAATGCTGTAAAGGCATTGAAACAAAAGATTGCACTAATGCATGTCCCATACTTGCAAGCATTTTGATTGAAACCTTATGTGATTGAAACTTTTTCAGTCAGTCATGTCAAACTTACCCTCTTCATTCTCGCCAGCAAACACTTTAACCTTTTCCGCCTTTTCTTCTAGTTCTTTTAATACTGGATCCAATGTTGCTCTTGATCCAGAGCAGTCAACATAGAACTCAAAATAGGTAGATTGACCGTTGGCAGGCCTTGACTCGATGTGGGTTAGGTTGATGCCATTGTCCTTAGGTATTTGAAATAGGAATTTTACATTTTAAGCATGTGTTCAACAGTGACACTAGAAAACAATAGACCTTATGCATAATGACGTAACAAGCATAATGTGACACCTGCAGGGAATTCTGGTCGTAGTAGTCAAGGCGGAAAATTTTGAAGTTTGAATTTTTCGCTGGGACTACTAAAACCAGAATTCCCTGCAGGCGTGACGACTTGATACATCATTATGCATATATAAGGTCTTTTCAGAGAATTGGAAATGATAAATATGAAAAGACAGTTATCCTGCATACAGGAAATGTTTTCCTAAGTAGTTCTATATTCCTCCATGGAAAATAATTGATCCCAGGGTCTTAGCCAATAAGGCCATATCCAACAAAACCAATTTTATCATTATAGAATTACACCAGAAGATCAACATAAACATTCAAGGCTAACTTTAAACTTTAAGCATAAGATTAAAGAGTTATAATGATAAATAGTTGGTTATTTGTAAGATTAAAATAATAAATATTGGGCATTTTAAACAATGGCTTGGTTTCCATAGAGAATTAATTGAAAAGCTTTTATAATTAGGAACTTATAATGACAAAGGTCTTAGAACTATTTTTTAAATTTATTTTAGTATTCAATATATAATACTGTAATTCAATACAGATCGAATTTCTCATTGGCAATGTAACATTACATATCACATGTATTTCAATTGTATTTCTTTTGAAAAAGCACGTTAATGCTGGAAGCCGGCGAAATTTGCAATTTAAACCAGTCTGGACCACTTCGATATAACATCCTATAGCTCTGCAAACATTTACAGTTCAGTCGTGGTGATAAATAGTTTAAGCAAATTGCTATTTGAATTGATTTTATCTAGTATATTACGAAGGACTCTAATGGTGTAAGAAAAGTCGGATTTTGTTATTTTTGTAGTGGTTCAGCGAAGAAAACTAATTGCGTGACTTCGAAGGCATATGTTAACACAAGAATTTGATGACGTACCACACTACCACTAGACTCTTTTCAACCAATTTGGGATACGAATCACACAAATCAAAGTGGTTAGAGGAAAAATTATGATGCAGAAATGCTCTATACGTCAGAAGTACACATATCCGACAAGAATCAGACCCAAAAAACCTAAATATTTGCATTGTCTAAACCTCTTAATTAATGTTTATATAGCGTTGCGTTGCAAACATCTCAAGCCCAATGAAATCACAAACCTTAAAAACTTTTAAAGCTTCATGGAGGGTACCGACTTCTTCTTTAAGAGCAAAAACCAACGATGTCTTACCATTTTCGAATTTCTCGCTTGGAACGTAAGCATAACCACCATCCTAAAAAAACAAACGAACAATCAATGAAATATCGTACGGCTCCATTCGCATTTTTTGAAAGAAAAGCATTGCTCACTTTGCTATCATTTAGTTTAGCCTTTTTGGCCGGGATTGGGTCCTGTAAATCCATGTTTTACGCTGAGATTTTCGACGATGGTTGTCAAAACATTAAAAGCTGATTACAAACGAAATAATTTGCAAAACAAGAAAAGCGTGTCGATTCGAAGTATTCCCAATTTTCTGATGCAATCTCGTTTGTTTTTTAAAGAAGACGTTCGTAGGTGGTTAGTGGGCGCGGTTAGGGCGGTTAAAACTTAAAATATCACTCGTACCCAGAATTCCGAAGCGCGATCAACACACTCTCCTCCGCAGAGGCTTTTTGGGTAATCTAACAATAATTGAGAATTATATAATACAATTGAGAATTATATGATATAATTCGTAGTAGCGGGCGGACGGGAGGGAGCTAATAATAGTAGCGGTGAGTGGCGGGCGGACGGGAGGGAGTCGGGCGGTTGCGGGTTGAAAAATGAAATTTGAGAAGCCTCTGCCATATAATGTTTCCAATATGGCGTCAAATTACATATCATATTATAATTACGTATCATCTCATGAATATTTTTCAAAATAAATATGGATGAGACTATAAATCAAACAAAGAATGTTTTGTCGTTGACTACCAGACCATTTCAAGAAGCGAATGTTTCCGGTAAAGTAATCTGTTCTAAATGTTATGAAAATACGAAAGAAATAAAATTTTATTTAGAAGATGCAGGTTTAATTCAACATTTTCGGGTGAAACATCGACATATGGCCCTTGACGAAAGACTTGTTAAAGAATGTAGGTTGCTATTTCAAGACTTGCATGGGCAGGAAACTTTCAGTGTATTGCAAAAACTAGCCAAGATTCGCGGCGAAGCAGTAAGTTAATGTTTATCTCTTTATACTTTTGTAATTTTGTCAATTTTAATTTTTATGAGCAGTAAAAGCACAAAACCACAACTGCACAAACTGATCTTTGCGCACACAATAGGCAAAATATAAATATCTATTAAAATATTTATATTTCAGAATGTGAACTGTTGCAGTTTGCAAAAGTACGAGGAGTTTTCGGTGGAACACATTACTGAAAATTTGGCTAACAAGATGACTACTCTTAAAGTTATGGCAAGCACGAGACGGGAGGCAGCAAAATTATATGGCTTATATTTGAAACACAGTGGCATTCTAAAACATCTTAGCGGGAATCCTTGTCATGTTCGAGTTAAAATATCTTCTAGTGTAACTGATCACCTTGGCCAATGTTTTAAACTTTGGGATGCATGTGCAAAAATTTATGCTGAATGTTTTGTTTCCCCTAAGAGGGTAAGTTACCGTTTTTAAAATTTGCAACATACATTAATACTTGCCAGGGTTCCTGTAGCATGTGGATATTTAAGTTTAGTCTTTTTAATTGAATACTCGTTGGCGTTGCTTTAAATTGTGCAGGCATTTAAAATTTCAAATAATTTAAAATAATTGTATAAAGTAGTATTTCTTGTTTGTATCTATTGCAGTCTATGTTATTGCCAAGACATCAAACACCTGTGCCAGACAAGTGCTTGCAAATGCAAATTTCTCGAGAATGTAAGACACCTTTGCAGTTTCTCCAAACAGTTTTTGGACATCAAGAATTCAGACCAGGCCAAGGTGAAGCTATTGAGTTTATATTGTCTGGAGAAGATACAGTTGTAATTATTCCAACAGGTGGTGGTAAAACAGTTATATATACTCTTCCTTGTCTAATGACACCTGGCTTGGCATTTGTAGTATCACCTCTTATTATGTTAATGAGTGACCAAGTTGCAAGACTACAACAATGTGGAATCAACACATGCTATTACAACACAATGCTAACTGATAATGAAAGACAGAATATATTACATAATCTGAAACAGCCAGATTGTCAATATCAGTTTTTGTTCATTAGCCCAGAAGCTATTGTAACTGAACAATTGAAACATTGCTTGAGTCAGATTAGTCATGAGAACAGATTGAGTTTTTTCATCATAGATGAAGCACATTGTATTAGCACATGGGGTAAGGAATTTCGCCCAGCCTACCAGCAGCTTGGTACCTTACGGAGCTACAATGTTCCAATTATAGCACTTACCGGCACAGCAACAACTGAAACTTTGGATGCAATTAAACAAACACTTGAGATGGATAACCCAAAGGTAGTGAAGATGCCATGTAGAAGAGAAAATCTAATCTATTCAGTTGTTAACAAGGATAATAAAGCTAAAGAACAAGTCTGTAAAATAATTGAAGATGATTTTGCAGATGTATGTGGTATAATTTATTGTGCTACCCAAGCAGATACTGTCGAAATTGCATTTACTCTAAAAGAACATGGTGTGACAGCTACATACTACCATGCAGGGATGGAGGGTGGACAAAGGATGCAAAATGCTTTGCTTTGGCTAGAAAACAAGGTCAGAGTTATATGTAGCACAAACGCATTTGGAATGGGGATAGACAAAAAAGATGTTCGGTTTGTAATTCATCTAACTCTTCCTTCATCTTTAGAAGATTATATACAGGAGTCCGGGAGAGGAGGCCGTGATGGACACAGATGTGATTGCATTTTATTATTTCGTTTTGGTGATAGGATGTTCCATTTAAAGAACATATCTCAATTGTCATCAGAGCAATTTAAAGAAAACAAGCATATTCTTCTTAATGCTATTACAAGTTTTTGTATGGAGCGTTCAATTTGCAGAACACAGTTTATTACAAAATATTTTTCAGAATTGCCAGGTGGTGCATGCAAATTGTGTGATATCTGTCAAAAAGAAATTACCCACCAAATCAAGGATTTCACAAATGAAGCAAAAAGCATACTGGCATGCTTGACAAGTATGGTTGCAATCCAGAGCAAAGTAAAGGTCAGCATGCTGACAATGACGTATATGGGTTCCAAGGCGAAAGATATTGTTAGTAGTGGATTTCACATGGTTCCACAGTATGGAAAGGGTAAGGCCAATTTCCGAAACATTTCAGTTCTTACACACTTTGTACATTTTTTGATCTTCAAAGGATTTTTGAATGAACATGTTCAGCATGTAGAGGATAGATTATCATCAACATACCTAACAATTGGGAACATTCAGAATTTATCAAATGACTCTTGTAAGGTGTTTTATTGATGGGCATGTAAAGTAGTGGCAACAGCATACATTTAAACTGCACTTAAGATTAACTAAATATATTAGTAGGTAATTGTATATATTAATGCATTGTTCACAATCTATAGTAAAGATGGTTGCACACAAATCTGATTCTGGTTTAAGATGCAATTTGATGAAAAATAAGGGACACCACAAATCACACCACTAATTGTTTTAGGATGCAATTTGATGAAAAATAAGAGACACTACAAATTACACCACTAATTGTTTTTCTTAGAATCGTTTTATGTGCACCAAACTTTATAAGAAAGTTGGGTGGTATGTCACTGCCAATGACCAGTTGCTATATATATAGTTTTGCCACTGCTGTGTTTTCCATTTCCCACAGTAATATATACATAAAAGTAAACAAATGCCAAGTTAGTTACACAATTTCAAGGGCAACTGTGCAGTTCACAAAATTGTACTATATGGACAATAAAATCCATATGTGATATGATTGTGATGCTTAACAATCAGAAGTGCGAGTTTTCCCCCAAATTTTTGCACGAAATGTTGCCACACATCTTTATTGTGTAACCCTTGCATTTCATTTCTGCAAATGCACTGGTAGATAGATCTATCTCGTAAACTTATTGTATCATGATGTATAAAATCCTTATCCATAAGGATTTTATACCTCAAATCAGGAAAGGAGTCATACAGTTTTGCTTTAAAGCCATCCCTGATCTTCTCTTTACCTTTCTCGACCACATCAATCAAATTCTTGGGGACTTTTCCACTTGCATCACCTTTACCATCGAGGGAGTAGCATTCAATTTCTTTCCTTTCGTTTTCTTCAAAAAATGCCTTTTGGACACAGAACCAGGCACCTTTAACCTGGTCTGGTAATGGATCTTGGACAGAATGTCTGGCAGTATGGTGTACATCAAATCCCTCTTTCTCCATGTATGCCCTTCTTATGTATTTCAAACATATTCAGGTTGGCCATTAGCCGCTCGCACATATGAACTGTTGTGTGATTAGACACGTAATTCTTCAATGGCTGTACTAATTCGGATTCCACGTAAGCGTCGAGCTCTATTCCATTACCAGGTTTCCCAAGAAGGTTGACACAACAATTCTTCTGCAGCAAAATTCTTGTCGCAGCTGGCCACTTTACTAAGAAATTAACAATGTGCCGGAAAACTTCGGTGTAATAGTTACGGAAACCTAGTTGAGCGTACATGGGAGCCTGAGCTTGATATACAGCCTCGCGCGCATAACCATCTCCATTAGCTGTTGCCGCGTCATACATTTGCTGGAGGGGACCATACAGCAGAAATGAAGTAGCTCTGTGTTTAAAAGCAACATCATTTTCACATGATTTTGATAGCCACTCTTTAAATTTGGATAACAGCGTAGTGGTTGTGCTGCCCGTATTACGTAGTTGTTCTTTTGAAGGAAACTCGTTACTTCCCGTAAACTGAAGAGCTGCCGCAATACCGTATGCTCTACACGCATCGTTGATACCTTCTCTAACTTTTACTAGATTATTTTCTTGAAATTTTTTCTTTTTAAAAACTTCGCGTGTAAGTCTTTTTCGCTTAAGAACTTCTGATAACAAATAGTGAAAACCCGATGAACCATGCACCTTATATACCATTTCGCAAAAGTAGCCTAAAACAACAATAACAACAAAAATTTTTAAAAACTTGGTTTGAACCTTGTGATATCGTGAAGTGTTTGTGAAAGTTGATCGTCCAAGATGACAGCCGCTCAGGTTATCAAAATGCCAGTTACAACTTACAACACCATCGTTAACGCTTTCCCAAATACTTCACAATAAATTAACAATTACGGCATACCCCTATATGTAGTCCGTTTGGGAGGTAAAGTAGTAAACTTGAAGTCTGTAATGTAGAGCTGGTACATGTAAGACACATAAAGTATTGACATAGACATTTGTGCAATGTAAGCGCTAAAATAATGAGGGGTATCTGTTTCCCATGTTTAAATAAACCTAACGCTCATATTGTACAATTATCTACAGTATGTCAACCTTAATTGAAATAGCTGTATATATGAGTGTAATCATGTGTAATTTACTTTGTTACCTTTGTTGTGAAGGTCACCAGGACATAGACCAACCCACTGATACGACCTCGACCTGGACATAACCGCGCTATTTGTTTTACACGTTCCAACGTCTCCTACGATAGGCGTTATAAATCCGGGGACAGTTCGGTTGAAATGCTGGACAGTTCTTTTAGGATGTTCATTTGCGGTTAAACTCTCCTGAAATGTTGCATCGATTGAACGAATGAAATCATCCTCTTCGTCTGACAATACCTGGTCGTATTCAAATATTTGTTGAATGTCCTCAAGATTCAATTCTTTAGCCATGCTGAGTGGTGACGGAACACTTGTAAATAACGGTCCAGAATATTTTGCTCCTGATTCAACTAAATACTTGCATATATTACCGTTTTTCCCATGAACAGCAAGGCTTAGGGGCGTCAAACCACATCCCTCTCGGCAGTTTACATCCATACCAAGTTCCACAAGATACTTTACAAAGTTCTGATGACCTTGTTCAACAGCTACATGTAAGAGACTCCGTTTCAAATGGTCTTTGACTGTTGTTAATGCTCTGTTTTCAAGGCTCGAAATAGACATCATGTAAGTCTCTTCAGAATTTGCAGTGTTAGCGCTCATCATTTCATGCATTAAACCATTATACGCTTCCCAGAATGGTTTGTCTTCATTCTGAAAGCGATTCCTTTCTCGTTCAAGAGTAACGGTCTCTTTTGTAGAAGTACGAATACCTGGAGCGTCTTCTTCATCAGAAGCAAACGAAAAGTCATCCTGCGAATCGTCTTCTGTAAGTCCGTCGAAGGTTTTCCTTGTCGATCGCATTTGACTTTCGGTCCGCTTCATATTCTGCTCGTGACTCTTTTGGCTAAGTAGTAGCTCGAAATGCGCCCTTGAAGAAATAACATCAAAATTACCAGCAACGCAGTTGAACGGTACACATTCTGCATTTTTTCCCCCTTCTGGCAAACTGAAATCCTTTGACAGCTTGTCCAAAATACTCATTGTTCCAAAGATTGTGCTATTATCTTCCAACGACAGTGGCAATATGTGTACATTGCTCTTCGAACTGTGGGATGCATTCGGTAGGAGATCCTTTTCTACTGGTATATCTAGCGTATACTTTTCAGTGCTCTCGAAATTAGAGGCAGTGGCTATATATGCATCTATCTGCTTCTCAGTCATTTCCTTAAACTGATGCACAGTGAATGGCAGTTTGTTCAAAGCAATATCTAAAAGTTCCACTAAGTACTTGTCAACAAATGCATTAAATAGTTTTGCCTTCTCGTCGTCACTCTCTAAAAAAATATCGTCTGGCTTCATGTCCGTCGCTGAACCTTGTGGTGTTATGCAAGATTCCTTATCATTGAGTACTTCATCCATTCCATCTACATTTGGTATTAACAATGCTTGACCAGTAAAGTTCCACATTGTTGGACCAGCACTTTTGAAAAGACGCAAATGTTTCCTCTTCCCGCGGTAGATGTTTATATTGTCAATCATCAAAATGACTGGAACATTCACTGGGGATAACTGGGCAATATCTTTCTCTCGTTTCTTTTGCTGCTCGTCAAAGAATTTCATGGCCTTCTCCCAGCTCACCGTTAAGCCTAGATGATTCATCATGGTGACAAATCTGAGCCCTGCTCCAAATGATATGCAAAGATATGTAAACATGAGCCTAAAATCGTTGGTAAGTTTTTGATTTCTCAAGCTCACCAAAATAGCTAAAGCATGGACTGCACTCTTGACACGATACTCACTGACAGGTCGCCCATTTTTCTTGTGTAGAAAAATAGTACATAGCACATTAAACAAAAGTGGACAATTATCTTTAACATCTGAAGTCAATTTGGAAAAACATCCAGTGAGGTCACATTCAGTTAATGTTTTTGAACTAAGTTCTGTGTTCAAAAATGTAGAGAATACAGAAATTTCTTTTTGTAATTGATCTACTTCAAAAGTACAAATATTTTCACACTGAGTCTGTTTTGATGTTAACTGGTTAATTGCTTTCTGAAGTAGACTTGTTAGTAAGTCATTCAGTTCCTGCAGTCTGTTGTGTGCTTCTAGTTGCTTGTGTAGCAATGCCTTCACAACATCTTTGTTTACATTTTCTTTTGATAAATGGTCATCAACATTCTTTCTTGCTAAATCAAGTTCATTAGTAGCACTGGATATCAGTGTCTTGATGTTTGCTATCTCTGGACTTTCGTTTAATTCCAGTGAGGGAACATTGCTTGTGGACACTGGTGCAGAAAACGATTTAATACAAATATTTTTATAAAGCTGAATGCGGTCTGGTCCAGTACCTTTTCTAATGACCATTGAGTTTGGAAATGCCAATTTGACAGCATTTGTGGCCTGTATTTTTTGGTAGTTGTTCAACTGTAGCACCTTCATAACAGCTTCTTGCTTTACCTGAGCACCTTCTCTCTCTTCAAAATGCTCTAACAACATTTTGACATAGCTCTCCCTTCTTCTTTTGTAAAATACTCCACTTGGCTTTGGCAGTTCGCATGACTCTATTAAAACACAATAAAAAAACAAAGTTAAGTATACAGACATAAAGTTAATGTTACATTCAATTAATATTACTGTACTTTTACATTTTAAACCACAGTGCTACTATCTTATTGTAATGACAAACATTATGATAGCTATAATGGAAAGCTTCAATTTGTGCTAATAGAATGTGCATCCACCAACACACATTAAGTAACTCAAACACAATAAGGTTTAGGTGTTTAGCTGTATACTGTATATAGCAACTGGTTATACAAAACATATAAACTAAAATGTTCAGGTTATGAAGAAAAAACATTTTTGTAGATTTTAATAATACAATATAAATTTAAAATATGATAATTAAATATTTGAAATAAATTTTCAATTTAACATTTAAAGGTTCATTAATAATTAACAAAGAGGGGAGGGGGCATTTCAACCCAGCAGTTTAGGGGAGGGGGACTGTCAAATTACCTAAAAATAAAGCAAGCAGTTTAAGGCAGGGTTTGCAATATACAGTACATAACAATAGAATAATTTATGAAATAATTACCAGATGTTAACAAAGGACTTCCAGATTGCATATTCATGATCTTTGAAGGTGGCTCATTTTGTCTTTTTGAATCTGGTGTCAAATCATGCTTCCCAGCTACAGGTACTAGTTGCCGTTGTTTCACCTTCTTTGGAGTACTTGTCAATACAGCACTCTGTATTGGCATGGGCAAACAGCCAAGGTCTTCATCACCAGCCTTCTCAGCAGACATAGGAAAACAAGCAAGGTCTTTACCATCATCTCTCTCAAGTGGCATTGGCAAACAACCAAGATCTTCATCATTATCTGATTTATGACAAATTTCAGGATAATCAATTATGGATAATAATTTGTAGTTTACAGATTTATACAATGAACTGCCAGTATAGTGTAAACCACTTGCATTCAGTGGTGTAAACAGAAAAACAAAACAAAATATACGATAAAAATATATAAATACAGTAGCCTGTAGCTGACGACGATTTTAATATATGCAAGCCAATGCAAAATTAACATAACTACATATGTAAATACTTTCACTTCTGAAACTTGCCAAAATATCAAGGCAATCGAATGATATTAATTAATCTTGCATCAATATTAATATAAACTTGAGTAAATTATAACATTTTATGCATTTGTTAAAATTAAACTAATATATTATACTTACCATCTAGACTCATATTATGAAAAGAGCGCTCAATTTCTTCTATATCGCTATCGAACTCAGCCATTATAATATCGATTGTACCAGTAAACCGCCAAAACCAAAGAACCGCATTTCACACCAAAGAACCGCACGTTATATGGCAGAGGCTTCCCTTCTTTTTTTCCCCAACCCGCAACCGCCCGACTCCCTCCCGTCCGCCCGCCACTCACCGCTACTATTATTAGCTCCCTCCCGTCCGCCCGCTACTACGAATTATATCATATAATTCTCAATTGTATTATATAATTCTCAATTATTGTTAGATTACCCAAAAAGCCTCTGCGGAGGAGAGTGCGATCAACAAATGTTTGAAAACAAACCTGCAAATAATATACCAGGCTCGGGGAACGAGATTGAACAACTTAGACAGACCGTGTAGATGATTACACCAGCAAGCATGAAAGAACTAAAGGCCATGCTACACGGTGCAATTTTTCGTGCAACTTGCAATGCAATTCTTCTTTTGAGAGATGTAAATTTGGCAATTACCGAACTTTTGTCTTTATTCAGTGAAATTAAAATAGAGTTATTAAAGTTGTTTATTACAGTTCACTGTCTTTATTACACTCCATGGCGACTCTTCACTAATTTACATCTCTTTAAAGTAGAATTGCATTGCAGGTTGCACGAATGGTGTAACAGGGCCTCAAGTCTTATTCGGTTATTTCATTTCGGTCATTTCGCTCAGCAAATACTTCTATTTAGTTACGGTGGCTATGAATGGTTGGTTGTTGGCTGATGCACGATGGTATGCAATGCAAGCTAAATGCTACTTCAAACGGCTCCGCAGAATATTTCCCGGAATAAGTCCGATGTTTGTTAGGTGTGGCCCAGATAGAACGTCTGTGTTATGACGCTGTTTGCGGGTAACGCGCCCAGTTGACCATGCAGTCAGGAACATGCGTTCTTCGCAAAGTACAGGTCAACCGTAGATTTTGCCAAACTTTAGTGCTTTTAGTGGTGTGCAAAACGCATTTAAGAACAATTGATATTGCGGCATCTCAACTATACTCATACGAAAGTGTTAAAAGCGAGGAATATATAATAGTTTGGAAATTGGACTTTTTTTACTACTAGCTTCATTCGTGAAGACTAGTACTTTCCAGAATATCTGTTAACTATCTTAAACGGATTTCATTGTCTTTTTATTTCGTGTGAATATACATAATCCTTCATGAGACCTGAAGGCTTAATAGCTATATAGGCTTAATAGCTCGAATGGTGATTGCGGTTTGCGAAAGGTTGAAAGTTCAATTGTTACGCATGTTTGCTGTTGTGAAAAAGACGGGAGTTGGCCGATATTATCAACGTGTTCTGTCGAGATTTTCACGTCATGCAATGATACAAAAGGAGGAGTCCTTTAATGTGATTTAAAATACCGAAAGGCCTGTTGAAATCGCACGATTCGATTGCCAACTGTTTTTGAATAATGCCTTGATGTGTTCATAAAAAATCACTCTTACTAGTAGTGCAGGCTGTAGCAAGCAATATAATTATATAATTCTCAAAAAAATTCAAAGACTGAGCAGTACGAAATTTTTAGGCGGTGCATGTATACATAACATACTTACTTGATAATTTTATTTGACAGTTATGATAAATTTCCAAAGGTGAATTTTTTACCGAAATACCGTATGGCGGCTGGTGTAATATACTAGACAACACTAAAAAGACGACGATCTGAACAACTCCTAAAACCGGAAAGAATGTTGAGATAACGATCGTGGGAATTACAAATTCCTGTATTTTGTTGTCAGAAAGAGTTCACACTGAACCCAATTTGAAAAAGCACTAATTGCCACAGCTTAAAAGTAGACGATGTTGAAGCTTGAAGGTCATGCAGTTGATATGTTGTGGAAAACAACTACTGTTACAAGGCGGCAATTTGTTCTTGAACCAATCAAATTGCGAATAACTTCGGGAGTTTGCATTTCGAACAGTCTTTGAAAAGCTGTCTGGTGAAAAGGCTTGCATGCATGGTCTCTCTTTATAAAAGGAAAGTTAGCTTTGTACTCATGCATATATACAAAAGAAAATTCCTGTTTATTTCCTGGGCAGAGGCTGTTTCAAAAATCTATATTGCCTTTAAATAAGTCATTATAACTACCGATGGTAATAAGGCACGGTAAAGTACAAGAACAAGTTCAGTTATAAGTACAAGTACATTAAGTACAAGTTCAGCTAAACGGTGTTACATTAGAGGCTGTGACACTATTTCAGTTAATTTTTTGAAAAAACATGCTTGTGGCTTGCTTAACACCCCCCCCCCCCCGCTATACAAAAACCATGCCCCATGAACTGATCCCTGATATATTTAAACATACCACGCTCCGCGGGGGGTTTACGAGTCATCCGTTAAGGAACTGAGTTGGTGGAAGAAACTGTGAGTTTCAATTTAGTAGGTATCGAACCTGGTTTTTATTAGTAACTTTGGCATAAGCCGGCGTATAGGAAAAGCAAAGCCATCGTCACAACAATACCGAACAGATATAATTTCAACAGAAAATCATTATTTGTGCTCTGTCATGTTTGATTTATGTGGAAGCCGGCACGATTGATGTCTTGTGCTTATAGGAAAACCAAGCATTTAATGAAATAGCATGCATGCCAAAATGCAATTTAGACATTCGGCCAGATTTAACGTATAAGTTTCTATACAAATTGTGGTTTGGTTTTCAGCATGCGAATACCATCTCTAAGTGAAGAGAAACATTCGGCAAGCACTTCGTGTTTCAATGACTCTTTCGGTCATTTCGGTGATCAAATCACATTAACGATGGACTCCACCTTTTGAAATGAAAATGTGACGGGATCGAAGCCCAAAATATGATGAAAAAATCAACCAACACCTCTTATTACAATCGTCAACACATGAATGCAAAAATTACACTTTCAACCTTTGCCTTTGGAAACCGCAGTTACCAAATTAAGCCTTGTTGTCATTATCTTTATGATCGTACGTTGTTTTTCGTCGACACAGTTTGTGACTAACCTGGTGGTTACTGTCGGGAGAAATATTTCTTTTTCAACGAGTGGGGGCAGTAATTCGTTGAGTATCATACGAAAATCAAAAATACAAAGCTACAAACCCTATATATTTAGGTTGAGGCCTTATATAATTCCTGGCTTTAGAAATTTCGAATATTTCTTCTGTTTTACCCAAGAGCCGGACTGTTTACGGGTTTCCGAGCACCCACATTTCATTTGTGTTAATTAATTCTGTCAGTCGGTGAAGCTTTTGTTTTCGTCACGATGCCACAAATCGAGATGGTATATAAATAAGAACACAGATGGTATACCGACGGCATTTCAGTAGCAACTCATAAACAACCTTATGATAAATGCTACCAGACCTGCATGTTAGCATTATTTTAAACTCTGCAGTCTACTTCTACTGAACCATTATCACTTTACAATTACATGTCTATATTCCCATATGCCTTGATACCGTATTAAAAGTATCAACGTTCTCAAACAAGCCTTATACAAGGCCATGCATGTTATAAACGGTGAAATTTTTCTTTGCAACTTGCAATGCAGTATTACATAAGGATGTAAACTAGTAAAGAGTCTTCAACTATCAAAATGTAAGTGTATGAAACGTCCATGGATGGAATAAACACAAAATTGACGAAGGTTTCGTAGTTGCCAAATTAGAATATTCATCTCTCGTTCAGAATAGTGTTGCAATGGTATAGTTATGGAAGTCCTTGGTTAGAATCATGAAAAGCGTGGCCTTCCAAAAGGAAAATGGTATAATCGCCTTTGCTTCTGCCCTAAAGAGAGTCCCAAAAACAACGTGGTTACCTCCGTGAAATTCCTTTAAACATCCCTGGGATGCGACGGACTTTGGAAAAAGCAATAGATTCCTATACCTCTCAGCAACTACCGCTGACCCTGACGGCCAGACCTGCCCGAGAAACGCAGGAAAAAGTTCCAATCCCAAAGTTTGACATAAATTTTCTATCTACAGACAGCGTCATTCACTCAAATGTTTAAAAAGAAAATGCGTTCCCATAATTTATATTGTCATCAGCCGGTTGAACAATTCGATTGAGGCTAACTAAGCGTTGTCATGCGCGGCCTCTCGTTGTCATGCGGGGGACGATTTCCCGGTGCTCCGAGGCCTAAGGGGAGGCACTATTTGATAGAGATCTACATGATACAAATACATCATGATATATACAGTGAAATAAACCGTGCCGTTGGCGAAAGAACCAAATTTTTTGTCATTAATCTGTATCTGTAAATAATCTGTAAAGTTTATTATTGAAAGACGTTACACACCCCTCGTTACTGAAAAACTTCGTCCTTAGCGTCTCTGTATTGAACTGGCAAGGCGAAAGCGAGATTTTCATTGAGACTGGATAGATCACTCATCTGTTGTGAATCTACCTCATCCGCAGGCCCTTCTTCGGTTATATTTTGCGAAATCGCCCGAAATGCTCCCTAGCCGCCTGCGGAGGAGGTAGATTGTGAATAATTAAAGCCAATGGTAGCTATGTCGAATTTTTCTCCCTAGATCTAATTTGCTATCATGCGGAGATGTCATAAAGAAGCTCTATATATTCGCTTCTTCCTGATAATCGTTTCAGTGTTAGTTGGAAAGGAAACGTATTCCCCCACTTTCCAGATAGTATTTTTTTTTATCAATGGCCTCTTTATTAACCCTACTTAACATGGCCACCATGCATAAGCCTTATTTGCCGACCATGTTGAAACGTTCTAAATTTAAATGAAGAATGATTTGTTGGAAATTGTCGTTAGCAAGATAGGCGGACGGCTAAATAGCGATAGAAAAAATATTATTGCTCTAATAGCCTAAATATTTGCCAGATTTAGCGTAGTTCAGAATTTGGCTGACACATTCATAAATCCGACCTTTTGAAAAATATTACGACCTCAAAATCGGATCACTGTTTTCGTTATCCAGTCGGCTTGAATAGTTTTACCCAAGTTACAGTGAAAAACGTTCCTTCCTGGCTGCAATTGTAAATTTTATTTCATCGTACTGCGTTTCGCTATATTATAGTTCTAATACCGAAGAAAAACAAGGATTACGTTTTTGCATCCTGTTTTAGTAACAACGAGAAAGAAACCAGACAAAATAGAATTCGCAAGGGAACTGTCTTTTGAGTGTCGTTGGTAGAGTTTTAATTCGGATCGGCAAACATTTGCAATGTCACTGATGTCGTGTAATTCCCGGATTAGCGCGCTTTGGTTAGAGCTGGATAATAATAATACTATACAAAGCATGCTCATATACAAAACAAGTGTTATGAATGGCGTTTAGGGAACCGAAGCGGTTCTTGTAAAGACTGCACAGATTCCATATATCCTTCAAAATTTCAACAACCAACCGCCTTTCAGAAAGTCATCGGACTGCAGAGATTGAAAATCCAATAGCTATCTTCTTGTCAGTACGCGTGAGCTTTGAATGATGCAATACAAACCAGTCTTCTCTTAATTTAAAGTGTTTTTAGTGTTTTGCAATTGATTGTCAATTAATATAAATATTGAATGAGTGGTTTGCATGTAACGAACGCTTGTCAATGCAAATTTTGAATGGGTTCAATGTTTTTACCGGCGTTTGAACATTTAAAGAGATGCTGGTGTTTTAATAGCAATTGCTTGTCAATATAAATAAGTTGACACTTCGACACATCGTGAACATCGAATCTGTCAATTAATAGCAGCTTGTGGACAAAAAAACGGCACTTTAAACGCGGAACGTTTCGAGCGCTTAATTCGTGCCATATATGCATAGTTACATACACCGCGCCCGACGTTGCAATTGAAACCATATACAAGATAAAAAACATGGCTTTTATTTACAATATTTTATTTACATAGAAATGGCAAAAAAGAAACACTGAGATCACGCTGGTATTGACCATTTATAAGCTTCTAAATGGTCCAAAATTTCAAGGCATTGCTTTCTCATGCGAAAGCGAACGCTCTGAACTTCAAAGTCGCGTTAGTTCAAAGTTACCGTTGACTTATGTCAATCGGCGAAGACATGCGATAAGTTTATTATCCATCATAATGTGAAGAGTCTGTCAGATCCTTTAGGCAGATAAGACAACAAATTATTTGCGCGTCTAATGCGCGGCTAATTATATTGATTTGCGCAAATTTGAATAATATGCGCAATTTAAATAACATGCACGGGTTTGCGCAAATTGCGCAAATCAAGCAAAACAACATGCTTTTTAATCAAACAACCCAGAGGCTTGCAGTGACGCATGCGGTGTAGACATTCGAGGAATTTTATTTGGTTTTAGCGAGTGCACGCAATCACCAGTACATGTCGTATGAAGTGTACTACAGTTGACAGAATTGTTAATGGTGATGATTCCTATCACAGGTCATGAGTGCTACATTCTCATGTTATAATCTAATTTCTAGGCCAGACAACTGTCATCAAGGCTCGCTTAACGCCGCAACCATTTTGGTATGTGACCGATTTTGGCACATATCCCATGCAAGGGAATTTCCGCTCGTGACATTCCTGCATGTCAGCACAACATCTCAGCTGGCATTGCCCCACGAGAAGGGAAGAAAGGGTTATAGCGAGTGTTGAGTCGTGTTGCACGGGACGTGAGGGGGTTAAAAAACTACGTCTAGTTAGCTAGAAGTACCGTAAGAATTTTTTCCCACTGATTTAGCGATACGAGATGAGAAGATTTAATTACTTGTCACAAAAGAAATCATTCAGTAGAATGATCGGGCACCTTATTCTCTCATTTTTTCAGTTCTTTTCACTAGCTTTGTTACTACACCTGACACTATAAATCGGTGACTAAAATCGTAGCATTGCAGCTGGATTCTAGACTGGCCACCGTTGTTGTCATTTTAGCTCGCATTAATTGCTGAGAGAACCATATCTTAATGTATAGCCGTATGAACTCAATTTGTAAGACATTAAGTTCATCGAGACTGCCAGACTTTTATAATTTTTTTTCGGTCCACGACTCCACGACGCACGCCTTTCTCCCACGTCCCACGACAAAATCTCAGACTCGGCGAAGGAGTAAACTATGCGCGTCGCAACTAAATGTCCACACGGGAGATTCGCTTTCCTGCCTTCTGAATAATTATGCTTTACAAAATATCACGGCTAGCGTTCTATTGAGCAAATTTGTCGTGTATGAAGGTTCTAAGCGCTCTCAATTTTATACAGTGAGCCTTCCACACAGGCGGCCGTGATTATCACGGTCTAAAAAGCCCTCAGACCTATCGTAGCATAAACGCTTTTTTACACTTATCTGTTTCAAGTAGCTGTTGACATGCTTCAAGTACTTTGTAAACATTATGTTTCCTTCTTCAAGTACACGTCAAACTCATCGCGATTTAAGTCGTCATAAAGCAGATCTCTAAGGTGCTCGAACGCACCCATTTCTCCGCGTTGACCAGTGGGAAGATTTGAGTTTGCGTGAGGAATTGTCGGACGCTGTGCGCTTTGGCACGCGATCACGGTCGAAGGCCTTCCATGCGATTCCCTTGTGGCGATGGCGTCTTGCGCGCGCTGCCACTGCTGACTGGAGCTGGCTGGAAATGCGTTGTATTTCTCGGCCAAGTGTGGGGATGTCGTAGCGGACGGGTAGCTATTATAGTGCGCTTTTTCCTCCGAATGCATCCCGTTCCCTTCGACATGCGGGCTGGTAAGATTCGTGTACGTCTTCTTCACGTTCTCTACTTCAAATCTGGGGCTGCACTGCCGTACTCCGCTCAACTGAGCTTGTGGGGAAACCGCTTGCGCGGTGTACTCCTCGTCCGTTGTGTAGGCAGGCGGCGAGAGGTACACGCTACTGCCACAGTGCGGGCTCTCGGGGCTACCGTGAGGACTGTAGGTTTTCTCTGGTGGCCGATTTAGATGGAGTTGTGGGCCGTGCGCACTCGGCGACGAGGCAGCGTGGTTTTGATAGTGTTGCGGAATCGTTGTATTCGGTGACATTGTGTGGGTGGTGTGATGATGCGCCATCCTAAAGAGCACATACACAGAGCCGTTTAACGACCGGGTTTGCACAAGTTATTATAAGGATAATGCCGTAGCAACGCGTCTTCCGTTTCACAGATCATATCCGTCTTAGCGTCTTAGTGTAAACACAACTCACAAAGGCAAGCTTAATTTTGAAGTTTTTGATGTAGCAAAACGCCGATGTCAAGAAAGAAAGATCCTTTTCTATAAGTTCTCCGCCCGATTTGTTAAATTTGACCAGGCGGAGCCCGATAGCGTGATTTGCCCTCAATTTGTGAGATTTTTCAGCATAAGACTTACCGTTAAGTACAAAAGTCGAATGTAATTTGGCGTTTTAATTAAGTGCTTACAAGAGATTACATCCTTACATAGCTACTTTAATGATGGCATATTTGGACAGTTGGGAAAGTGCGAAATTTTAATCTTTCGAAGAGGTTTAGTGACGTCAGTCATATACGGTTTGGCAACGACCGATATGGTTCGCGATAAACCAGCTTTGAATTTAAGTCTCTAAAAGACCGGATTTGCAATTAAATTGTCACACACTCAGAACAAATTCTACAGGTCGATTCGAAAGTGCAAGCCAGCATTAATTAAGGGCAGTTATATAGTTACATTAGTCGACCTAGCACCATGCAGGCTGATTATGAGTCCCGAAAATCTTTTCTTCCACCAAATCTAAAGCCATGCACTATATCTCTTGATTTTTTCGTTCGTTAAATTTTACGTTCAAACACTCTAACACAAACATTACTCGTATGAAAAACACAACTGGAAAATTGGTTTATGAACACCTAAAATTTAGACGTTTCAATCGAATAGCCAGGGATAGTGTATTCATATATAAGTTGGTGAATGGATACCAAATTGCGTGGGAAGTCCCGAAGCGTACTTAAGTCGAAACGTATAGTTTAGCTTTCGTGTAGTTTAACCAGTTCATAAAGAAACCTGTCCAGTGGCAGTAGGTAGCCGCGAGTATATTGATAGACAGCGGTATCTTCATGTATTTGGAATCTATCGACTATCCTCACGCAAGCAACCATATTTAAAAAATGCACGCAATTACGCAATCAGACGAAATTTGGATATCAAAGTAAACAAGCCTTACATGTCTTCAAAGAGATTCATAACGTGCCAAAACACTTTCATTAAGAAAAAACTTAATTTGATCTTGTAAAGTTTAGGAGAATCTAAGAGGTTTTGGTGGTGCAAACCAGTCTAATGTTTTTGAAAGTGGTTTGCACTATCATGCAGACAAAGTACATTGATAAAAAATAGGATGATGTGTAAACCAGCACCAATTCTTCAAAACAAGGTCATTTTGATAGTATAAACTAGTCCAATTATACGCGGTTTTTATGTTTGCAGCTTTCGCACACTTGACGTTTTTCAAGGACATTTACTAAATTTAAACACGAATTTTGTTTCTCTTACCCATTATTTGGTGATGCTGGATGATTTGGCATGTGGTGTGGTACGGCAGTATTTGGCGAAGGTGGATGACTTAACGGTGGTACCGGGCTATAGATGTATCTGGGGGTAACACTCCCTCCTTCAACGTATTGACTGGGGTCTGGAAAATGAAATCGACTGGTGGGGGGAACTACCGAGACATTAGGTACAGCGTTGAAGCCGTACGGTGGTCGGAACGAGGCATAGGGGTGCGGGAAACCTCCACAGCCCATCTTCTTCGCGGTCTCTTTCTTCGGAGTGTAACGATAGTTGGGATGTTCTTTCATATGCAGGATCCTCAACCTAAGATGATAACGAACAAAAAACTAAATGTCATTTCCAAAACATAGCTCAAGCGATTACTGAGTTCTCTTAGACGTCCTGTAAGTGGCAGCTGTTCTTGATAAAGTGTCATGCGACTCGTGGCCACAGGAACTGTGGACTAAACACAACAACTATCTCAGCTCTCCCCTGAGGCCAACTTGACGAGACTGAGTTTGTATATGAAGAAAAATAGATCAAAGCACACTTATATAAATTGTGCTCGAAGCATATTTTATATTTCCTAACTCTTCTGAACAACAGCAGTTCGATAGTTCGAATCACTAACGCAATCTTGGGTGCATGCATGCACTGGTGGTGAACTGATCTGTGATCTGTCCATTTGGTTAACGAAGAAGTCTAATGCTCTCTGAATAGATCGGTTTCCCTTGAAATTAACTGCCTCCTTAAAAACATTTTGTCTTAAGTAGTCTCTTCTGAAATGAATTTCTCGAGTGCTACTGCCTGCAGAAGTAAACCTAAACTACACAAATATTTACCAAGTCGATATTTTTACTTTTTGTAGATTTTCTTATACATGCATATACGTCTACGGAAATTAATCCCTTAACCTAAACTAAACAACTCTGAACTGTTTCACATTTGATATACCAACTCCAATAAATCTCGAGTCTAGATCACCTTCTTATGATCACGCAGCATTGCTACACATCTTGAAACTGCTAGAGTACTGCTTAGAAATCCTCATACCTTTCGGCCTTCTCAACATAGGGCCGTTTCTCTTTGGTCGTGAGTTCATTCCACGCCTTGCCCAGCATTTTACTGATCTCGGCATTGTGTAACTTCGGATTTTCTTCGGCAAATTTTCGCCTCATCACCTTAGCCCAAACCATGAAACTGTTCATAGGACGTTTCACATGCATGTCGTCGCAGTCTTGCGGGTTCCCGGCAAACTGTCCCGGGTGCCTTTGATGAGCTGTGTAACACCAATCGTTGTACCACATCATGAACGGTTCGAAGATCTACAATATAGGAGCCGAGGTTTTACTTTACTCTTGCAAAGGCGGGGTTCAGTGAAGGTAATTATTGCCAGTAGAATGTGCAAAGAGAGTTTTTTACAAAATGATTTCATGATTTTGTGTCAACGATTCTCAGATCTCCAACTAAATAGGAGTCGTAAATTTACTTCATTCATGCTAAGTCAGAGTCCAGTGAAGGTAATATTGTACAATGTGCTTTTGTGGTCTGATATCACATTATGAGCGGTTTACAGATCTATAATTGATGAGGGACCGCCATCGTTTTTTATACCCACACAAAGGCGGGGTTTAGTAAAGTAGTGTTGTACAATGTGCTTTTATTGTTTTGTGTCATATACATATAAACGTTCACAAAGTTACAATGCCCAAATTGGGTGCAGGTCCAGTAAAGCTACGAACAGTGATGTATCGTGTGGTTTTGCTGTGTGTGTCTGAATACCCGAAATCAACCCACTTCAAAGTCCAAACGTCATTCGGTGTAGTTTATAGTACATTCTACAATACAACAATATCCTTTCCCTGGAAAATATTGCACAGGTATACTGGCATGACAGTTGGTCGAATCTCGATGCCTCTGGAGGTTATTTTTTGCGTATTGTGTCTGTGTACACACAATTTAAGCACAGACGTGAAGGTCTAGTCTAGATATTACATAGAAGACATTCAACAAAGTGTTGCCTTTGGTTCAGGATAAGCCAGAGCACTGTGTGCATGGATATGTAACTGTATATTTTTGTAATTTAGAATTCTAAAGAGAGTTTACTCCGTAAATAAAACTATAGGGCGTATTCTTGCCAATTTATGGGTTCGGGTATCTGTTTGAATATTTTTCATCAGGAACGTAAGTTGATATCTAATAGAATTGTTATTTTGTCAATCTCAGTAAAGACAAACAAAGGCACAGGATTATCTGTTAACATCACCGAATCTTCGTCTGGTAGCATTCAAAGTGAGAAAAAGATGGCTCGCATCCGTCTCATACCCTGGCTAAAGCATTTTGAATCAAGTGAATCAAGTCGATTTAAAGAACCAAAACAACTTAAATGGCTCTCATGAAAGTTTGACTTTAGCTGACGGCCCATCCACAATATAGGCTAACAGGTTATATATTACCAAATGAAGAAAATAGAAAAATTTATAAACAGAGCTGAAGAAGCATGCATTCACAACCGGTTAAAATTACATTCCCGCCTTGTTAATTTTGCTTAATTCTAACAATAGGTCAATGTTCTCATGTCGAAGAATTCAAATTTGTTGTTCATAACAGGTTTCATTTAAGCTAGTATAGGTTAGTACAAATTCTTTAAAACCCAAATAATTGGTGTCATGAATCACCTTTGGTTTTTGATGAAGTATAATAAAGTAAAAATGTATAAACAGTGCATGTCAGTCTTCCAACGGTACCTTTGACTTTGTATCGACGGGGTGAAATTCTCATCCAAGTATGATTTAGTGGAAAGAATGACTCCAATTTACTTTTAAGTTGCTTACAAGAGAGTTACAACTGTACTCAAGTCCATGAATGGAATTTTGTAAAGTCCGACCATTTGTTTACTGATTGCACACACAAGGAACCAATACAGGGCCTAATTCAAAAATTATTTCCTTCCTTGATTGCTTAATTTGTTTTTCTATATAATTATGGGGTACAGTGTGGTTTATTATCGCAGATCATGCGAATTTCCCAAAAATTAAACCTCATATGGTTTGTCGAACTACGCCAATATGAGGCTGTTCGCACTCTCAATACAAATATCTGGCGAAATTTGTTAGCATATTCAAAGGCAAAGCATCGCTGCGTTTAAGATAAACAATATAATTATGTGTTATATATGCGCTCTAGCCTATTGCTTGAATAAACCCATGCAAAATATAGATCAATACAACGTGCCCATTTATAAAATACAAGAAGGACAAACCATGCCGTAAACAAACTTTATATATTCTTTAGACCTTCAATTGCTCAAAGTATTTGGCAACAAAATTATAAATAAAATTACATGTTAACAGATAATGCCTTAATAAAGCTTCGAAAGGTACTCGAAGCTTGTTGACGTTGTTTTATATGGTGTAAAAAATATTAAATCGTTGTTTGTCATCTACACATTTGTTTGCCAACTATGCCCCAGTAGGCTATGCTAGATTTGGAGTTCGCACGAGAATGCATCTCAGTTATAACTTCTCAAAAAAGTTACAAAGCCACTTTACTTAAAAATCAAATCTATATGACCTTGGGAAAAGGTTGAAGAACAATATATTAGTGCATGCAAGCGAACACACTGCAGAGACTACTTAGATGATCAGTTTCTACTTGTGGATAATATGCATATGTTCGCAGTTGATCCACCACTCATTTGAAGCTTCAGCGATGTACATGCAAGAACGAGCCGTTCAACATTGCAGGAACATTATCCGTACTATCTGTCAGAACGGCCACTGCTAGTCGGGGCATAGCAAGAGGAAAAAGCATTTGCTTACCCTGAGCAAGTTAAAGACGAAGTTGAAAAAATATTATCTCGCCTTTTATACAACGAATCCTTCGTTCAGTCTGAACGTCGATGATAACGTTGACAACATTGTGTGACAACTGATAGTATGCCCTGTCGTGAGCGAAACAGTAGAGAACAAGTAAAACTCAAGCTCACTTGCTTACCTTCACGCGCTTCGATATCGTGACTTGACGGCACTTCGATCGATCTCCAATTAATCGATTGCTTGTACGGCGAGGTTGTTCACAATGGTAATCCCAACACTTCGTCAGCCGCAATCCAACACGCGAAATCGACCCGTGAGTACAAAAGTTTCAACAGTTCCCTATTTCGATAATTCTTATCACATTAGCCGTTGAGTGGCGTTCTTAGAACCTTACAAGATTACGAAGCAACTGGAAGCTTTAGGTTGCGTAGTTTGAGATTCGAAAATCCACTTAGGATATACCAATCGATTTTGTGTGATCAGTTAACTAAGCTTAGAACAGCTTAAACGCCTAGCCTGACACTGCGTCCATTAAACACGGAGTGTCGCAACAGAATTGACAGTACAACTAATCACGTCAACTCTAAAACAGTACGCGCAAATTTTGTGAGTTGCGCGCGTTATGTTAATTCCTGATTAGCTCCGGCGAGCAACTGACTTCTATGTGTGCCTTGTCTCGGCTCTGAAGATTGTTTTTCACTTGATGGAATGTCTTATACTCCTGGCTCTCCGATCACGTCAGTGCCAAAAGAATCCTTGTGCAAAATTCCGGTTTCGCAGATTATGCTAATGTTTGTACAAATTCAATGTGCGGCTTTTAACGCGGTCTCTCCGAGTTCGGTTCAAATACTAAGTATATACTGTTAGTCTGGCAACGTCAGAGCTAAAACAGTACGCGCAAACGGCTGTATTCCCCGTACACTGGCGGACGCACTTGGCTAATTATGCTAATATCCAGGTCCTCGCACCAAACCGATTCCCCTTGACTTTCTCTCCTTGAGTATTGTGTATACTTTAAAGGATGTTAAACGGCTAATCTAGCAGCTGAATTCAAACGCGTTTAACCACCAGCGTGTAACTAGCGTGATGTACAACGACTCTAATGAGTCGGTCATATGCTCGACCGATAATAAATGCATGCCACGGTTAATCGAAGCGCACAGTGGGCCCGACTATGATTGGCAATGTTCGGGTCTTGTTCACAGTTGGAGGACGCGGTTGCCGTAGCGCTTATTGACATGCGTTCGTTTACAAAATTAGCGCAAAAACCCAACTGTTCGACGCAATGTTTACACACGAAACACGACGCAAATTGTGTAAATTTGAAAACTAGGCCAAGCTGCTCGCCCAGGTCGCGCACAATCTCGGGGTTCGCAACAAAATCCAGCGCACGGCGGTGCGTATTTTGCGTTCAAGG